GTTTCACCATGATGGCCAGGCTGGTCTTGAACTGACCTCAAGTGATCCACCCACCTCGGCCTCCCAAAGTGCTAGGATTATAGGCGTGAGCCACCACGCCCAGCCTATTTTGAGATATTAAGAACTTAAGTACACTCCTAGAATATAATGGTTGCTCATAAAATCTTAACAGAGTAAATAAATGATGTGTGACTTTTTTTGTTCTTCTCTACAGTGCCTGTCATAGTGCTAAGGTGTTGTTCAATCAATACTTACCGAATTATTAGGAAAACAGTAAGTTTCTGGGAATACTTCAGAAAAGCAATTAACTAAGCTTTGGGAAGTGTGAGTTGAAAGGAAATTCAAGTGGAATTTGCATTATCTTAGGCATAATATTGAGGCTGTTCCCCCTCTCCAAATGGCTTCCTGCTTAAAAAACCCAGATGAGGCTGGGCGCGGTGGCTCAAGCCTGTAATCCCAGCACTTTGGGAGGCCGAGGCGGGTGGATCACAAGGTCAAGAGATCGAGACCATCCTGGTCAACTTGGTGAAACCCTGTCTCTACTAAAAATACAAAAAATTAGCTGGGCATGGTGGCGTTTGCCTGTAATCCCAGCTATTCAGGAGGCTGAGGCAGGAGAATTGCCTGAACCCAGGAGGCGGAGGTTGCGGTGAGCCGAGATCACGCCATTGCACTCCAGCCTGGGTAACAAGAGCAAAACTCCATCTCAAAAAAAAAAAAAAAAAAAAAAAACCCCAGATGAGGGAGAAAGATCCCTGAAACTGAAGCTGGATTTCTGCATTTGGGAGATTAACGTAGAAGCTTCTGCATAGCCCAGAGGACAGTACTGTGTGCACATATCATGTGAGTATACAGAAAGAGCTTGATGAAAGCCAAATTTAATTACTGAGATGGTTGAGATGATAATCCCATTTTTTTCATCCATTTAACAGTCTAGGAAGGACCCTAATCCAAACAGGGCATTTTTTTTCTTTCCCTTAGGGTTCCATCTATCTCATTACAGCTGTGTTTAAAATTTGAAGTAAAGCTGTTCATTGAAGTAGTTTTAATGCAATATGCAGAAATACTAAGAGATGAGATGTTTTCAGAAAGATTGTGGCTGTAATGAACATACAATATCAATTAACTAACTGGAATTTTGTTTTTGGGTAAGGAACCCAAATACTCAGATTTTGTTTTGCTTATTCAAGTTCTGTCTTTTTCAACAAATCTATTTTCTGTTCCCAATAATGGTTTACTTTAATATGTATGTAGGTATGTAGAGCAGCTACAGTGAAGGCAGTGGGATATGTCAATTTTGCATTTAGCCAGTGAAATAGGCAGCTAGAAATGTTAAGGGGAACTGAAATAGAATTGGTACTAGGAAGAAGCTGTTTATAGGAAGAGGCTCACAGGATATCTTGGGTACCATGATCCATTATTGGATCCTTGGCTCTGCAGTTGCATAGCCTCTCTCCCCATTCCTGCCTTCCCCCAGCTCAAGTAGAACTGGAGTTGCTTGGGTTTTAGGGAATTGACTCACATTGAAATGTGAATCACATTTGCATGAGATTGATTGATGTGAATTTATTAATTTACAAAATAGTTTTTAACTGCCAAGTGATTATTTGAATTGGCCGCTTAGTGCTTTTGTTGCTTTAGAATATCTATATATAGAGGATCAAATAATTATCTGAAGGTTGTCAGGTGAACATGGAGTCAGAACAGAGAGATGGTGAGTGGAGGAATGATTTGTAGGATGGTCTTATTAGTTGGCGTCATCAAAGTAGAATAGTCTGATTTCTTTGGTAGAAATGTACCTGTCAAGGGCATATGAACCCATGTCCCTTGAATCTGCTAGGTAGGGCACAATTTCACCTTCACAGGCATGGAGGCAATACTTCGTGGCTTCCCTTTTCTCTACTCAATGCAAGCTTCCCATACTCTTCTATTCTCACAGTCTTTCTTCAGTCTATCTTAGTAATATTTAGTAGCTTGCAGCTTTATTTTTTTCTAAATAAAGGGTTAAAGTCCCTGGTCCTGTTTTTTTTTTTTTTTTTTTTTTTTTTTTTCTGATATTTCTCATCTATTATCAATTCAGTTTGTAAATTCAGACCCTTGAAGATGCCTTATTATGGATTTCTCCCTCGTATTGACCACAGGGAAGCTACTACTTTCATGGTACTTCACCTGATAGAGAATACTAAGAGACAGGATGTTCTATGGTTATGCCTGTGTTTTCTCTGCCCCAAACACCCAGACCAAAAATTGTGCTGGATATGCTGTCTTATTATTATGAGAAGGAAATGCAGGTACCCTAGGCACTGCCTATGTCATCTCGTCGAATCTTTCTAACAATCCTTTGAGAAAGTTATTATCCTGTTTTAAATATGGTGAAAATTGGGCCAGGAGGTTTACATGGTTTGCCTGAGGTCACATTTCTAGTAAATGCCTTCTTTTAAACAGATATCTGTCTGATTCAAAGGCTTAACATTTTTCCTTGTTAACAAAGATTATTTTTATAGTTTTTATTGTAAGAAATAAAGTGTGATCATTACTCAAAGTCTGGGAAAAAAAAAAGAATAGGAAGAAAAAATGAAATCATTCATAGTCCCACTCCAGAGGAGACAAATAATGCTAGCCTAAACTTATTTCACTTTACACACTGCTTTGAGTTTGCTAAGTAACCTGTCTACCAATTCTAGGTGGGCTTTATCCTGGAATACTTTTTTTTTTCTTTTTTTAATGGAGTCCTGCACTGTTGCCCAGGCCGGAGTAGAGTGGCACAATCTCAGCTCACTGCAACCTCTGCCTCCTGGGTTCAAGTGATCCTCTTGCCTCAGCCTCTCGAGTAGCTGGAATTACAGACACACATCACCATGCCCAGCTAATTTTTTTGTACTTCTAATAGAGACGAGATTTCATGATGTTGACCAGATTGGTCTCGAACTCTTGACCTCATGTGATCCGCCTGCCTCGGCCATCCACAGTGTTGGGGTTACAGGCATGAGCGACCATGCCTGCTCCCCCAAATACTTTTATTTGCTTATTTTTATTTCATTCATAAACCAAGTTATTAATTAAAACATGTTGAGGTGCCAGTATACAACCAGCACAACGCTAAGTGCAATGGACAGTGCACTGAAGGACTATGATCAGTGGATCTCAGATTTGGAAGTTACTTCCTCCACAGCATCCAAGTTTCTGCTTGAACATGTCCAGTGGCAAGGAGCTCTCCCACATAGGGGCTGCTGTTCAGTTTTATATTGCTCTAGTTGTTAAGATGTGGTGCCAGCACCTCTCAGGAAACCTGTAGTCTAGGGGAGATAAGATTAAATATACGAAATAATAGTAATGCAAAATAACATTTATTTATTTAAAAATTTTTTTTGAGACAGAGTCTTGCTCTGTCGCCCAGGCTGGAGTGCAGTGGTACAATTTTGGCTCACCACAACCTTCGCCGTCCGGGTTCAAGTGTCTCATGCCTCAGCCTCCCAGGTAGCTGGGACTACAGGTGTGCACCACCACTCCTGGCTAATTTTTGTGTTTTTAGTATAGATGGGGTTTTACCATGTCAGTTGGGCTGGTCTCGAACTCCTGACCTCAGGTGATCTGCCTGCCTCAGCCTCCCAAAGAGCAGGGATTACAGGTGTGACCACTGTGCCTGACCCAAAATAACATTTAATTAGATGATGATACAGAATGTCAGTGTTGTGGGAATTAGGCAAGTAAAAATTGAAGCAAGACTAGCCTTCAAATAAGGAAGAGAGAAGGGAACCCTTATTTGTTGAGCATAACAGTCAGTTTGGGCTAGGGGCTTTAATGTGTAATCTTGCTGATTATCATAGCAACCCCGAAAAGGTGGTAGGTATTATTTTTCTACTTTACAGGACTCAATTCAAGGTGTGTGTGCAATCAGAGACATGCACTTTTTCCTCACCTGCATTACAATCTCTCTAAAATAGGTCTCGTGCTGTATTTTGAAGATTTCTTAAAGTAGCCTTTTTCTTATTATAAAAATGTATAGGATTGCCAGGCACAGTGGCACACGCCTATAATCCCAGCACTTTGGGAGGCCGAGGCAGGTGGAGGGAGGCAGAGGTTGCAGTGAGCCAAGATCACGCCACTGTACTCCAGCCTGGGCAACAGAGCAAGACTGTCTCCACAAAAAAGAAAAAAAAAAAGTACAGGATGTAGAATATTTGGAAAATATAAAAATCACCTGTAATGTTACTCTGCAGAGGTAACTGTGATGATTAGTTTGCTGTATTTCTCACATACATACAGTATATGCACGTGTATTGCATACATAGGTGTATGTGTATGCATGTATACATATGTATGACTATAAATGTATATTTTGTATGTTTTTTATAACAAAATAATCAAGATTACTGTATATTGTTTATATTCTTTTTTTTAAATTTGGTAATCATTGTCCTATGTCATTAAAATTTTCTTTGCAAAACTTTTTTATTAAGTGCTACAAAGAATTCTATTCTGCTATAATTGTGCTGTAATTTATAACCAGTCAATCCCTTAGAATTGACTGGTTATAATTCTAATTAGAATTTAAGCTTTTTATAAACATTTGCTGTCACATTTATTATTCTTTGATAAATATTCATTTATAAAATTATTTGCTTATATTTCTGATGACTTCCCATCAAGTTGTATGTATGTTTGAAGACTTGATTCAAAACTGACATCCAGAAAAGTTATGCCATTTATATTTTCACTAGTGGCAGTGTATGACAATACCCAATTTTAGAAATTCTCTCCAATCTTGAATAATATCATTAAAAACAAACATTTCCTAGTTTGATCGGTGAAAAATTATCTCTCATGGTTTTAATTTGCATTTCTTTGACTACCAAGAGGGTGAATATATGTTGGAATACTCTTCTGAAGTGCTGTCAGCCTTGGATCTTCAATTTACTACAAGCCGTAATGGATGGAGAAGAGAAGGCCAAAAGACTTTGTCTTATTTATGAATTATTCTATATCTTGTCTTTTGGCAGATCTCTGACATCTACATTAGTGGAGAATCAGGGGACATGTCAGCCAAGGAGAAGCTACTCCTGTGGACCCAGAAGGTGACAGCTGGTTACACAGGAATCAAATGCACCAACTTTTCCTCCTGCTGGAGTGATGGGAAGATGTTCAATGCACTTATTCACCGATACCGGTAAGAACAGTGGAATTTCTGTGCTCCTGCAGGGCTTCTTCTCATCTCTTCTTCGTAATTAGTTATAATGCTATTTCCACCTCCTTAACCAGGAATCAAAGCTTTGATTCATTTGTTCATTTGAAAAAGGAATATTTATTTAACTACTTTTTAGGAACTGGGCATAAGGAGCAGTGAAGAAAACAGCGGAAGTTCTTACTCTCATGGAACTTAACCTTTCAGTAGGGAGAATAGGAAATAAATATATGCCAACAACCAGTGGTAAATGCAATGGTAGGATTAGAAAGTGACAGAGGTTTGTAGTATTTTGGACAGGGTGGTCAGACGTGGCCTCTTTGGTGAGGATGTTAGACCATAAGGGTGTGAGTCATTTGGGCTTTTAGGGTCAGAGTGTTCCAGCTGGAAGAAATGGTACAAAGGGCATGGAATGAGGGCTTGCTTACAGTCATTTAGGAACAGCAGATGGCTGAAGTGAGGTGAGGTAGATAGGAATTCTGAATGACAAAAATCAAAATTATTGACTTCATAGTGGTCATCAACATGCCCCAATTTCCAGTGCTAATTGATGGTATTTTTCCCCATGACATTCAACAAACCTAAACTGTATGTTTAAGTTTGGCATTAGGAAGCACTGGGCCCTTGGTGTATACTTAAAAATGGAATTTGTGGCCGGGTGTGGTGGCTCATGCCTGTAATCCAAGCACTTTGGAGGCCAAGGTGGATGGATCACCTGAGGTCGGGAGTTCAAGACCAGCCCGACCAACATGGTGAAACCCTGTCTTTTTTTTTTTTTTAAAAAAAAAAAAAAAATGGAATTTGTACTCTTCAAAACCTCCTGCCTTTTCTCTAACTCATTCAGTGTTTTTCAGCTCTGGGAACCCTTAGGAGGTTTTCTTTGTGTGAACTCATGTGTGATGTGTAGATGGTGGCCTTTTATGTGCCTTGCTGGGCTTTTACAGACCTGATCTGGTAGACATGGAGAGGGTGCAAATCCAAAGTAACCGAGAGAATCTGGAACAGGCTTTCGAAGTGGCAGAAAGACTGGGAGTTACTCGTCTGCTAGATGCAGAAGGTGAGAGAGTTTACTGAACTTAAGTAAGGAACATGTATTCAGTATTCCTCCTTCTGGCAAGTTTTTTGTTCTGACTAAGAATTTTTTGTCCATTCTCTCTCAGATGTGGATGTGCCATCTCCAGATGAAAAGTCTGTAATCACTTACGTGTCTTCGATTTACGATGCCTTCCCTAAAGTCCCTGAGGGTGGAGAAGGGATCAGTGCTACGGTAAAAGAACATTTTCCTAGAAGGCCTTCTGACTTTGATTCATTTGAGTGGAATGCATTGCTTAGACACTTTCTTAAGCACTCAAAGTATACAGAGCACTTTTATGCTCTGTATCAGACTATATATCCAGTATCTTTATCATACATGGATATTATCTTTGGCCCTGGAAATGAGTCTAGATATTGCTAATTTTGTAACAATTAGCACAGACCATTTGGAAGAATGTCCCTCTCATCCCCAGCTGTAATTCAGGATGAGGAAGTGTTTTCTCAGTCACTCATATGTCAGCTTGATTAGGTAGATCATGGCTCTTTTCAGAATATTTTTAGTAACTTGATTTGTAGCCTTTTTAGTGTCAGGAAATTGAATCCCATCCCTAAGAGTCCTTGAGGAGCTTTGAAACTGGTACTGTGAGCATTAAACTGAGCACCATCTAGGCAATCAGAGGAAAGGGGTTTTATATAGTTTGGAGTGGCCTCAGCTACTTTCTCTTGTGCTTGTTGTGGGTATTGCTAATCAGGTGTATGATATTTACCTTCTGGCAACAGGAAGTGGACTCCAGGTGGCAAGAATACCAAAGCCGAGTGGACTCCCTCATTCCCTGGATCAAACAGCATACAATACTGATGTCAGATAAATCTTTTCCCCAAAACCCCGTTGAACTAAAGGTAAAGTCAGGGACTCAAAGTATTTGTAAAATCTTTATAGGGAGTAAGTCTTGGAGCTTATCACTGCTGGCTTGATGAGGTGGTATGAAAAATTGGGTCCTGTAGTTTGTGTCTATTTATTCACCAAATATTAATTTTATAGGCACTTTATAACCAATACATACACTTCAAAGAAACAGAAATTCTGGCCAAGGAGAGAGAAAAAGGAAGAATTGAGGAATTATATAAATTACTAGAGGTAAGAGAGCTTATCCTTTGCTGAAGCTTGGGGTTTGCTGGTCTGTACTGTTGTTGCTTCTTGATTACAGATTCTTTGTATTCTCTTCCCACTGCATTAATAGCAGTACTCTCCTGGTGACAAATAATAGCACCACTCTCAGGCTGGTCTTTTTTTTTTTTTTTTTTTTTTGAGATGGAGTTTCGCTCTTGTTACCCAGGCTGGAGTGCAATGGCGCGATCTCGGCTCACCGCAACCTCCGCCTCCTGGGTTCAGGCAATTCTCCTGCCTCAGCCTCCTAAGTAGCTTGGATTACAGGCATGTGCCACCATGCCCAGCTACTTTTTTTTTTTGTATTTTTAGTAGAGATGGGGTTTCACCATATTGACCAGGACGGTCTCAATCTCTTGACCTCGTGATCCACCCGCCTCGGCCTCCCAAAGTGCTGGGATTACAGGCTTGAGCCACCGCGCCCAGCAGGCTGGTCTTAAAATTGTGTGGTAAAGAGGTACTTCTGCCTTCCCTACTTTTTGTTTTATTTTATTTTTTGAGATGGAGTTTGTTTTTATCACCCAGGCTGGAGTACAGTGGTACCATCTTGGCTCACTGCAAAGCTCCGCCTCCTGGGTTCAAGCAATTCTCCTGCCTCAGCCTCTCGAGTAGCTGGGATTACAGGTGCCCACCACCATGCCCGGCTACTTTTTTTGTTTTTTTAAGTAGAGATGGGGTTTCACCATGTTGGCCAGACGGTCTCAAACTCCTGACCTCAGGTGATTCGCCCTTCTTGGCCTCCCAAAGTGTTGGGATTACAGACGTGAGCCACCATGCCTGGGCATCTCTATTTGTTTTTGTTTTTGTTTTTTTCTTTTTTTCTTCCGGGCTTACCCACACTAATTGGTTCAAGGCATCTCTATTTTTTAAAGAGCTTATTGAAAAATGGCCTATAGTTATTCAGAAATCTTGAGTTTTGTGGATGAATTTTTCTGCTTCTCAGAGGGAAGCTAAAATCTTTTCCTGGGATGGAAAGAAGACTTCTATTCAGAATTTGATTTCTAAAGAATTTGAAGTTGTAGAGTTGATAATTTAACTTTGTCAGAATAAAAATTATAGAGGAAAGGAAGATTTATAGGAAGTGTAGAAGGATTGGAAGGACTTAGAGTAGGTAGTCCCTAGGGACTGTAGTCACCTCTACATTCTAGAGTGAAGAACCTGATACATATTTGATTGTTTTTCCATGTTAGACAATAGGAAAATCTGCTGAATGGCTGGGTAAAGAGCAAAAAATGATGTGCAGAGAATAAATCAAAACTGGGACAAGAGGGCAGGGCTGTGTTTTTGGACTGAAAGAGTATCTGTTTCAGGTGTGGATTGAATTTGGCCGAATTAAATTGCCTCAAGGTTATCACCCCAATGATGTGGAAGAAGAGTGGGGAAAGCTCATCATAGAGATGCTGGAACGAGAGAAATCACTTCGGCCAGCTGTGGAGAGGTGGGTCCAGGTCCTGAGAGTGGTCTGACATTATTTATTGAGCTGCTGTGAACCTTGCACATGACTATGGTTTTATCTTATTTTAGGCTGGAATTGCTGCTACAGATTGCAAACAAAATCCAGAATGGTGCTTTGAACTGTGAAGAAAAACTGACACTAGCTAAGAATACACTGCAGGCTGTAAGTCTCTGACTGTTTTGTCCCACATCTCACATGCGTTTTACTTCTCACCCTCTGCTCTAATGGCTGAAGTTAGCAATTGAGGAATCCAGATGTATTACTTCCCACCCACCCCTTTTTTTTTTTTTTTGAATTGCAGTAGGCTCCTTGGCTCCCTCTGTCCTGGTGAGTGGGGACAATGGAAGTTTTCCTACTGTTATTCTCTCTTCCTGTCTCAGGATGCTGCTCACCTGGAATCAGGACAACCAGTACAATGTGAGTCAGATGTCATCATGTATATTCAGGAGTGTGAAGGTCTCATCAGGCAGCTGCAAGTGGATCTCCAGATCCTGCGGGATGAAAATTACTACCAGCTAGAAGAGCTGGCTTTTAGGTGAGGAACAAGGGACTCAAATGGAGGGCTTGCTTGCTTATTGCTGAAGCTCATGGATCAACAGTAAATCAAGAGTCAGGCACTGAATCTTTAAACTTGGACCTTTGAGGTCAGTTTCTCAATGGGGGTACTACAGGTATCTTGGGCAGGAATGTTCTCTTAGTGGAGGACAGTTTCCCCTTATTGCAGGCCCATCCCACTAAGCATCTGTAGTATTACTGCAATCATTGTGGCTTTTTATAACATCGCACATATTTTATTTTAATTAATTAATTCAGACAGGGTCTCACACTTATTACCCAGGCTGGCGTGCAGTGGCACAATCATGGCTCACTGCAGCCTTGACTTCTTGGGCTCAAGCAATCCTTCTAAGCTCAGCCTCCTGAGTAGCCGGGACCATAAGCGCATGCTGCCACACCCAGCTAATTTTGTGTTTTTAGTAGAGATGGGGTTTCACCATGTTGCCCGGGCTCAAGTGATCCTCCTGCCTCAGCCTCCCAAAGTACTGGGATTATAGGTGTGAACCAACCACCTTATCTGGTCCATTTTTTTTTCTTTTTTTTTTTTTTTTTTTTTTGAGACGGAGTTTCGCTCTTGTTACCCAGGCTGGAGTGCAATGGCACGATCTCGGCTCACCGCAACCTCCGCCTCCTGGGTTCAGGCAATTCTCCTGCCTCAGCCTCCCGAGTAGCTGGGATTACAGGCACGTGCCACCATGCCCAGCTAATTTTTTGTATTTTTAGTAGAGACGGGGTTTCACCATGTTGACCAGGATGGTCTCGATCTCTCGACCTTGTGATCCACCCGCCTCGGCCTCCCAAAGTGCTGGGATTACAAGCTTGAGCCACCGCGCCCGGCCTATGGTCCATTTTTATATATTTTAGAAGGACATGCAGGGGTGGGACACAACACAACATCTGATTCAGAAACATTGGTGTTCCTGCATTGGAACTGAATTCATTTTCTGAGTGAAAAAAAAAGAAAAAGAAACATTGGTGATCCATCACATTCTTTTTATATGGGAGAAAACTGAGACCCACAGTAGATGAAAATTATCTGAAGTCATGTGGCTAGTTTTACAGAGCCAAGACTAGGACTCCTAGTCTTTCTTTTGATCCCTAATCCATTATTTGTATTATTATACAATTTGGGAATTATATAAATACTATTGTTAGCTTCCCTCCAATTAACACTAATTTGGCGTTTGTCTTAAAAACAATTCTGGACTAGATGATAATATTACCTTGTATTCATATAACACTTTTTCGAAACACATTTCCTTGTATGATCTCATTTTTATTTTATTTTATTTTTTGAAACCGGGTCTTGCTCTGTCACCCAGGCTGGAATGCAGTGGTGTGATCTCGACTCATTGCAGCCTCTGCCTCCTGAGTTCAAGTCATTTTCCTGCCTCTGCCTCTCAAGTAGCTGGGACTACAGACCTGTGCCATCACACTCAGCTAAATTTTGTATTTTTAGTAGAGACGGGGTTTCACCATGTTGGCCAGACTGGCTCATTTTTATTTTATCGTATCTTTGCCAAATGGAAGATTTTATTTTTTAAAAGTATACTATAGACTTAAGTCCCTTTCTTTTTTCTCTTCTTCCATTGCAGGGTCATGCGCCTGCAGGATGAGCTGGTCACCTTGCGTCTAGAGTGTACAAACCTGTACCGGAAGGGCCATTTCACTTCACTTGAATTGGTTCCACCCTCTGCTTTAACCACTACTCATCTGCAAGCAGAACCCTTAACCAAGGCAACCCATTCTTCCTCTACCTCCTGGTTCCGAAAGCCTATGACTCGGGTTGAACTTGTGGCTATCAGCTCCTCTGAAGATGAAGGCAATCTCCGATTTGTGTATGAACTACTGTCTTGGGTAGAAGAGATGCAGGTGGGTTTATATCCAAAAGTCTTATGCAGTATACTAATGTTTACTGGATCTAGCAGCATATCTAAGAGGACCAGATTGCTCTGTGTTCCCTCTGCAGATTCTCTTAATTATTATTATTCTTTTATTTGAGTGATGGGGTCTTACTATGTTGCCCAGGCTGAACTGGAACTCCTGGACTCAAGTGATCCTCCTGCCTCAGCCTCTTGAGTAGCTGGGACAATAGGTACATACCACCATACCTGGCTTGATTTTACTCATTATTGATGCTGCCTGGGACCCAGCCCACCATCTCCTTAGATCTTAAATGGATGAGGTTGGCACAAATTCTCAGTCCCATACTGAATAGCATACAGGTTTTTTGGGTTTATTTGTTTTGTTTTGTTTTGTTTTTTGAGACGGAGTCTTGCTCTGTCACCAGCCTGGAATGCAGTGGCACAATCTCGGCTCACTGCAACCTCTGCCTCCTGGGTTCAAGCAGTTCTTCCATCTCAGCCTCTCAAGTAGCTGGGACCACAGGCGTGTGCCACCACATCCGGCCAATTTTTGTATTTTTAAGTAGAGACGAGGTTTCACCCAGTTGGCCAGGATTGTCTTGATCTCTGACCTCGTGATCCACCCACCTCAGCCTCCCAAAGTGCTGGGATTACAGGCATGAGCCACCGTGCCTGGCAGCATACAGTTTTCTAATTTGAAACCTTTTGGGAATCTTTTCCCTTCAGCTAACTGTACTCATTTGAATGAGAGCTTGGGGGAAAATTGCAGTGTCTGTACATCTGTTATCTTCTTTTTTGTTTAAAATTTTTTATTTGTGGGTACATAAGAAGGTGTATATATTTATGGGATACATGAAATATTTTGATGTAGTCATGTAATGCATAATAATCACATGGAAAATGGGGTATCCATCATCTCAAGAAATTTATCCTTTGTTTTACAAACAATCCAGTCATATTCTTTTAGTTATTTAAAAATGTGTAGGCTGGGCTCTGTAGCTCACACCTATAATCCTAGCACTTTGGGAGGCCGAGGAGGGCAGATTATGTGAGTCCAGGAGTTCAAGACCAATCTGGACAGCATGTCAAACCCCCATCTCTACAGAAAAATAACTAGGAATGGTGGCGCACACCTGTGGTCCCAGCTACTTGGGAAGCTGAGTTGGGGGGATCACTTGAACCTGGGAGGCAGAGGTTGCAGTGAGCCAAGACTGCACTGCTGCGCTGCAGTCTGGGCAATAGAGCAGCACCCCACCTCAAAAAAAAATGTACAACTAAATTATTTTGACTATAGTCATCCTATTGTTCTATCAGATGCTAGGTATTATTCATTCTTCAACTATTTTTTGTTACTTACTAATCATCCCCAGCTCCCTCTGACCCCGTACTACTCTTCCCAGCCTGTTTTGATTTATACATCTCACAACTAAGTGAGAACATGTGATATTTGTGTTTCTGTGCCTAGCATATTTCACTTAACATAATAACCTCTAGTTCCATCCATATTATTGCAGATGACAGGTTCTCATTCTTTTTGTGTGGCTGAATAGTACTCCATTGTGTTTACCACATTTTCTTTTTCCATTCATCTGTGATGGACACTTAGGTTGCTTCCAAAGTCTGGCTGTTGTGAATAGCAGTACAGCAAATATGGGAATGCAGATATCTCTGATACACTGATTTTCTTTCTTTTGGGTATATACCCAGCAGTGGGATTGCTGGATCATATGGTAGCTCTATTTTTAGTGATTTGAGGAACCTCCAAACTGTTCTCCATAGTGGTTGTACTAATTTACATTCCCACCAAGAGACCAAGAGTGTACAGGGCTTCCATTTTCTCCATATCCTCACCAGCATTTGTATATTGCCTGTCTTTTGGATGAAAGCCATTTTAACCGGGGTGAAATGATACCGCATTGTAGTTTTGATCTGCATTCCTCTGATGATCAGTGATGTTGAGCACCTTTTTATATGCCTGTTTGCCATTCATATGTCCTCTTTTGAGAAATGTCTATTCAAATATTTTGCTCTTTTTTTTTTTTTTTTTTTTTTTTTTTGAGATGGAGTTTCGCTCTTGTTACCCAGGCTGGAGTGCAATGGCGCGATCTCAGCTCACCACAACCTCCGCCTCCTGGGTTCAGGCAATTCTCCTTCTTCAGCCTCCTGAGTAGCTGGGATTACAGGCACGTGCCACCATGCCCAGCTAATTTTTTGTATTTTTAGTAGAGACGGGGTTTCACCATGTTGACCGGGATGGTCTCGATCTCTCGACCTCGTGATCCACCCGCCTCGGCCTCCCAAAGTGCTGGGATTACAGGCTTGAGCCACCGCGCCCGGCCTTTGCTCATTTTTAATTGGATTATTAGATTTTTTCCAGTAAACTTATTTGAGCTCCATATATATTCCAGTTATTAATCCCTTGTCAGGCAAGTAGTTTGCAAATATTTTCTCCCATTCTGTGGGTTGTCTTTTTTTTTTTTTTTTTTTTTTTTTGAGACAGAGTCTTGATCTGTCGCCTAGGCTGGAGTGCAATGGCATGATCTCAGCTCATTGCAATCTTTGAGTTCTAAGTGATTCTTGTGCCTCAGCCTCCCAAGGAGCTGGGATTACAGGCGCCTGCCACCATGCCCAGCTAATTTTGTATTTTTAGTAAAGACAGGGTTTCACCATGTTAACCAGGCTGGTCTTGAGCTCCTCACCTCAAGTGATCCACCCACCTTAGCCTCCCAAAATCTTGGGATTACAGGTGTGAGCCATTGTGCACAGCCTGTCTCTTTGTTTTGTTGATTCGATGTGCAGAAGCTTCTTAACTTAATATAATCCCATTTGTCCATTTTAGCTTTGGTTGCCTGTGTTTGTGTGGTGTTGCTCAAGAAATTCTTTTCCAGTTCAGTGTCCTAGAGCAGGCGTCCCCAAACTGCGGCCCCCTGAGGCCATTTGTCCAGCCCTCCGCCGCACTTCAGGAAGGGGCACCTCTTTCATTGGTGGTCAGTGAGAGGAGCACAGTATGTGGTGGCCCTCCAACGGTCGGAGGGACAGTGAACTGGCCCCCTGTGTAAAAAGTTTGGGGACGCCTGTCCTAGAGAGTATTTCCAGTGTGTTCTTGTAGTAGTTTCATAGTTTAAGATGTTAGGTTTGTCCTTAATCCATTTTGATTTGATTTTTATATATGGTGAGGGGCAGAGGTCAAGTTTCATTCTTCTACATATGGATATCCAGTTTTTCCAGCACCATTTATTGAAGAGACTGTCCTTACCCCAGTATATGTTAATGGCACCTTTGTTGAAAATGCGTTCATTGTAGGTGTATGGATTTGTTTCTGCACTCTCTATTCTGTTCCTTTGGTCTATGTGTCAGTTTCTAGGCTAGTAACATGCTGTTTTGGTTAGCATAGCTCTGTAGTATAATTTGAAGTCAGGTAATGTGATTCTTCCAGTTTTGTTCTTTCTGCTCAGGATAGCTTTGGCTATTTGGGTCTTTTGTGGTTCCATATAAATTTTAGAATTGTTTTTTTCTATTTCTGTGAAGAATGTCTTGTATTTTTATAGGGTAAATCTGTTTTTTGCTTTTTGTTTTTTTTTAATTTCCTCATTGACAGAGGAGTTTATTCTTCGTTTTTTGTTGTTGATTGTAACTCTTAAGTTTAAGCAAGGCTGCTGTATTCCACAGTTCCAAGGGGCACTATTTATATGTGTTCTATGATAATGGTTCAAATTTGATATTGCCCTTACCTTTCTAACCATTTTGTTTTATATTAAATTCTTCCTATTCCCACATAATATATTCCCCATGTAAGAATAAATAAAAATATCCCAAAACAAGCTGATTTAAAATTATCTTCCACTGGCCATAGTTGATGGCATGACTAAAGCTAAATATTTTCAGATACTTCTTTCTTATATCCGTTATGATTGTGAAATGAAAACTCCATAAAGAGAAATGTCCAAACTAAAGTTAAGCATTTTGAGCTGTGGAGTTCCCTTCCCTTTCTGGTTGATTACTCTAGGAATGTATACTAATAATGCAGCAGCAAAAGGCTGCTCTGTTGTATAATTGGTGGGCTCTGCTCTCCTCCTTAGGGGCAATGCTGGCATAATTGTTTTGTAAGAGCTGTAGACTAAAGGAGATGGCTTAGTTATTCTTTTGCTCAGTCCTCTACCCCTCGCCTCCTTGTCCAAACATTGATTCTGACTGTTTTCCTACCAACCCAGCAGTAAATTATGTCATATATATATATTTTTCTTTTTCAGATGAAACTGGAGCGAGCAGAGTGGGGCAATGACCTGCCTAGTGTGGAGTTGCAGCTAGAAACACAGCAGCACATCCATACCAGTGTAGAAGAGCTGGGCTCAAGTGTCAAGGAGGCCAGGTTGTATGAGGTGTGTAGCCCTCAGAATCCACATTACAAGAGGGACATGGGTAGAACAGATGAAAGGATAGTACACACAATAAAGCTGTAGCGAAGGAGGAGGGTGCTCTGGGAAAGAATAATGATGATGAAGAGTGGTTTATGACAAATTCCCTTTTCACATGAAGTGTTTCTGTTAATCTTTGAAATAAACTTGTGAGAAAAGCATTTTTATTAACCCCTTTTTACTAAAAAGAAAAGTAATACTGGAAGCTAAGGTCAAAATTAGTAAGTAGCGGATGCAGCATCCAAACTCAGGCCCTCTTCCTATAAATTCATGCACTTTTTACTCCCATCTGCCTACAGTTGAGAGCTGGTATAGAGAAACTATTCACGCAGTCTCCCTTCTCCTTCAGTCACTGTTCTATCTCATTTTATATTTCAACTCTCTCCTTCAATAAAGCAATTGAATGGGAATCATCAGGCATTGGTTTTGCTTAGAAGCCTCCCAGAATTGCTGGAAACACAGGATAGTGAGGTCTGTTGTTTGTAATTACGCTGCTCAACTGTTGCCCACTTAGTGCTGCTCCAAGCTATAAAATCTGACTCAGAAATTTGTTGTCTCAGCTTCTCTTTTCTTAGAGCAACCAATCCATATCTTTGTGCAGACATAATATTTACATAGTTGCAACCATAGCACATAGTTTACTTATTCTTTCTCTAGTGTATTTTTATTTTATTCTTTTTTAATCAGGGAAAGATGTCCCAAAATTTCCGTACCAGCTATGCTGAAACTCTTGGAAAGCTGGAGACACAGTATTGTAAATTGAAGGTGAGTTTCTGCCAATTCTCTTTTGTTCTGCTCATACAGAGTCTGTTTCCCTCCAATCAAATCTCTTCCCTAATTCAGAAATCTTCTGATTTGGCCCTGTTTTGGTTTTCTGCTTATTAGGTTATGTCATTTACTATGCACTTTTTCATATGTATTATAACATTTTCTGAGTTTTCTTAATGGGTCAGAAACCACTGTTCTTGAAAGTTTTAAGTAAATAGAACCTATCCTAGTTATTGTGCTTCACCAAACCTGTGGCTATATGTGCTTTGACACACCAAAACTAAAAGTTTATTGGTAGAGGGGACTTTCCCTCTGATTTGTTGTTTTTCATCCCTATCAAGATTGTCCAGAGTAAGACATCCCAGGATCATTCTTTAGCCAGGGAGCACCACAAAGGCCTTATGAATTCTGTCTTCTACTTAGGATTGACTAGAGTTCTGGGAGAAACTTACACAAAACTTGAATCCATGGGGAAAAAATCCAGAGATTAAAAGCAAATTCATTTCCTAAGTTATTCTCTCTTTTGATGTCAAATGTGCTGTCTTCTACAGATACAAAGGCTGGCAGTCTAACCTCATAATTCTTGCTTTGTCTAGGAAACTTCTAGCTTCCGGATGAGGCACCTTCAGAGCCTGCATAAATTTGTTTCCAGAGCTACAGCTGAGTTGATCTGGTTAAATGAGAAGGAGGAGGAGGAACTGGCATATGACTGGAGTGACAACAATCCCAATATCTCAGCCAAGAGAAATTACTTCTCTGTGAGTCTAGCACAGCAGCAGGCCTGTCTATTTACTGAACAGCAGCAGCAGGAGACAGGCTAATCTGCTGAAAGCTTGAGTGGCTGGAGTTGCACTCTGCTAGATAGAAATAGGCGCCCTACTCAATGCATCCGTGCATGTGAGAAGTGTAAGTGGAGAGAGAGACAGTAGAGCCCTAGAATTAATTTATCTAGAATGCATTTAGAATGGCAGTGTTGGCTGGGTGCAGTGGCTCACAATTGTAATCCCAGCATTTTAGGAGGCCGAGGCACGTGGACCATGAGGTCAGGAGATCAAGACCATCCTGGCCAACATAGTGAAACTCCATCTCTACTAAAAATACAAAAATTAGCCAGGTGTGGTGATGGGTGCCTGTAGTCCTAGCTATTTGGGAGGCTGAGGCAGGAGAATTACTTGAACCCAGGAGGTGGAGGTTACAGTGAGCCGAGATCACGCCACTGCATTCCAGCCTGGGTGACAGAGCAGGACTCCATCTCAAAAAAAAAAGGAAGTGTCTTGGGTGAATAGAGCATCAGCCTATAAATTGAGTCATTTCAGAAGCAATACAGCTTTGTGGTTAAGATTATAGGCTTTGGAGTGAGGCAGATCTAAGTTCAAATTCTTATTTTTCCACTAACTAGCTGTATAACCTTGGGAAGTCATTAAATCTCTTTGGACCTCCATAAAATAATAGCAACACTTCAAGGCTACCCTCAGTCCTAATAGCACTTATTCCCAAAGGATTGTATAAAAGATTAAGATTTAATAAGCTAATCTAGACAAAGCATTTAGTATAAATGTTTTAATTGGGGTATACTCTGGGCTTTCCACAAATTTCTGAATGTTCCTTAATTAATATATTAACTTTTTTGTTTCAGTCTCTTCATTTGTAAAATGAGAAGAGAAATTTAACATTGGACAATTAAGACACTGCTTTTTTTTTTTTTCTAGAGCAACTGTTTGTTAAAGGACACTGCTTTTTATTCTTTTCAATGAAAGATGTAGACAAGTTAGGATTATTTTTGCTACTTTTAGTATTTTCACACAAGATTTTTAAAGATTTTGTAAACTATGCAAATAGGGAGATTTTTGTTTTTGTTTTTAACTAACATACACTAAGATTCTTTAATTTTATTGATTTAGGGTTCTTAAAAAATATGTCCCCAATCAGGAAAAGGGCATATAATTCTACTGAATTAAAGAGGAAAGAATGGATGCTGTAATACAATAAACAGTCTGTGTGAGAACTGAAATTAGGCAATAACAGAGATATAAAGAAAGTGCTCTGAGGCTGGGCACAGTGGCGCATGCCTGTAATCCCAGCACTTTGGGAGGCTGAGGTGGGAGGATCACAAGGTCAGGGGTTCAAGATCAGCCTGACCAACATGGTGAAACTCTGTCTCTATGAAATTTAAAAAAAAAGAAAGTGCTTTGAAAACATAGTAAGGATCGGTACCCAGCTTCACAAAAGAGCTGGCACTCAAATTGGGTCCTGCAGTTAATAGAATTTAGAGTCAAAGGAGAGCATTATGGGTTGAGGGAATAGTCTGAGCAAAGCCAACCAGTCATTGATACCCATGTCCTGGTGTGTCATGTACTGGTGTGGGTGTTGACGTGCAGGAACTGTCCACTCCAGCCAAGTTACCCCCTTTGTCTGGTCCAATGCTCATTCTGTGTTCCCCCATTTTACTCATGTCTGGCTTAGATTCCATGTCCTTTGTGAATCATTTTCTAATAATTCCAGTGTTTGTGCCCTTCTCTGCAATCCTCTGGCATGCACTGCTTATACATCTCATTTTGCCACCAATTCTGTATTGTAGGTTCCTTTAAAATAGGGCAGGGAACACAGCTTTTATTTATGCTATCCACTCCCCACAACCAGAAGCACTTATTCTTTAAAATTTGAATTCTATTTTCAGGAGTTGACAATGGAACTGGAGGAGAAACAGGATGTGTTTCGTTCTCTACAAGATACAGCAGAACTACTTTCACTTGAGAACCACCCAGCCAAGCAGACAGTGGAGGTATGTGACTTGAGAATATGTGAAAGTCAAATGCTGAGAGGTTGTCGTTATAAAACTATTCACATTAGAGACTTTGTTCCGCTGAAAGACCTGGAAGAAGTGTCAGGATCATTTGTCTTGAGTCTTCTCTCTTTTCATTCCTGACTGCTCCTATATCCCTCAAAAGCCTGCAAACATTTTTGATAGTCTAAGGAGACTACTAAGAGAAATAGTAGAAGGAACATTGACTCCCAACTTTAGGAGGAGAAGTTCCTTGGACCATATTTCTTCAAATAACTGTCCAGACAAATCCTGCCTCTTATTGGTGTTGTGCCTTTGCCAAAAGAAGATAAACAGCAGAAGAATTCAGGAGGGATTTATTTATGCCTGGGTTTTGCTGCCTAGATCATTTACTTAAAACTGAGTATGGAAGAGGCCTTTTCTGTGTTACCCCCTCTAAAAAAACCATTTTGGATTAAAGGCACACCTCTTACTCATGAGAAGCATTGAGCAGATGCTAGCTTCTCTATCATTTGCAGAGTTATACTTGGAAAACAGTATTGCGCATGTGTATTGGGTCTGTTAAACGCATGCCCTTCTGTCTGTGTGCTTGTTTATTGCAGGCTTACAGTGCTGCTGTCCAGTCTCAGTTGCAGTGGATGAAGCAGCTGTGCCTATGTGTTGAGCAGCATGTGAAAGAGAATACTGCTTATTTTCAGGTATGATGGGTTTCAGTGTTTATGTGTGTGTATACATATGTATGTTGAAGGTGAGGTTACAAACACATCTGCATTAGTTAGTCAGCTTTTGCTGTATAAACCACCACCCTAAAATTTAGGTGCTTAAAACACTAGTCATTTTAGGTAGCTCATGATTCTGTAGGTTAGCAGTTTGGGCAGGGCTCAGCTGAGTGGTTCGTCTTATCTTGCCTGTCTTACTCATGGCTGTAGACAGATTGGGGTTAGTTGGTCCCAAATGGCATCACTCTTATGTCTGAGAGTTGGCTAGGTACTGGAGCACCAAGCCATGTGTCTCTAGCATCCAGCAGCCTTCTTCACAAAGTGACTGTGTTCCATAAACAGCAAGAGAGAGCAAGTCTTAGAGCACAAGCCCTTTTTTTCTGCTTCTGTCACATTTATTAATGTGCCTTTGGTCACACCAGACATGCGGCTATGCCTAGCTCAAGGTGAGGAGAAATAGACTCCACCTCTTGATGGGAGGAGCTGTAAAATATTATGACCTTTTTTTTTTTCTTTTTTCAATCTATCAGAACATGAAAGAAGGTACTGCTTATTTTCAGGTGAGATGGGAAGAGGAAATAAGCTGTTTTCTTTGTTTTTGCCCTGAATTAAATAATCTCCCTGATTATTTCATAGTATGAATTGAAACATTTGATGAAACATTTCGGTCACTCAACCTTAGGTTTTTCATGAAATACACCCCACAGCCAAATGCTGTCCCTTGCCAGAAGTCAAGAGGAAAGAGCAGGGATTGAAACAGGCTAACTTTTCTATAGGGTAGGGTTTGAGGTAGTCAACACCAATATTTTACTGCATGGCTTTTCAAGCCCTTCAGTTTTTGTTTCAGTGGTCCTTGTAATGAACTGTCACTAATCCAGTAGGTTGTAATCAGCTTTGCTAAGCTCTGCACAGTAAAATTATTCTTTCTTAGTTAACATTCCTGTGTTCTGACGTTTTGAGCAGAAGACATCCTCCCTTTGTCTTCCCATAGTTCTTCAGTGATGCCCGAGAACTGGAGTCATTCTTGAGGAACCTCCAAGATTCCATTAAACGAAAATATTCCTGTGACCACAACACCAGTTTATCCCGCCTTGAAGACCTGCTCCAGGACTCCATGGTGGGTGTTGCCTCAGTGGGGATGATTACTTCTGAGAAAGAGAGTAAACCGTATCAGCTGCTGCTGTTTATATCCTTGAAAGCTCCAGGGCAATGGGTCACTGTTATAATAAAGTTTGACTTACATTCAAATAGAGTTTAATCAATGTTGTTCTGTCTCTTTCCTTTTTTTCCTTTTCTTTCCTTAAAGGAGTTGCTAATAAGATTTCTTTGGGTATGTTATTGAAGTAAAGGCCTAGTCTTCTCCTCTGAGACACTTTGAGCTCATCGTACTTTCTTTGCATTTTTCCTATTTTAATGTAAAAGATGGAGCCAAGGATGACGTGTTGAGCATGAAAAAAGGGGTTGAAGGGGATTAGTTGCTATCAAATTCTTTTTTACTATCTTATGCAAAAAAAGAAATATGCCTTAGTCAGATTTTCCTCCTTGGTACTTTTCTTTTAGATGATAATTAAAATTGATTTTAATTCAAACAGACATTAAAATCTTATTTAGATGTGATATAATATTTGTGCAGTTATGTATGTAGCAATATTAAGTTTTTTTTTTTTTTGAGACGGAGTTTCGCTCTTGTTACCCAGGCTGGAGTGCAATGGCGTGATCTCGGCTCACCGCAACCTCCGCCTCCTGGGTTCAGGCAATTCTCCTGCCTCAGCCTCCTGAGTAGCTGGGATTACAGGCACACGCCACCATGCTCAGCTGATTTTTTGTATTTTTAGTAGAGACGGGGTTTCACCATGTCGACCAGGATGGTCTCGATCTCTCGACCTCGTGATCCACCCGCCTCGGCCTCCCAAAGTGCTGGGATTACAGGCTTGAGCCACCGCGCCCGGCTATAAACATCTTTCTTTTTTTTTTTTTTTTTTTTTTTTTTGAGACGGAGTTTCGCTCTTGTTACCCAGGCTGGGGTGCAATGGCGCGATCTCGGCTCACCGCAACCTCCGCCTCCTGGGTTCAGGCAATTCTCCTGCCTCAGCCTCCTGAGTAGCTGGGATTACAGGCACGCGCCACCATGCCCAGCTAGTTTTTTTTTGTATTTTTAGTAGAGACGGGGTTTCACCATGTTGACCAGGATGGTCTCGATCTCCTGACCTTGTGATCCACCCGCCTCGGCCTCCCAAAGTGCTGGGATTACAGGCTTGAGCCACCGCGCCCGGCCATGCAATATTAAGTTTTAAAAAATAGTTTATAGGCTGGCACGGTGGCTCACGCCTGTAATCCCAGCACTTTGGGAGGCCGAGGCGGGTGGATCACAAGGTCAGGAGATGGAGACCATCCTGACTTAAACAGTGAAACCCTGTCTCTACTACAAATACAAAAAATTAGCTGGGTATGGTGGCACATGCCTGTAGTCCCAGCTACTTGGGAGGCTGAGGCTGGAGAATTGCTTGAACCCAGGAGGCAGAGGTTGCAGTGAGCCAAGATGATGCCACTGCACTCCAGCCTGGGCAATAGAGCAAGACTATGACTCAAAAAAAGAAAAGTTTTACATTCAATATTTAGTTAATCAATTTTATATTCATTTTCTCGGTGAATTATTCCTTCAGGAGTGCTGATAATTAAATTAGCAGGAAGACTACTTATATTTAGTGAATGTATATAGAGTTGGCAAGACAAGGCTCAAGCTACATCTCAAATTAAGATAGAAATGTCTATGCAATAGGGAACTTACTTTTCCTTTGAGAGAAGCAAGGGGAATCTCGAATTTCAGTAGAAAAGTCTAAATAAGAGAACTAGAATAACCCAAAACAGTTTACTTTTTTAGTGGGTAAGATTTGGGCATTTGTGAATATAAAGTTTTTTTTTTTTTTTTTACACTTTTAGGTACTGTAAACCTATGAGTGGTTTTACATTCACCTGGACAAATAGTCCGTTTATTTAATTAATTTGAAATCAAGGATGAAAGCCTGACTTTTCAGATGTTGTCTCTAAAATGTCTCTCTCGGAGGTACTACAAGTATGAAGGAGGAATATAATCCTTGGCTATTATGTCCTTCCTCCCTCCCACAGAGTACCTTCTGTCATAGGGTAACTCCTCTGCAATGGTTGTCATATCTTCTCTTCTCGAGGGTCGCTGCTCTGTTCCCTCCTCTCCAGGTCAGGGGCATCGGGTTGGCGCTGTCATCGGGGCATGGAGTCACCTGGGTCTCCTCCTCAGCTTGTCCGTCAGGTTCGGGAGCATCTGTCCTGGCTTCTGGTTCTTTTCAGAACTTCTACCATGCTGAGCACTTTCTCTTGAGCTTGAGCTGTTTGTCTATGGGTTAGACAGAAATTGACATCTTTATTGCAAGGAAACTGAAATGGGTAGACCAGCTTTCAAGTATGGAAATGTGGCTGTCTCCCTGATATATTCCATTCCTCTTTCTTAACTAATAAGTTAAAGTTGTATTTCTTCCAATCATGCTCCCGGGGACAGGCACAGGTAGTTTATTTAAGCATTTCTTTTTCTTTACTTGCATATTCTTAGTTCTTTAATGGCATTTCCTAACATTATTAACTCTTTACTCTCATCACATCTACATCCATCCTAAGAAAGCCCTCTTCTGGGGAGAATTTTATACCTCAAAATGGTCTTGAAACATCTGGGTTAATGGATAAAGTTTATCTATTACTCTTTAATGGAATTGGTAGTAGATTGCTACCAATTTTGTTAACAAGAAGTTTATTCATTTTAAAAATTACTGGATTTGCAGAGATTTGAGTTTCAATTTTGCATGATACTTCTTTCTAACCAATCAAATTTATATGAATATAGCACAGCATATACTAAGAGGTAAACCCTACATCATTTGTCATGATACCTTCACCAGCAGCATTGTTGGTTGAAGAGCTAAGATCTTTCTCTAGAAAGCTTGACTCAATTTAGGAAAACCAAATATTTGGAGTAGACCTTGGGAGATATAATTATTCTTTAAAAATTTGAGGAAAGTATAAATAGCTTCTCCTAAGCAGAAAGGGAAGAACTGGTTTCTACCAGTGAGAAATTGGCTAATAATAATATACTTATTATTGATTTTAACTTTCGTGTTCTCTGAATCATATTTAGGTAAATTTTTTATTAGCTATATAGCTGTATTTGGAAGCTAGAAGTATTTGTTTTTATTTTGGTTTTTGCATGTGGCTTTATGGTTCATTGAAAGTGGCACAGGGAGAAAGCTGCAAAGTTTGAGTGCAAAAGCACTTGGTAGAAGATAGAATAATTCCTTTTTTGTTTATCCTTGTCTAAGTCTTTAAGATGGCTCCACCAACCATCCCTACTTAACTGAGAGATGACATTCTCTGAGGGAGTGGAGTAATCAGTTTTCTTTGTTGACTTAGTCAACCTGAATAGCTACATTTATGTCATTTTGTTTTTCTTCTCATTTTGTAGGATGAAAAGGAACAGCTTATACAGTCCAAGAGTTCTGTTGCCAGTCTTGTTGGGAGATCAAAAACTGTTGTGCAGCTAAAACCACGCAGTCCAGACCATGTGTTAAAGAGCACCATTTCTGTTAAGGCCATCTGTGACTATCGGCAGATTGAGGTGAGGAGGTGGAAAGAGTACAGCTGGGCTGCAGAGGGAAGGGTTATGATAAGGAAAGATAAAATTTTAGAGTTTTAAGAATTAGAATTTAGCCAGGCATGGTGGCTTATGCCTGTAATCCCAACACTGTGGGAGGCTGAGGCAGGTGGATCACGAGGTTAGGAGTTCAAGACCAGCCTGGCCAGCATGGTGAAATGAAACCCTATTTCTACTAAAAATACAAAAAAAAAAGTTAGCCGGGCGTGGTGGCAGACACCTGTAATGCCAGTTACTCAGGAGGCTGAGGCAGGAGAATTGCTTGAACCCAGGAGGCAGAGGTTGCAAAATAAATAAATAAATAAATAAATAAACAAACAAACAAACAAACTAAAAGCTTCAACCTTATAATCTTGACCTGCTCCCTTGGCATTGTTATCTACTCAGTTGCCTAAGTGTTGACAGAGATAGTACTTTGTAGCACCTGGGAGATATCCTTGACTCCCCCACCCCTCTTATCCTCCACAGCTGGTAAGACCATCAAATTTGTACTAATTTGTAAATAGCTCTGCTACTACCACTCTAAGAGCATAAGAGGCTGGGTGTGATGGCTGATGCCTGTAATCCCAGCACTTTGGGCAAAGAGCATGGATCACTTGAGCTCAGGAGTTCAAGGCCAGCTTGGGCAACATGGTGAACCCACGTCTCTACAAAAATTAGCCAGGTGCGGTGATGTGCAGCTGTAGTCCCAGCTACTCGGGGGGGTTGAGCCAGCAGAATCACTTGAGCCCAGGAGGTGGAAGTTGCAGTGAGCCAAGATCACACCATTCACACTCTAGCCTGGGTGACAGGAGTGAAACCCTGTTAAAAAAAAAAAAAAAAAAGGCCTAAGTTTCTTTCACTTGAATTATTGTATCAGCCTCCTCATTTAGTGCACAAAGGATCCTACCACCGGCATGGGTTTTTTTTTTTTCCATTTAAATAACAATCCTCTCCTTAAGTCATTAATTACTCATTGCTCTTGGGAAAAAGCCTAAACTGATTAATGTGGCTTTAAAATCCTGAGTAATCTGTCTTTACCTCTCTAGCCATGACTGGGTCATATCCTTTACATTATTCCCTGGTAAATTGCATTTGTCACACAGTTTTATAACTACATATATCACCAGAACATGTGAAAATACCACGTTTGTCTGCTTACCACAGTACTTTTAATTAATTAATTAATTTGTGACAGGGTCTCACTCTGTGGCCCAGGCTGGAGTGCAGTGGCACTATCATGGCTCACTGTAGCCTTGACCTCCCTGGACTCAGGTGATGCTCCCACCTCAGCCTCCCGAGTAATTGGGACTATAGGCATGCACTACTATACCTGCCTAATTTTTGTATTTATTGTAGAGATGAGGTTTTGCTATGTGGCTTAGGCTGGTCTCAAACTCCTGGGCTCAAGTGGCCTGCCTACCATAGCCTTCTGAAGTCCTGGGATTATAGGTGTGAGCTGCTCTCCCTGGCCAATTCTACTGTTTTAATCTCCAGTGTCCTAGCACATAGTAGACACTCAAGAAATATGTGTTATACAAAAGAATGAATGAATTTAAAAATGGAAAAAATTAAAATTTCAAAATGAGACTGTACTTTTGTGTGTCTTGATATTTCTGCTTATAAGTTAGGGATAATACTCTTGATCACTTGTCTCTCAAGAGAAAGACATGATAATTCAAAAATGCTTAAACATTTTCAGGGGTTTGGGTGGGATGATAGGAAGGGAGGAAAATCATAAAAACAATGTTTTGATTATTCATATTCCATTAATTTTTACTCTGGTAGATTTCTGTGCTGAGTTTGCTCTTGAGTCTTTGTAGTCTCTTTATAACTTTCATACACTTCGTTACTTGGCATGTAACAGGCATTTAATACACATTTGTTTCCTTGATTTATTTGGCATCACAATTTTTTCTGTGTTGTATGTTTATACCTATTATCTTTTGGCAAAATCAGAACCCCACACTAAGTGATAGCAGATCTTTTCTTAAGCAGATTTTTTTCTTAAGGATTTGATAGCCTTGGAATGAGGCACCAGATTAATGATGGGTTGTTGGTTTACCCATTAGCAATAACTGGTAAATTTATCTCTTCAGATTACTATTTGCAAGAATGATGAATGTGTGCTAGAAGATAATTCTCAGCGGACCAAATGGAAAGTGATCAGCCCCACAGGGAATGAGGCAATGGTGCCATCAGTCTGCTTCCTCATTCCCCCACCCAATAAGGATGCCATTGAGATGGCCAGCAGGTAACTTGGCTCAGCTGCCACTGGTACAGCCACCTCTGCTGTTGGCCTCAGTGAACTGATGGAGGGATAAGTGTGCCTTTGTGGATCTTCTTGAACACAGTTGTAAAGTTCCTCCAGGGAGAGACTTCTCACTGGAGATATCAAGTCTACTACTGCCAGCCACATAGTAGATCTTCAATAAATACTTTTGTTAAGCTAGAGTATATTCAGTGAACTCTTATAGATAGTTTACTCTCCCAAGATTGATTTTTTTTACCAGCGTGGCCAACATAGTAAAACCCTGTCTCTACTAAAAATACAAAAATTAGCTGGACGTAGTGACACATGCCTATAGTCCCAGCTTCTTAGGAGGCTGAGGCATGAGAATCACATGAACCCAGGAGGTGGAGGTTGCTGTCAGCTGAGATTGCACCACTACACTCCAGCTGCCTGGACGGCAGAGTGAGACTCCATCTCAAAAAAAAAAAAAAAAAAAAAAAAGGGGGAAGATTGGATCGGGCGCAGTGGCTCAACGCCTGTAATCCCAGCACTTTGGGAAGCCATACAGGCAGATCACTTGAGATCAGGAGTTCAAGACCAGCCTGGCCAACATGGTGAAATCCTATCCCTACTAAAACAAAAAAAAAAAAATTAGTTGGGCATAATGGCAAGTACCTATAATTCCAGCTACTCAGGAGGTTGAGGCAGGAGAATTGCTTGAACCTGGGAGACAGAGGTTGCAGTGAGCCAAGCTCAGATCATGCCACTGCATTCTAGCCTGGGTGAAAGAGGGAGACTCCATTTCCAAAAAAAGGAAGATTGATTTTTTTAATAAAAATGGCAGCTTATGTTATATATAGGCTGGACACCATGGTTCTTGCTTGTGATTCTAGCACTTTGAGAGTCTGAGGCTACTGGATTACTTGAGGTTAGGAGTTCAAGACCAGCCTGAGTAACATGTTCAAACTCCATCTCTACTAAAAGTACAAAAAATTAGCTTTGCATGGTGGTGCACAACTGTGGTCCCAGCTACTATGGAGGCTGAGGTAGAAGAATTGCTTGAACCCAGGGGTGGAGGTTGCAGTGAGATGAGATCACGGCACTGCACTCCAGCCTGGGCAACACAGTGAGACTCTGTCTCCCCCTACCGCCCCCCCCAAAAAAAATACACACACACACATTTTAGAAAGTTGAGTTATACTACAAAGTTTATTGTAATAAAAATTAGCTATTACCTGGCTGGTCCCATAGTTCCACTTTGCAGAGTCAACTGTTTTAAGCTGTTTTAGTAGATTTTGCTGGTTTATCAATCTACATTTCCAAGTATTATTTTTTTCCTGCTATTTCCTTGTTTGTTTTCAACTTCAGAAATTATCTATTAACTTTTTACTCTAGGAAATTAGCATTTAGCTTTCTATATATACATGCATGCATATACTTCTTTCATCTTTCAAATGTGGTTATGTCACAGTTTGTGTTTAAGTTGGCATTTTTTGTTTTATTAGTACATGCATTGTTTAAAACTGAGCCACATTGTACTCTAGGGACTATTGTGAGGTGACTGTGCCTTACCTCTCTGAACTCATCCTCTGCCACTCTCCCTGCTTAGCTGCAGTCACTCTGGTCTTTTCTCTGTTTCTCAGACACAAACAGCATATTCTTGCCTCAGGGCCTTTCCACTTCCTGCTTGCTTCTGATATTTACACGATTCACTCCCTCACTTCATTCAGTTTATCTTAGAACCCTCATGGACCACCATACCCACTCACTGCATACCACTCTGTGTCTTCTTTACTCATTTTATTTTTCTTCAGAACTCTTAATATTGCCTAACAGATTATGTATTTGTTTATCCTCTCCTGTTAGAGATTTTTGTCCATTTTATTTGCTGCTGTATCTTTAGCACCTAGAACCATTCCTAGCAGCACATAGTAGGTATTCAATAAATTATTGTTGAAAGTATGAATGAGTAGGTGAGTGAATATATTTATGAATAAATTATTTACTTGTTTGTTTGTTTGTTTGTTTGAAATGGAGTCTCCCTCTCTCTCCCAGGCTGGAGTGCAGAGATGCAATCTGGGGTCACTGCTACCTCTGCCTCCCCTATTCAAGTGATTCACCCGCCTCAGCCTCCCGAGTAGCTGGGATTACAGGCATGCCACGCCTGGCTAATTTTGTATTTTTAGTAGAGATGGTTTCTCCATGTTGGTCAGGCTGGTCTTGAACTCCTGACCTCAAGTGATTCACCTGCCTCAGCCTCCCAAAGTGCTGGGATTACAGGAGTGAGCCACCAGGCCCGGCCTTATTTACTTTTTTATATCATTTTTGTTTCCTTGGAGTGGGTAATTGTTCTGTTCTTTAGATTCCTTAGTTGTCCCCAAACTCTGCTACATTACTGTAAAAGGCTTCCCAGTATGGCCAAATACCACAGGAAATTTTCATTTTTCTTTTGGAAAGATTTATTCTGGACCATTCTATCTTTTTTTTTTTTTTTTGAGACGGAGTTTCGCTCTTGTTACCCAGGCTGGAGTGCAATGGCGCGATCTCGGCTCACCGCAACCTCCGCCTCCTGGGCTCAGGCAATTCTCCTGCCTCAGCCTCCTAAGTAGCTGGGATTACAGGGACGCGCCACCATGCCCAGCTAGTTGTTTTGTATTTTTAGTAGAGACGGGGTTTCACCATGTTGACCAGGATGGTCTCGATCGTTCGACCTCGTGATCCACCCGCCTCGGCCTCCCAAAGTGCTGGGATTACAGGCTTGAGCCACCGCGCCCGGCCCATTCTATCTTTTTTTATTTTTTAAGTCTGGACCAGTTCTGTAGGCCTGATTCAGTACTGCATCCGTGTTATTACACTCTGTGGAGTCACTTCACCTCTCTTCTATGCTGGACCCACTAATTCCTAGATTCCAAGTCTTATTTATTAGTGTATTCCCTGGTTTGGTGGATTACACTCTCCACTGCCCTAAAGACTGAGTAGGAGTTAAATTTTTTGACACCTCTTATCTCTGAAAATGTCTGTCATCTTCCTTCTCTAACTGGCAAGATAGATAATTTGTTTTGGAAATTATTATTATTATTTTTGAGATGGAGTCTCGCTGTGGTTCCTAAGCTGGAGTGGCGTGCACAATTTTAGCACACTCTAACCCTACCTCCCAACCTCAGGTGATCCAACCACCTCGGCCTCCCAGAGTGCTGAGATTATAGGCGTGAGCCACTGCCCCCAGCCTAATTTTTGTATTTTTAGTAGAAAATGGTTTCACCATGTTGGCCAGACTGGTCTCAAACTTCTGACCTCAAGTAGTCTGCCCACCTCAACCTTCCAAAATGCTGGAATTACAGGGGTGAGCCACAATGCCCAGCCTGGAAATTATTTGTACTCTGAACTTTGAAACCATTGCTCTATTGCTTTCTAGCTTTCAGGATTTTTGTTTAGATATATAGTGCCATTTTCATTTTCTCTCTTTTTTTTTTTAGGGTTTATATATATTAAAACTCACCTTTTGTCATGAGCAGTACTATTGGTTTTGACAAAGGCTTAGAATTGTTTATCCTTCACCTCTATTGTAATATGAAAGAGTTTGATACTTTTACCTTTTTGTAAGAAACCTTTTTCTCTGGAAGTGTTTAAACTCTTCTCTTTGTCTCTAATCTTTGAAAGGGATGCTGTACCTTTGAGTCTTTTTGCGTTTATTATGCTAATAAACACAAACTAGAAACTCATCTTTCAAGTCTGGGGAAATTTTTTTTGAATTATTTCTTTAATTATTTATTCTCCTTTTTTTTCAGTTCTTGCTTTTAAGAACTCCCATTTGTTGAATGTTGAACCTCCTGAACTGATGTTCTACTGTTCTCTTACTTTCTAGTTTTTTGTTTGTTTTCTGTTTGTTTTGCATCTTTATATTTTTATTCTTCATTGGGATTTCCTGAACTTTGAATTTCAACTCTACTGAAATTTTATTGGGGCTTTTGGAAAGAAGGGATATTAAACTTACGGGTTTAATGCCTCTTATTTAACTGATGTCCTGGCTTCTAATTTTCTATCCTGTTCTTTATATCTTACATTTTTTTCTCAAATTGAAGAAATTCAAGGTAACATATTACGTGTATAAGAGAGAGTATGTCTGTGTATTTGTGTGTTTGTAAGACTTCTTGAAATCAAGATTGAATTAGACATGAGATGCTTGGAAAAAATATCTCAAACCCTTCATACTGCAGATTTCTTTTATATACCAGGGGAATTTCTTAAGCTGCTATTAAGTTCTCAACATTTTAGCATTTTCGTAAATATTTGGAACACAGCAAATCAGTTTTTAATCATTGATATAATTATTTTTCAACAATTCTGAATGGGATATTGTTTATACCTTTCTCTATTATTTGCTCTCTTTGGTTATTTCTTCTCTCTGACTTTTAGTCATCATATTATACACAGGTAACATTTATGAGATTACTAAATATGTGCTAACATAATATGCATAATACTATAGCAAATCCAAATCAAAGATCTCAATTAATAAATGTAGTTTAGTCCAGGCATGGTGGCTTACACTTGTAATCCCAGCACTTTGGGAGGCTGAGGTGGGTGGATCATGAGGTCAGGAGTTTGAGACCATCCTGGCCAACACAGTGAAACCCTGTCTCTACTAAAAATACAAAAAATTAGCCAGGCATGGTGGCACAGGCCTGTAAGCCCAGCTACTCGGGAAGCTGAGGCAAGAGAATCGCTTCAACCCAGGAGGTGAAGGTTGCAGTGAGCCGAGATTACACCATTGCACTCCAGCCTGGGCAACAGGGTGAGACTCCCTCTCAAAAAAAAAAAAGAAAGTAGTTTTTGTTGTTGTTGTTAATGTTTTAATAGACATGAGGTCTCACTATGTCGCCTAGGCTGGTCTTGAACTCCTGTAGTTCAAGTAGTCCTCTCACCTTGGCCTTCAAAAGTTCTGAGATTACAGCAGTGAACCACCACGCCCAGCCTCAATTTATTTAATTCTTAAAAATTCCTGGGATGTTAGTCTTGTTCCCTTTCTCTGCTCAGCATAGGCTCAGTTCTGCTAAGGTAATCACGTTTTTCCTTAGAAGGTCTCTAATATGGAGTTCAAGTCTTACAAAGGTAATAGTCAGATTCTGTGTTATTTCTAGGGTCGAACAGTCTTACCAGAAGGTGATGGCCCTTTGGCACCAGCTACATGTTAACACCAAAAGCCTTATTTCTTGGAACTATCTTCGTAAAGACCTTGACCTTGTACAGACCTGGAACCTGGAAAAGGTAATTGAAAACTTTACCCCAGGCTTGCATTCTGTTGGCAAGATTTTTTTTAAAGGAGCTTTTTTTTTATTACTGTGAGACGTTTTTCCAGCCGAATGGAGTAAAGTGGACTCAGGTATACTGTTTTAGAGTTAGAGACCTGAGGTGCTTACAAACTAGAAGTAGCAATTTGAATGGTAAAGGAAATTCCTAATTAGAATAAGTAACATCTTCGGTCTTCTTAGCAGTGGGAGAAGGTTGCAGGATTTTACTCACTCTGTAAGACAAGCATGTCTTTTGCATAAGAGTATATAGTAGGTGAATAGTTGTGAACAACTATTAAGAATTATGTCCAGTGGGGCATGTCGGGTGCTTCTGGGGTGCTGGTAATGTTCTGCTTCTTAACCTGAATGCTCATTAAATGGAGGAATTTAAATTATAAAAGTCAACATGTTTATAAATATGGTTGGTGCACTGTTTTGTATATATGTTACTTCAGTAAAATGGAGGAAAAGAGAAAGTGTTATATTTTTATTCTGTTGCAATTTCTTCTGACTTTTTCTTTCTAGCTTCGATCTTCAGCACCAGGGGAGTGCCATCAGATTATGAAGAACCTTCAGGGCCACTTTGAAGACTTTCTGCAGGATAGTCGTGACTCTGTGCTGTTCTCAGTGGCTGATCGCTTGCGCTTGGAAGAGGAGGTAGAAGCTTGTAAAGCCCGCTTCCAGCACCTGATGACGTCCATGGAGAATGGTGTGTGCACTGGGAAGAGGGAAACAGAATAGTGGAATGAGAGCCTTGAAGGGGTTGCCATGAGACCCTTCATATAAATGAGAAAGTAACATCACCATCTTTTTCCATTGAGTTGCTAAGACCTTGAGATAGAGAAAAACTTGTAGATGAATTCTCAAAATCAGATCATGGAAGGAGAGGTTTGTTGATATTTCAGTTGTTCATGTTTTCTTGTGGCTGTAACATGTTTAGACTCTCAAAGATTAGTATACAATATGTGAAATTTAGGATCAGGTAGGATCAGACAAAAGATTCTCTTGTTTTTATCAGTAGGCTATCAGGTCTGCTTATCTCTGATGTCGAGCTTACTGGTCTTTTGCTTACTGGTCTTTTGCGTTTGTTCATTCACAGAGGATAAAGAGGAGACTGTGGCCAAAATGTACATTTCAGAGTTGAAGAATATCCGGCTACGCCTGGAGGAGTATGAACAGAGGGTGATCAAACGAATTCAGTCTCTAGCGAGCTCTAGGACTGACAAAGATGCCCGGCAGGACAATGCATTAAGGATTGCAGAGCAAGAGGTAAGCTCTAAGAGCAATATGGGTGCTAGTTGTGGAGTGAATGCTTTCAGAGTTAATTGGATGGCAAAAGAGTAAGGAACCTGGTCAGGCATGGTAGCTCATGCCTCTAATCCCAGCATTTTGGGAGGCCAAGGCGAGTAGATCATTTGAGGTCAGGAGTTTGAGAACAGCCTGTTCAACATGGTGAAACCCCATCTCTATTAAAACTACAAAAATTAGTCGGGTGTGGTGGCGGGTGCCTGTAATCCCAGCTACTCAGGAAGCTGAGGCCAGAGAATCGCTTCAACCTGGGAGGCGGAGGTTGAGGTGAGCTGAGATCATGCCATTGCAGTCCAGTCTGGATGACAGAATGAGACCCTGTGTCAAAACAAACAAACCAACAGAAAAAGAGTATGGAACCTAAGAAATGAGGCAATAGACTCGACAGTGCTTCTCAGGATTTCTTCACTGCAGTCTATAAATGTCTTTTACCTATGGAGAAGTGTGATTTCAGCTCCATGTGTATTGCTGAATGTTGATTAGTTTCCTACAGAGTTGAGAAGGCAAACAGACTAGTAAATTGTTCTAAGCAGTGTATTTGGGCCATGTATTTTGAGACTGCTTACTGGAGATGCCACTCTTGCTTCTATCCCTGTGTTAATTTCAATGACTTGGTTACCTTCTGCCATATAACCAATAAATAAAAGGAATGACTCTTATTTTAATATAGGCTCTGATATATGCTCTCTCTGACTTTGAGCAAGTGAACTCTCATCCTTAGTTTACTTTCTTGTAAAATGGAAGTAATAATGCCTGTTATAGGGTTATTTTGAAAATTAAATGGTAAAGTACATACAGTGAGCTTCCTGAAAAAGTGAAATACTATTAAAATAGTAGGGTAGTATTCTTGAAGTAAAAGCAGCAAATATTTATTGCTTGTTTAGTCCCCTGAGGCATACAAAGAAAAGTAAGCCAAGGTCCTTGTTTTTTGGCTTACAATGTAGTAAAAGAAGAATAAAAGGTTTAAGTTAGAATTAGAGACTTCGGTATAAGATATAAGAGATGTCATAAATAGTAACTAGTGTATTTCAAGCAAAGATTGCTGTAGGAATTTAGAGTATTTCTAATTACAATGGTATGAGAGAACTCTATGAAGCCTATTAAATTTGATCTGGGAGCTTAAAGGGGATGGAAAGGAATGGCAAATGAAGAGGAGTGATTTTTCTAACTTTACTTTTTCTCCCCAAACCTGAAGAGAAGAGCGAGAGGGTAAGTATGATTTTTACTGGTGGAGAGGGAGTGATGTGAGGCATATCATAGATGCCTGGAATTCTCATGTGGAAGCTTTTTACTTTTTTATAGGGTGATACAAGATCTGTTTATCCTTGAAAAATAGAATACACTAAGAAATAAAAGTCAACTGGATGCTTGAGGCTGAGGTGGGAGAATTGTTTGAACCCAAGAGTTTGAGGGTTTAGTGAGCTCTAACAGCACCACTGCACTCCAGCCTGAGTGAAAGAGTGAGACCCCGTCTCAAGATACATATATACATACATACATCTAAAAATACCTTTTCCTTTTTGTTTTTGAGACCAGAGTTTCACTCTTGTTGCCCAGGCTGGAGAGCAATGGCACAATCTTGGCTCACCGCAACCTCTGCCTCCTGGATTCAAGCAATTCTCCTGCCTCAGCCTCCTGAGTAGCTGGGACTACAGGCATGTGCCACTACACCCAGCTTATTTTTGTATTTTTAGTAGAGATGGGTTTTGCCATATTGGCCAGGCTGGTCTCGAACTCCTGACCTTGTGATCCACCTGCCTTGGCCTCCCAAAGTGCTGGGATTACAGGTGTGAGCCACCACACCCAGCCCCTCTTCCTTTTTAAAACTTTATTTTGAAATAATTTCGGATAGAAATGTTTTATTCTCTTATACCTTTCACCTAGAGCCCCCACATGTTAACATTTTTATACATTTGCTTTATCATTTTATTCTATATATTATACATCATAATATTCCTTTATTATCTTGAGAGTAAGTTTCAGACATGACACACCTTTATTCTTAAATACTTCAGTGTACATTTTCATAAAACAAGGAAAGCCTCTTACATAACCATGGAACAATGATTAACATCAGGAAATTAACATTGATATTGGTCAGGCTTGGTGGCTCATGTCTGTAATCCTAGCACTCTGGGAGGCTGATGTGGGCAGACTGCTTGAGCCCAGGAGCTCGAGACCAGCCTGGCCAACCTGGCAAAACCCTATCTCCACTAAAAATACAAAAACTAGCCAAGCTTCCTGGCACAAGCCTGTAATCCCAGCTATTCAAGTGACTGAGATATGAGAATCGCTTGAAACTGGGAGGTGGAGGTTGCAGTGAGCCAAGGTAACAAAACTGCACTCCAGCCTGGGCGACAGAGGAAACCTCTGTCTCAAAAACAAACAAACAAATATTGATGTAATACTGTTATCCAAGCTCACACGTCATTAAAATTTCATCAGTTGACCAAATAATGCCCTTTATATCCTCCTAACCTCCATCCCTAGCAACTCCAAGAAGGCGGGTCCAAGATTCAGTCCAGGATTACATATTGCATTTGGTTGCTATGTATCTTCTGATATCTGTAACTTGAAACAGTTTCTCAACTTTCCAGCATCTTTCATGACCTTAACATTTTTTATGAGTGCAGGCCATTTATTTTGTAGAATAAATGTAGAATATTTTGTCCTTCTGTTTGTGGCTATCTGAGGCTTCTTTCTGCTTAGTGTTAGGTCTTACAAATTTGGCAGGAATTCTGCAGAAGTAATACTGTGTCGTTGGTACATTAGTGTGTCATATAAGGAGGGATGTGACATTGATTTGTCCCATTACTGGAGATGTTAATTTTGATCTCTGGTTGCTATTTTTTCTTTGTTATTACTAAGTATCTTATGGGGAGATACCGGAGACTATGTAAATAGCCTTTTTGTTTGTTTGTTTTGAGACAGAGTCTTCCTCTGTTGTCAGGCTGGAGTGCAGTGACATGATCTCGTGATCTCGTGATCTTGGCTCCCTGCAACTTCTGCCTCCCAGTTCAAGTGATTCCCCTGCCTCTACCTCCCACGTAGTTGGGATTACAGGCACATGCCACAATGCCCGGTTAACTTTTTGTATTTTAGTAGAGACGGGGTTTCACCATGTTGGCCAGGATGGTCTCGATCTCCTTACCTCGTGATCTGCCCACCTTAGCCTCCCAAAGTGCTGGGATTACAGGTGTGAGCCACCGCACCCAGCGGTAAATATCCTCTATGTTTCATCAAATTTTCACCAACTAGTTTTAGCATCCATTGTTAATTCTTAACTGAATCAATTATTAGTATCATAGTTGCCAAAAGTTGCTTTTCTAATTCTGTCATTCTGTACATTAAAAAAGTTTACATTCTATGGAAAAGGAAAAACCAACCTTGTTTCCTTTTCTATAGTTTGTCTCCTTCCCTCACTCCCTCCGTTTTTTCTTCCCTCCTTCCCTTGCTTTCTTCTTTCATTATTTATTTATGTCAATATATACTCACAGATTTTTATTTTATTCAGTGGTGGAATTTGTTACTGTCACTGTTATTATTATTTTGTTGCTCAAAATGTTCCAAAGTTAGCTAATGGAAGCCCTTTCAAGCTAGGTTTTTTTGTCCTTTTAACATGTCCCCATCATTTTTTGAGTTCTTTTTCTCCTTTTTTTTTAAAACGGAGCCTCGCTGTGTCACCCAGGCTGGAGTGCAATGACGTGATCTTGGCTCACTGCAACCTCCACCTCATGGGTTCAAGCAATTCTCCTGCCTCACCCTCCTGAGTAGCTGGGACTACAGGCTCATGCCACCACATGCAGCTAATTTTTTTTGTATTTTTAGTAGAGATGGGGTTTCCCTGTGTTAGCCAGGATGGTCTCAAGCTCCTGACCTCATGATCCACCCACCTTGGCCTCCCAAAATGCTGGGATTACACGCGTGAGCCACTATGCCTGGCCTCTCTCTCTCTCTCTCTCTCTCTCTCTCTCTGTGTGTGTGTGTCTCTGTCTCTCTCTCTTTTTAAATAGAGATGAGGTCTCTCTATATTACCCAGGCTGTTCTCCAACTCCTGGCTTCCAGCAGTCCTCCTGTCTCAGCCTCTCAAAGTGCTGGGTTTACAGGCATGGACTACTATGTCCAACCAAATTCTCTTCTCTCTGACAAAACAAGATCTTCCAGCTTCATCTTGCTCTTTCCAGTCTCAACCCTGGAAATCAGCTGTTTCTCCAAGGAGATCTGATTCTTTTGGGCAGAGAATATTATTTAGAAACTAAGATCTGGGTGCCAAATATACTCATCGTTGTTGGGGTATCATTGTTTATAGGCCCACTTAGCAGTCAAGAGTTTGAAAACATAGGCCAAGCTCAGTGGCTCATGCCTTTAATCCCAGCACTTTGGGAGGCCGAGGCAGATGGATCACCTGAGGTTAGGAGTTCGAGACCAACCTGGCCAACATGATAAAACCTCGTCTCTACTAATAATACAGAAATTATCTGGGCGTGGTGGCGGCACATGCCTGTAATCCCAGCTACTCCAGAAACTGAGGCAGGAGCATCACTTGAACCCAGGAGGCGGATGTTGCAGTGAACCCAGAGCATCCCATTGCACTCCAGCCTGGGCAACAAGAGTGAAACTCCATCTTGCAAAAAAAAAAAAAAATGCTGGGTGTGGTGACTCACTCCTGTAATCCTAACACTTTGGGAGGCCGAGATGGGTCGATCACCTGAGGTCAGGAGTTCAAGACCAGCCTGGCCATCATGGTGAAACCCCATCTTAAAAAAAAAAAAAAAAGACAAAAAGCAAAACATATATATGCACATACATACACGTCACATATACACACATAAACATGTATGTGAGTTTATAGCCATATAGGTCAATATTTTTATTGATATATGTCTCTCTCAATTTCTCTTTCTCTGTCTCTCAATCTTTCTCTCTCTCACACACACACCCCCATGAATTCATATATATTTGTCTTTATCCAGTTCCCAACCCATAGCACAGGGCTTATTCTAGCCTCTTTCCATATTTTTAACCCCTTTTCCCAAGACTGAAAAACCTGCTTTACTTTATCGAGAATATATTTATTTACTGTTCAGTCCTAGCATTTACAGATAGTAGTTTCAGAATTGTTAACTCACTGCAATAAACAAACCTACCAAACTAGAGTTCAACGTTTATTTATAGCTTCTTATGTCTTTAGCCTAAAAGTATATGTATAGTTTGAATACTATGTTCAAAAATTACTTGTGTGTTCTTACCTCTTCTTTCCCTTCAGTGTGATTATGTTATTTATCTGAAATACAGTTAGGCTTAACTGTATTTGTGTTCCATTTCAGATCCACCCCTCAACTTTCCTTATTTATTTATTTGAATGTAAAACGTTAACATGGTTCTAAAAGTCAAATCTACACAAAAAGAACTGTATTCCCCTCTAGCTAATCCTTTTGTCCCATTTGCTTCCTTTGATCCTTTCATTTCCATTATCATCATCTCATTAGTTTCTTTTTATCCTTTCTATCTGTCTCTTTGCACAAACATATATGCATATATTTTCCCATTTTCCCTTCTTTTATATACAAAATATAACATGCTATAGGTACTCTATTGACTTAGCTTTTTCTACTTAAAAATATATCTTGAAACTACTGAATTCCCAGAAATCTTTCTCATTTCATTTATAGCTGCATAATCCTCCATTGTATGGCTCACAGTTTATTCAACCAGCCTCCTATATATGGGCATTTAAGTGGTTTCCAATATTTAGCTATTAAAAATGAAGACTTCTTTCTACATTTTTTGTTCAATCCTGTCTCACTCTTTATATGTGTCTTGTTCCTGGCAGCACACCCAGAAGGATTTACAGCAACTGAGGTCAGATGTGGATGCAGTTTCTATGAAGTGTGACAGCTTTCTCCATCAGTCTCCATCTAGTTCAAGTGTCCCCACTCTGCGCTCAGAACTGAATCTGCTGGTGGAGAAGATGGACCATGTCTATGGTCTCTCCACTGTCTATCTGAATAAGTGAGTGAGCTGAGATTTTGGGTCCAAAGGCAATATTTTCCATTGGAATAAGAAAGAGAAAGGTTTAGAGTGTTTCATGAATAATACAGAGAGATTATAGATCTTGAAGAGTGTTCAGGATAGTATTTGATTATAGATCTTGAAGTGTTCAAGATAGTACTTGAAGATTATGCTGATAATGAGACATCTTGGCTTTAGTTCCTAGTAACATGAAATAGGTTCATTTGGGCTGCAATGAAGAAAATGCCAGTGATATGGATGGGGAGTTAATTTGCAGTGTTAGGATTATGACTTACCTCACTTCTGTTTGATTAAATATTTCTGAAAATAATACTTAATGACAGGAAGAGAAAGGATGAGAAACTTAAGAATAAGAAGAAAGTTTTTAATTAAACTAGGTATTAGACTTTGAAGTTCTTCCCGTTCTTCCCTCTCTCCACCCATCCTATATACCCATGACTTTGAAGAGTAGCACATCTTAAACTCTTCATAGTATGAAGTGGATTTCTGGCTTCATGCCTTTCCTCCATGAGTCCACCACATGTGTGCATGTTCCTGTGCCACTTAGAACTATATTTTGAATTGGTTTAAATTGGCAGCACAGAACCCATGTTTACTTGTAGCCCTGTCAACATCTAAAAATGGTGGTATTTATTTTGGTCATTATGTTTTATGAACCTCTCTATAGCACTCCAGGTATATAACCCTGCTTCCAAAATTCATGTATTAATGAAGGAATGTGAATTTGTCACCATAGGTTAAAGACAATTGATGTTATAGTACGTAGCATACAGGATGCTGAACTCTTAGTCAAAGGTTATGAGATTAAGCTCAGTCAAGAAGAAGCAGTACCAGCAGACGTCTCAGCTCTGGAGGCCCATCGGTCGACATTAAGGGTGAGTTGCTCTGCGTTTCTTAGGAGGATGACTTAACATAGTCATTGCTTTGGGTTAGCAGAGAAATGCATTTTTGGATGGCATGACATTTGCATTTGAATGAGGCAGAATATAATATTCAAAGAAGGGACCGAGAACTGTGTCTAGCTAGAAAGGGAAGAGAAAGGACTATGTTTTTCTATTTATTTTTTCCGTTTTCACCTCCATAAAATCATGGCTTAATTGGATATAGTCAGTGGTTGTGCCATAAGTTTATAAAGCACTTTGCTGTTATCTAACTTGATTCTCACAAGCCACCCTGTGAGGTGGACAGGAAGAGATTTTATCTCCTTTTACAGATGAGAAAGCCAACATTTAGTCTGGCTAAATGACTTATCTTGGTTTTATAGGTTATAAGTGGTGAAGCCAGGTTTCAAACACAAGTTCTCTGCATGTTTCTCTATAGAGAAACTGAAACCTGCCCTTGGCATCCCAGTGTGTATCAAGAAAGCAGAGATCATGACCTGTGTAGGCAGTCCTGGTACAAACATTCCACGGCACAATCACAGATACAATGTGGAATTAGCTGTAGACAGCGTCCTTGTTTCCTACCTTAGTCTGGCTCCTTTTTAGCATGGAAAATACACAACCTGTTTCTGTACTTACATTTCCATAGCACTGGCTTAGTGATGTGAAGGACAAGAATTCAGTGTTTTCAGTCTTGGATGAGGAAATTGCCAAGGCCAAGGCAGTGGCAGAACAGATGAGTCGTCTGACATCAGAGCGAAACCTGGATTTGGAGCGCTATCAGGAAAAAGGCTCCCAGCTGCAGGAACGTTGGCACCGAGTCATTGCCCAGCTCGAGATTCGGTTAGTGGTGGCCTCACCTTTTTTTCCTATTAGAGTTCAAGGACTAGGTCTAAAACAAAAACAGAGTTATATCTGTACATTTATATTTAAAGGTAGAAATGGTTAGGGAGGGGTGGAAATTTTAAAACCACATAAATTCTGGACAAGGTAAGTGAGTCAGAAAGGTGCGATATAATGTTTCTCCTGTGTCCCAGGTCTTTTCTAGTTAAGCCATTGATGACAATGGCTTTCTGGAATATAGACTTGAAAGGTCATCTGGTGATCTTTTCTCAAGATATTGTAGTTCTTGTTTTATTAGTTTTGCATCCAAATATGAGCCATTTTTTATAATGGGGCTTTATAGAATTTCTTGCTTTGATCTCATTTGCTAATTCAGTAACTTTTCGTCTCTGTTACTAGAGATCCTGCTTCTAATGACAAATATAAATAGGAAAGACAGAAACTGCACCTTTTGGAGGCTAAGCTGGTTAGGGAAACACGTAGGGAGAGAAGCTTAATAACTCAGATAAGTTTTCATTCTAATCGAAGTAGTATCACAAAGCTGGTTAGATTAAGAGAAATGATATGACTTACTGGAAATAATAGGAAATAACCACTATTTTTCACTTCTCTCCCCTCTCTGCCCTGAGAAATTATAGTGATTTATAGATCATAGCTGTGGTATACTGACAGGTACTCTGTCATCAGGGACTAGAACTGTACAGCCAGTACTACCTTATTGGTCACTCTGGTAATTCTTGGCAACCTAGGTAAAAAATTTGACAAGGATTATTGTGGGATGCTAGGCCACAAGGCAGCCTCCAGGGCTAGCAGGGCACAACTGGTTTCTAGTCACTTTTTTGACCATTGGGCACTGGTACATGCATAGGTCTCACTCATCCTTGCATCACTGTTCCCCACAGGTAAAGATGGATGATTTGTGGTCAGGCCCAACTGGATGCATGGGTTAAAGAGGGAATTGCCTCATTTACTTTATTGTATTTGTACCAAGGTATCTGATAGCAGTTTCCCTTTGTTCTTCTAGCCAATCTGAGCTAGAAGGAATCCAGGAAGTCCTGGGAGATTACCGAGCCTGCCATGGAACGCTCATCAAATGGATTGAGGAAACCACCACTCAGCAGGAAATGATGAAGCCAGGCCAGGCAGAGGATAGCAGAGTGCTTTCAGAGCAGCTCAGCCAGCAGACAGTGAGTGTGGCAGTAGCTCTGGTGGGAAGAGTTAGAAATTTAAATTTTCTTTATCATAAAAGAAAATGATGTACTAGCAATTAAAGGTTCCTCCAAATGGAAGATACTCCAAGTTCCCTTTTCTTAGAGTGGTTTGAACAGGATGGTCCCAAGATACTGGTTTTGTATTTAGACTAGAGAGCCTATAAGGTACCTACAGTTGTGAGTTTCTGTAATTGTATTAAAACCGCTAGATGGACAGATTCAAATTATCTTTATTTTGTTTCTTTATATTACATTTTATTTTACTAGGATTAGATATGGAGTTTTGAAAACCAAGAGAAAGCTGTACGTAGAAGAAAATGGTTCATTTTAAGCATTTTTTGTTGACATTTTGCTTTGTTTTGTTTTGTTTTGTTTATCATTATGATTAAGAGTATGAGTTCTGGAATTGTATTGCCTGGATTCCAATCCTGGCTCACTTATCTGCTATAAACCTTTGAAGAAATTGCTTAGCCTCTCAGTGTTCTACTTCCTTATCAATAAAATGGACATCGTTTGTTATTTATTTAACCTACCTTATAAGATTATTGTTGCTAGGATTACTGAAGTAAAATATGTAAAATACTTAGAATAGTGGTTCTCAAAGTGTGGACCTCAGTCTAGCAGCATCAGTATCACCTGGGGACATGTTAGAAATGCAAGTTCTTGGAATGGGTACAGTGGCTCATGCCTGTAATTCCAGCACTTTGAGAGGCCAAGGCAGAGGGATCACTTGAGGACAGGAGTTTGAGAACAGCCTGATCAAAGAAGAGAGAGCTTGTCTCTACAAAAGATTAAAAAGACAGAAAAGTGCAAATTTGTGATCCCAAAGCCACTGAACCAGAAACTCTGGAGGTGAGGCCCGGCAGTATGTGCTTTAACCACCCTTTCTAGCAGTTCTGATGCAGCTAACGTTTGAAAACTACTGCCTTAGAATGTAGTAAATGTTGAGCTATTTCAGTGGTGGTAATGACAACAATAATGTGATATTTTGCTTTCTAGGATCTATTTGCAGAAATTGAGAGAAATCAGACAAAACTGGATCAATGTCAAAAATTTTCCCAGCAGTACTCTACTATTGTAAAGGTAACTTTACCACATCCCAAAAAGAACATGAATCATCCCTAGCTTAGGAAACCTGCATCTTCACTGTAGGTTCTGTTTCTGAACAAATTAAGCAGAGCTCTCATGCTAGATGCTGGCCTGATCCTTCAGTTAAGCAGACGTGTGTTTCCCACAACCCCATGTTTGGGGATGCTTGGAGAAGTGGCAGATGTTGGCTGTGATTTGAGGAGTCTCCATTTGCGTAACCGTAGGCATTTTCAACTTAACGTGGCAAAAGCAGAATGTTTGCATTTTCTTCTTAAATATGCTTCTCACTTGTCTTTCCTATCTAGGAAATAGTATTGCCATTTTTTCCTAGTTGCTGAGGCAAAAAAACCCAAGAGTCATCCTAAACTCTTCTCTTTGCCTTAAGCTTTATATCATACTTTGTTGGCTTTGTCAAATATTTCCCAAATCTTACTACCTCTCAGTATCTCCCTTTTATTTCCATAGTTTATATCTAAGTGAAGAATCTTCTTTAGACTACTACAGAACCCTCTGAGCTGGTCTCTTACTTCTGCGGTGGCCCCCACAGGCTATTTTCCCACACAGTAGCCAAAATCGCCTTTTTAGAACATGTTGCATGTCATTGAACCTTAGACTCCATTGATTACCAGCTACACCATAATTTTCTGCCTACCAAGAAGAGGAAAAAGAAACTCTGCCAATTATGTGACATGCTGTTGATTCTAAGATATATTCCAATTTGAAAGACTGAAATGTGGAGAAAATGTGTACCTTAGAATAGATGAAATCATGGTAAATAAGATCATGTCACTCTTTTACTCAAAACTGTCCAAAGCCTTCATATCATAGTCATAATAAAATTGTAAATCCTTACATGGTTTATAAGGCCACGAATGATTTATCTCTCCCCTATTTCTCTTAGAACATCTTTAAAGAAAAATGACTTGAGGCCAGGTGCAGTGGCTTATACCTGTAATCCCTGCACCTTAGAAGGCCAAGGCAAGAGGGTTATTTGAGCCCACAAGTTTGAGACCAGCCTGGGCAACATATCAAGATCCGATCTCTACAGAAAGTTTTAAAAATTAGCTGGGTGTAGTGGTGTGCACCTGTAGTCTCAGCTCCTCAAGAGGCTGAGGTGAGAGGATCGCTTGAGCCTGGGAGATTGAGGCTACAGTGAGCCTTGATTGTGTCACTACACTCCAGCCTGGGCAACGGAGCAACTCTCTGTCTCCATAAAAAGGAAAAAAATAACTTGAGGCCAGGCATAGTGGCTCATACCTGTAATCCTTGCACTTTGGGAGGCTGAGGCAGGCAGATCATGAAGTCAAGAGATCAGGAACATCCTGGCCAACATAGTGAAACCCTGTCCCTACTAAAAATACAAAAAAATTAGCCGGGTGTGGTGGTGCATGCCTGTAGTCCCAGCTACTCAGGAGCCTGAGGCAGGAAAATTACTTGAAACCAGAAAACAGAAGTTGCAGTGAGCTGGGTCAAAAGATCGAGACCATCCTGGCCAACATGGTGAAACCCTGTCCCTACTAAAAATACAAAAAAATTAGCCGGGTGTGGTGGTGCATGCCTGTAGTCCTAGCTACTCAGGAGACTGAGGCAGAAGAATTACTTGAAACCAGAAAACAGAAGTTGCAGTGAGTCGGGTTTGTTCCACTGCACTCCAACCTGGCGATAGAGCAAGGCTCTGTCAAATAAATAAATAAATAAATAAATAAATAAATAAATATTATGTATTTATTTGTTTATTCAGTGACTCTCACTAGAATATAAGTTTCAAGAGAGCAAAGTTTTTCCTGACTTGTTTCTCAATATGTGTGTTAGCACTCAATGGCAAGTAGATAGAAGATGCTTAACAAGTACTTTTTGAATGAAGGCATTTCTTTAATAACAGAACACACACTGTCAGAAAGAATTGAGTTCAAATCCTTCACCATTTTCCAGGCTTACTTTGAGTACGCACATAGCCTATGTTTCTTTTACTAAAACTATAAAATGAGAACAAAAATACCTCACTGAGTGATTATAAAGATTAAATGAGATAATGTATACATAGGACCATGCCTCAAACTTAAAGTACACTCAGTAAGTGGTAGCAGTTGCTTTGATTATAAGTATTTAGGGCCAGGCATGGTGGCTCACTCCTGTAATCCCAGCACTCTGGGAGGCTGAAGCGGGTGGATCACAAGGTCAAGAGATCGAGACCATCCTGGTCAACATGGTGAAACCCTGTCTCTACTTAAAAAAAAAAAAAAAAATACAAAAAATTAGCTGGGCATGGTGGCGCGTGCCTGTAATCCCAGCTACTCAGGAGGCTGAGGCAGGAGAATTCAGGAGAATTGCCTGAACCCAGGAGGCGGAGGTTGCGGTGAGCCGAGATCGCGCCATTGCACTCCAGCCTGGGTAACGAGCGAAACTCTGTCTTTAAAATAAATAAATAAATAAATAAATAATTATTTTAATGTTGTTACCACTATTATTTTTTATGGGTTCCTTCACAAATTAATTCCTTGTTTTCCTTCTACCCAGAAATTTTTTAAGTAGACAGCAGAAGGACGTTTTAGGCAAAGGAATTGCATAATCCCAGGCAGAGACAAATGAAAATACATGATTATATGAGGAAATAGAGAGTATTCTGATATAGCTAGAAAGCACAATGAGGAGCAGTGACTATGGAAAATGAGTGGTGAGATTGGGGCCAACTCATGACAGGCCTTGTTTCATTGTTTCGGCTTTGTCTTCTATTCTTGCTTCTCAAAGTGTTGTTTTTAAACCAATAGCATCAATATCACCTGAGAGCTCATTAGAAATGTAGAATCTCAGACCTGCTTAATCAAGATTCTGCATTTTAATGAGATCCCCAGATAATTTGTATGTATGTTGATGTTTGAAAAGCTCTGTTCTAGGTCATTGAAAGCTTTTAAGCAGAAAAATGATGTGATCATCTTTGGGTTTTAGAAGAAGTATTCTGTTGGAACAATAGAGAATAAATCAAGATGAGACTAGAAGCAGTGAAAGTATATAAGAGGCTACTGCACTCATAAGGCTACTTCATGTGCGAGATGAAGAGGGTGGACTAGGGCAGAACTTTCAGTATTGAAGAGGAAGTGGCAGAATAGTATGGTAAAATGAGAACACTGGTGTAGGGATTAGAAGACTTAAGATTCTAATCCTGACTGTGTTACTTACCCACTCAGTTATTAGGGAAATTCACATCGCCTTTCTGGATTTCACTTTCCCCACAGATGAGATGAAAGGGTTGGTCAGACTGCAACTAAGGCATCAGCAAACTTGACCCACACACCTGTTTTTGTATGGCTCATGAGAAAAGGTTGAAAAGAAAATCAAAAGAATAATATTTTATGATGTGAAAATTTTATGAGCTTCAGTTTTCAGTGTTCATTAAGTAAAGTTTTATTCCATCAGCCATACTCTTTCATCTATATATTGCCTATGGCTGCTTTCACTTATAATGACAGAGATAGTATGAGTTTGCTAGCCTCCAGCCTGAATAGTCAACACAACACTTCCAGCAATAGAAAGCTATGATTTATTAAATGATATATATGAACTGTAAAACCCTTAGTAACTAGCGAAATTTCGTCCTTTCTTAGGACTATGAACTGCAACTGATGACATACAAGGCCTTTGTGGAATCACAACAGAAATCCCCTGGCAAGCGCCGTCGCATGCTTTCCTCTTCGGATGCCATCACTCAAGAGGTGAAAGGTTGGGGGAAGGAAATACACCAATCACTGTCTTCCTTTAAGGAAAGATTCATTTGCCTGGACCTTACATTTTGATTTAGGGCTCACTTTTCTATTGAACATGTCACTCCATGAACATTTCCTCTTATTTTCAACTGTTTAAATTTCATTTCTGGCAGATGATTTATTTAAATTGTGCTTTTGAACCATAGTTCATGGACTTAAGGACTCGCTACACGGCATTGGTGACTTTAACAACTCAGCATGTGAAATATATCAGTGATGCTCTCCGGCGTCTGGAGGAGGAGGAGGTGAGGAAAATTGGGTCCAAAATCGGGTTGAAAGTATAGTAAAACATCTTAGCCAGCACGGTAATGTGTGCCTATTGTCTCTGGCACTCAGGAGGCTGAGGTGGGAGGATCACTTGAGCCTAGGACTTTGAGTTCCCCCTGGGTGACATAGAGAAATCCCCTCTTTACAAAAAATTTTAAAAATTAGCTGGGCATGGTGGCACATGCCTGTGGTCCCAGTTACTTGGGAGGCTAAGGTGGAAGGATCACTTGGGTCTGGGAAGGTGAGGCTGCAGTGACCCATGATTGTGCCTCTCTACTCCAGCCTGGGCAATAGGCTGTCTCAAAAAAGCCCAAAATATCCCATGTATCCCATAAATATATATACCTATATACCCACAAAAATAAAAGTTTAAGCCAGCAAAAAGTTATATATGTAATATATAAATAAATTATTATATAATATATATCATTTGGGAGACAAGGAAATTAGGATACTATGTATAATTATGACTTTATTAAAAACAAAACTCTGTACTACAAAGACATAATATGGCATAGAAACAAGTTTATAGGTATCTATATCAAATTTATGGGAAAATAAGATTAAGTGACATGTATTTTAGACTCATTTGAATTTGTAATGAGCATGTCATATTTTTGTGATTGTAAAAATCTATCTTTGTAAAATAAGTTTCTGCATATTCAACCTCTCTTATAAAAGAAAAGCTGTTAAAACATTAACCATACCACCTTTTGCCTTTTAAATTAGCAAGACATATCCATACCTATATAATATCAGCCAGCTTCAGTCTCTTCTCCTCTTATAGATTCACCTGTAAATCTAAAAATTATGAAAATGAATCAAGATGCTATATGTGAAGAGTTTTTTTTTAATTTTTAAATAATTATTGAGTACCTATTATATGTAAAACAGTGGTTTGTTTGTATTTTTTTAGAAAGATATTAAACCTAGGTATAACAAATTTAGCTCACAACCACCTGTGAGCAATACTGTAGGCTGGCTAAATTATACCTGGGATTATTTTCACAGCCTACTTATTTAGGTAACTTTTATGTCTGTTTTTAGGAAGACTTCATTTGAGAAAATGTGAAGTCATGCCAGCCTAATAAAATACATTGCTAGAATATTAGTTTTCTGTTTCTATTCTAGAAAGTGGTAGAAGAGGAGAAACAAGAACATGTGGAAAAGGTTAAAGAACTTTTGGGCTGGGTGTCTACCCTAGCGAGGAATACACAAGGAAAAGCTACCTCATCCCAGACCAAAGAATCAACAGACATTGAAAAAGCTATTTTGGAACAGCAGGTGAGAAGAAGGCCCATCTCTGTTTACCTGGGTAGAATAATATGTGATAATACATTAGGTGGAATAGTAGAAGTCACATGTGGGCCATTCCAGAAGTGATTGTTACCTGAGTAATGTTAACTTAAAGAAACTTAACCCGGCCGGGCGCGGTGGCTCAAGCCTGTAATCCCGGCACTTTGGGAGGCCGAGGCGGGTGGATCACAAGGTCGAGAGATCGAGACCATCCTGGTCAACATGGTGAAACCCCGTCTCTACTAAAAATACAAAAAATTAGCTGGGCATGGTGGCACGTGCCTGTAATCCCAGCTACTCAGGAGGCTGAGGCAGGAGAATTGCCTGAACCCAGGAGGCGGAGGTTGCGGTGAGCCGAGATCGCGCCATCGCACTCCAGCCTGGGTAACAAGAGCGAAACTCCGTCTCAAAAAAAAAAAAAAAAGAAACTTAACCCATCTTGTTTGTACTTGTACCTTTTTTTTCAGCTGTAGCTCAATAATTTCACCTGAGCTGCATATTTTCTCTAGGATTAAAAAAATAATAATTTTGCCAGGTGCGGTGGCTCAAGCCTGTAATCCCAGCACTTTGGGAGGCCGAGGCGGGTGGATCACAAGGTCAAGAGATCGAGACCATCCTGGTCAACATGGTGAAACCCCGTCTCTACTAAAAATACAAAACATTAGCTGGGCATGGTGGCGCATGCCTGTAATCCCAGCTACTCAGGAGGTTGAGGCAGGAGAATTGCCTGAACCCAGGAGGCGGAGATTGCAGTGAGCCGAGATCGCGCCATTGCACTCCAGCCTGGGTAACAAGAGTGAAACTCCGTCTCAAAAAAATAATAATAATAATAATAATAATTTTTTACTCTTAATTATTGGTTTTTGAAGCCTTTTCTCTTTATTTCTACCATGTAGGTTCTGGCAGAAGAGCTGACAACCAAGAGAGAACAAGTGTCTGAAGCTATTAAAACATCGCAGATATTCTTGGCCAAGCATGGTCATAAGTGAGTATTAAATGAGAGATTATGGCACATCTGGGGCACCTGTTGTATCAGGCTAAAACGTAGGGTCATAATGAGATTTCAGACTGGAAAATTCAGGGCAGCCAGATTATGGGGGACTCTAGTTCATACTGAGGAGTTTGCATTTAATTTGTTGGCTATGGGAAGGGATTTTAAACATGATTGTGTTTTGCTTATAAAGGTTGCTAGAACAATGCTATAAAGGATTGACATGTGGTAAGAATAGAGGCTGAGAGGCCTGTTAAGAGGCTGTTCTGACAATGTAGGCAAGAAATGACTAGGAATGGAGACGAAGAGACTAATATTCAAGAGATATTAAGGATAATGAATCTATGGGTTTGGTTACACATGAAATCATCACATAAAGTGACAGAGATTTGAATTATCAGTGTGTTAGAAACCATTAAGGTAAATTACTCAAAAGGGCTTTTCGGGGTTTCTCGGCCTGTTAAGGAAGCCTCTGTTAAAGAAAAGGAAAATTATGAATGATAACTCACAACCCAAGAGAGAACAGAGTTCCGAAAAAAAGGAGAGAAGTTCAGAAGTCAAGAAAAGTTGGCCGGGTGTGGTGGCTCGCATCTATAATCCCAGCACTTTGAGAGGCCAAGGCAGGCAGATCACGAGGTCAGGAGTTCAAGACCAGACTGGCCAACATGGTAGAATGCTGTCTCAATTTAAAATAAATAAAAATATATCTTTAAAAAAAAAAAGGAAAAAGAAAAGTTGAGAAGTATCTGCTACATTTGGCAAGTTAGAAGTCTTCGGTGCCTTTGGTAATGGGGTCAGATTTCGTATGGTGAGGAGCACACTGGAGGCAAGCAAGGTGAATCAGAACTGCCCTTTCAAGAAGCCAGGCCATAGGAGAGGAAAGAGACAATAGAGTCAGTATTTAAAAATGGAATATATGTCAAGAGGCTTTGTTTTCTTAAAAGATACAGGGGACTTAACTATGTTTTGGACTAAGTCTCAGTGACAAATGGGAGGAGATAATTACAAAAAGGTCCCAGTGGACATGGAAGAGGATGAAACCCACTGATGGTTAGAAAGTACAACCTTAAACAGGAAATTGGAACAGCTTTTTTTCTGAGGTATAAGGGAAAGGAGATTAAGAAAGGTATGTTTAGAGGTATATTTGTCAAGACTGAAGCCAAAAAGTAAGAGAATTAGTACCCAGTGGTCTGTATTTTCTCTTTGAAATAGGCAGAGAGGTTTGTTGAAAGGATGGTGCTGGCCGGGCACAGTGGCTCACACCTGTAATCCCAGCACTTTGGGAGGCTGAGGCAGGTGAATTACCTGAGATCAGGAGTTTGAGACCAGCCTGGACAACATGGTGAAACCCTGTCTCTACTAAAATTACAAAAATTAGCTGGGTGTAGTGGTGGGAGCCTGTAATCCTAGCTACTCAGGAGGCTGAGGCAGGAACCACTTGAACCTGGAAGGCAAAGGTTACAGTGAGCCAAGATCGCATTACTGCACTCCAACGTGGGTAAGGAAGATAAAACTGGAAGGTAGAGTTATAGTCATATAGTGGATTCTTGAAGTCTAAGATTTCTTTTTTTTTTTTTTTTTTTTTTTTGAGACAGAGTTTTGCTTTTGTTGCCCGGGCTGTAGTGCAGTGGCATGATTTTGGCTCACTGCAGCCTCCGCCTCCTGGGTTCAAGCAATTCTCTGCCTCAGCCTCCCGAGTAGCTGGGATTACAGGCATGCACCATCAGGCCTGGCTAATTTTTTTTTATTTTTTTAGTAGAGACAGGATTCCACCACGTTAGTCAGGCTCGTCTCAAACTCCCAACCTCAAGAGATCTTCCCTCCTCAGCCTCCCAAAGTGCGGGATTATAGGCGTGAGCCACCGCAACAGGCCCAAAGTCTAAGATTTCAGAAGTGGAATAATTTCAGATGATAGAAGGGTCTAAGTGTGACATTTGAAGGTGGTGCTAAAGTGGAGATGAGGTCATTGAAACTACAAGCTTAGGGGTGACATGGCATTGACATCACCTTGTCTTGATTTGAGATAGACAGAAAAACTGAGTGAAATGCCAAAGTCTCCCATGAATATGGAAGAAGATCATCCATCCAAGATGAAGAAGCAGCAGTTTTGAAGCAATACACCAGAGTTTGGAGAATGTTTTTTTTCATAAAAAAGTTTTAATGCTTCATCTTCCAGGCTCTCAGAAAAAGAGAAGGAACAAATATCTGATCAATTGAATGCCCTAAACAAGGCTTACCATGACCTTTGTGATGGTTCTGCAAATCAGCTTCAGCAGCTCCAAAGTCAATTGGCTCACCAGACAGAACAAAAGGTACTTTTAGTTTTCATCTCCAAATATTGGGTGGATACCTTTTGAATGGTATGAAAGCAGCTTTGCTGATTGAGAGTCATGATCACTAGCTTTCCATGACCAATGTGACTTAATTTTTAACCTCACCTTAGCAGCCATTTGTCTTGTGTTTCTTTACTGGGGTTCCATGATGTGTTGGTCAGTCAAAAGCACTGGAAGACACTTACAGCTAACCCTTTAGACCTGGTTCACCTTTTTTGTGTTACGCCATTTTGTGGCAGACAGCAGTCAAGGATAACATAAATTCTGTATTACATATGATCACAGGGCAATAAGATTACTCCCTTGTGGCATTGTCACTCAAAAGTTGATAGCCAAGAGTTCTGGATAATGGGAAGAAAAAGCTGTGAACCTCTTCCCTCCATATGAGAGCAATGAGAAATATTCAGTTTCAAAGCAAACTGGTAGATTAGTTTCACTGACTAAGACACTGGTTCCCCTCACCCATAGTCATCTCATCGTGTGGCATCTTTACCAGTTCCCCTCCATGTTCATTTCCTGGACCATATGAAAGTCATCATAGTTCCTACTGGTTGTCCTAAGTTCTTCCTGGATACCTGTGCGTGTGTGTACACTTACCATATTATATACATGTGTCTCTGGGATATATATGTGTGTTTGCCTGCTTATTTCCTATGTTGTGAAGCAATGGCCAACTTATGTGGAGCAGGCCAAAATTAAGCTCATTTGACAGTCAAATTTGGTCCAGATGATGCTCAAAATGATATTCAGACAAAGCATGTCTTGATTCTGGTCCTTGGATATAAATTTTGTGCAGCAGAAGCTAGAGTTGTAAAGATCACAAGACAGAACAAGCTATGACTTGATGGTATATTTCCAAAAACAAAGAGCTCTTATAACATTCTCTATTTAAGGTAGCCCACTTCCAGTGGCTTGTTGCTTCACCATATAAGGGAGTATGTGAAAAGTTTTAACAATTGCTTGCTGAGAACATCCAGTTCTCGTTTTGAAAGGTTAAAAAAGAGGGGGGAAAATAAAGAAAGAATAAAGGAAAGACAAGCTGCTGAGCACCACTACATTGAGCATGATGTGTCTCCTGTACTGTTTGTGTGTTTCATGTGAAGTATTGTTCTGATTAACTGACATCCTTGCTTACAAGTTTCACTAACCCTTTGGAGTTTAAGCACAAATGCACAAAGGGAAAAGAGGACGACCTGTTTGGGGTTCTTTTTTGCAAAAACAAACAGTCGCATGCTGGACGCTAACACCAAGCTTACACTGTGTGTGTGATACGGCTGAGCTGCTCCATAAGGCTCTATCTTTTATCTGCCCGAGGTGTGCCCTGCAACCTGGTAAGTAGAAGCCTTTTATGTTTTCTTTCCTCCTCTCCTTCTATCTCTTATGCTTGTTTAGGTCAGAATGTACGTGTTTGGTAGGACGGAAATGAGTTTCTCTGGATTTCTTCCCAGCTCAGTGTTTTCTGCCTATTCTCCAATTACGAGGGTGTTGGAAGGAACAGTGTAGACTTTTCTCTTTGGCTAGACTCCAAGCCTTTCTTCAATGTCAGCATTTTTGAGACTACATGAATCTCACAAAAGAAATGAAAAGTTCTCAAAGGAATGTTTTACTTTGTCATATTGCCTGTTCTGAATAGTCTTTTATGGATTTTCTAAAAGGAATTTTTCAGGTATCTTGAAATTTTTCAGGTATCATATTCCAGTGAACTTTTTCCTTCAATTTCTTTAAAATAGACATATAGCGAATTTGCATAGTATGTGTTCAAATTATACAAATTGGACTGTCTATTCTTGGTCAGAAAACAAGAGAATAGGGAGTAAATAATACTTTAAATAGTGTGCAGAAGTCTGTCAGCTATTCCATTGATTGAACATATATGTAGAAATGGAGATGAAAACCAAATTTACTGTTCTTTCATTTGCCATCCATTCTGTATTCTTATTGTATGCACCTCATCAAACTTGAAATCCTCAGTGCATGTTTTTAAAATCTAAGGGGAAGTGGCTTAATGATTTTAAAGGTTTCTTTATTATTTATCCATATTTATTGCATGTTTATTGAATGGCAGCTACTGTTCCTAGACCTGCATAGGCAGTGGATCAGTTCTTACAGAACTTACTTCTCACTGAGCTAAAATGGAATGCCATTATGTAGGAGGCAGGGAAGTGACTGGAAATTGCTTCCACAAGATCCTCCATTAATAAGGTGGAAAGTTAAATAAGTAATCAGAATGTAGCACGGACCAAAGAGGGATAGATAAAATTATATACAGAAAATGAAAATAATGAACATGAACAAGAAGAGCTGAAAAGCTGGAGAGTAATAAAAATGATGAAGTGTTGTAAGTAGTTAAACACTTAAATAATTTAAAATCTGAATGTATTATTCTGTGATAAAAGACCTCAAAAAGAGAATTTTTAAGGAGCTGTTTCTAGGATTTGCAAGGGCAGTTTTGACAGCATATAAAGTTTGCCTTATTCGCTAACCTTAGGACCTAACTCCTATGTTAAGATGTGACTCTACTGTACTTGTCTTTCATGGTTTTCTGGGTCTGACTCTGGGAAGACGTACAAGATTTAGAGTCAGACCTTGATTTGTTTCTGGAACTCAATAGTTTTGTGACCTTGGACAAGTTACGTAAACTCTATCCTCATTTTCATTTCTTCAAACTAAAGATTCAAACAATTGTTTTCATAGGATTACTGTGAGAATTAAATGTCAGTGTTCAATAGATCTAATAATAAATGATAGCTGTAATCATGGTTATTGTACTACGTATTCTAGCCTGGATCAGAAGAAAAGTTACTAGTGATTCCATAGGTTAGGGTCCCCAATCTGTTTCTTCCTTGACTTGCTACACTTCCCAGTCCTAGAACTAATTTAATTTAGAGCCATTGCCTTCGGAGAAGCTAGCATTGTCCAGTAAGAGTATGAGTACTCCAGTTGCTAAATAGTTGCTTGAGTAGTATACACAGGACTGTTTACTGGGATGCACAATGGTTCTGGAACTATTGAGCTGCTTAAATCTCTGTTATCATTCTGTGAACCAGTCCTGCTGTACTCATCAGCAGGGAGGTGCTACTTCCACAGTCTTCTCTGTGGTTTGCGACACCAAAAACCTGTTATGTGGAGTTGAATTCTCACTTTGGGGGAACTGTTATGTGTCTTTAAGAACCTTCATGATAGCAGGACGGTGGCCATGGAAGTCAGAATCCAGTGAGTGTGTAACAACTCACCTGCTGGGGAAAAGAAAAAAAAAAAAAACTTTATGATGATTTAGTCTTAGAAATAAGATTAATCCTGTCACTTTCACTGCTTGCCACTCTGTAGAGCTTGTCACTCAGATATGCTTAATGCCACTATCTCTCAAGTAATCTAGGAACTTCTGGCATGTTAAACATTCTGCAGTTTAGAAAAACTCTTTCTTAGTATTAACACTGGGTGGTTTGCTTCAGAATATTTCCTACATTTTGGAGCTTATCCCATGGTAGGTTTTTCTTGTTGTCAGAATTTTATTTTATCTATTTATTTATTTTTGAGATGGAGTCTTGCTCTGTCTCCCAGGCTGGAGTACAATGGCTCAATCTCAGCTTATCACAACCTCTGTCCACCTCCTGGGTTCAAGCAATTCTCCTGCCTCAGCCTTCTGAGTAGCTGGGATTACAGGCATCCACCACCATGCCTGACTAATTTTTTGTATTTTGAGTAGAGACGGGATTTCACCATGTTTGCCAGGCTGGTCTTCAACTCCTGACCTCATGATCTGCCCGCCTTGGCTTCCCAAAGTGCTGGGATTATAAGCGTGATCCACCACGCCCAGCCCTCAGAATTTTATACTATAGTTCCTTTTTTTTCTTTCTTTCTTTTTCTTTTTTTTCTTTTTTTTTTTTTTTTTTTTTTTGAGACAGTCTCGCTCTGTCACCTAGGCTGGAGTGCAATGGCATGATCTCGGCTCACTTCAACCTCCGCCTCCCGGGTTCAGTGATTCTCCTGCCTCAGCCTCCAGAGTAGCTGGGATTACAGGCACGTGCCACCACACCCGGCTAATTTTTGTATTTTTAGTAGAGATGGGGTTTCACCATGTTGGTCAGGCCGGTGTCAAACTCCTGACCTCATGATCTGCCCACCTCAACCTCCCAAAGTACTTGGATTACAGGTGTGAGCCACCACACCTGGCCAATATACGATAGTTCTTTGCCTCCTTTCAATAGTTGTCCTTTACCATTGGCTCTGATTCAGTCTTCTTTTCTTTTCTTTTCTTTTCTTTCTTTTTTTTTTTTTTTTTTTTTAGGATTGCAGAGCAGTTGCTGGGGTGATTGACCTAGGCACAGTGGAGATATTTCCCATCTTCAAAGCCATGCAAAAGGGCCTCCTTGACCAAGACACAGGCCGTGTACTCCTGGAGTCTCAGGTTATCATGTCTGGCCTCATTGCCCCTGAGACCAGTGAAAACCTCTCTCTGGAGGAGGGCCTAGCCAGAAACCTCATTAATCCCCAGATGTACCAGCAGCTCCGGGAGCTACAGGATGCCCTGTCCTTAATAAGCAGGCTTACTGAGAGTCAAGGCCCTCTTTCTGTGGTGGAAGCAATTGAAAAGAGAATAATTAGTGAGAGAATTGGACTGAAAATCTTAGAAGCTCACCTGGCAACTGGAGGTTTCAGTCTTTCCCCTAGTGAAAACTGTGTTAACCTGGAAGAAGCTTTTCATCAAGGCCTCATTTCTGCATGGCTTCATTCAGTATTAGAGTCTCATCTTAGAACATCCAAGAATTTGATAGACCCTAACACAGCTGAGAAAATTGGTTTGCTGGATCTGATGCAGCGATGTATTATCCACCAGGAATCAGGATTCAAATTGCTGCCTGTCAAACAATTGGCAGGGGGGATGGTCAGCTTGAAATCAGGCCGGAAGGTTAGCATTTTCCGTGCAGTTCAGGAAGGGCTAATAGATAGGCAGGTCACTGTCCGGTTACTGGAAGCTCAACTTTTTGCTGGTGGCATAGTAGATCCAAGAACAGGACATAGACTTACAGTGGAAGAGGCTGTAAGATATAATTTGATTGACCAAGATATGGCCTGTGCTACCCTCATAAGGCAGCTTCAGACAGGAGGCATCATAGACACTGTCACTGGGCAAAGGCTAACAATAGATGAAGCAGTGAGCAATGATCTAGTAGCTGCCAAGATTGCCCTTGTGATTCTGGAGTCTCTCTGGTCATTCATGGGGTTGCTGTGGCCTGAATCTGGGGAGATCCTCCCAATTACAGATGCCCTAGAACAAGGTATAGTGTCTACTGAACTAGCACGTAAAATCCTTAGTAACCGACAGCATATTAAGGCTCTATTTCTACCAGCAACCACCGAGATTTTGTCCTGGAAGAAAGCAATAGAAAGTGGTATACTGGACAGAGATCTTGCCAATAACTTAAAATTGATTTGTATACCTGATGTGATGCCCAACATGCAACTGGCAGACTCTGCAGAACGAAATATTAATCCTGGAACAGCAGTTCTACCATGCGACAAGAGCCAGTCTAAGGGCATAGCAAGCCAGAGTGAGAGTCTGTTGTTCCAGCTGATGACTCACAGCTATATTAATGTGCAAAATGGACAGAGGCTGCTTCTGTTAGATGAAGAGCTGATGGAGACATTAACATACAGAGTTGAGTATCAAACAAGTCTTCCAAAAGTGGTAAAAGTGGTTGAAATTGGACATCAAAGGCAAAACACTCCTGAGGGATTGCGAGAATCAGCTAATGTGAAAATCTCAGGAACTTTCAGCGATGGGTGGACTGTGAGGCTGCCTGAGTTCCAGTTTTCTTCTCAGAACAAAGAATACCCCAGTCAGGAAGATTGCACTACAGAAGAAGGCAAAAAGACCACTGTAGAAGCAGAAGGTTCTTCTTTAGAGAACCTTGAGCAGGATCTGTTTGTAGGAGAACAAAGGGAGAAAAATACAAATGTTGACATTTTGAAAGTAATAAATAAAGACAAATTAGAGGTACAAAGGCAGTTGATAGGTACCAAAAGGGAAGACCAAACAGCAGTATCTATCAGAGAAAATGTCAGCAGGGGACCCCTCCTGACCGTACCTCCTGAGGAGGCAGAAGGTGTGCTTTTGGTGGTTGACAAAGATCTTTTTTCTGTTGAAACACCAAAGAAAGAACATCAACATCAACCTCTCAGAAATACTTCCTTTATGTATCAGAATGAACAAGCACACACTCTTGAGACTGAATATATTCATGATGAAACTGGAGGATCTCACATTAAACCCCAAAGCAAAAAGCCACAAGTTCAGGTAAAGAAAACTCTAGGTATAAAATTAGAACTAAAGCCTGAAACTGATGTGAGTGTTCACCCTCTGGACAAAAAGAAAATGTTAAAGAAAACATTTTTGGCTAGGGATGACCATAAACAAAGTCAAGAAGCACAAAACATTGCAGGTGGTAGTGTAATGATGTTGGAAAAGACCGATGAGGAGGATAATGGCAGGGAAACTTCCCTGTCATGCAGTCATCCATCAGAATTGCTTGAAGAAGCTACCTTGAATGTATTATCTGCACAGTTACTAGATGGTGGTATTTTTCATGAACAGACAGGTCGGAAGCTCTTACTAAATGAAGCAATAGCCCAAGGCATTGTGCCAAGCCACACTGCTGTGAAGCTTATGGAGAAGCTGAACATGTTTCATGGGTTCTTTGACTCTCAGACCTGTGAGTCTCTGACAACTGAAGAAGTCATTGATGAAGGTCTGATGGATGAGAAATTATTACATAATGTCCTCATGGCAGACAAAGCTATAAGCGGTGTCTTAGACCCTCGTACCCACACACTATGCTCTGTAAAGGATGCAGTTACACTTGGACTTCTTGACAAAGAAACAGCCACCAGAATTTTAGAGAGGCAGGTGGTGACTGGTGGAATTATTGATCTGAAACGAGGCAAAAAAGTTTCAGTAACTTTGGCCTCAACTCTTGGCTTGGTGGACATTGCTGACCAGCCAGAGCTTATAAATCTAGAGAAAGCTTCCAAAGGTAGAGATTCTGAAAAAACAGTTAGGGAGAGATTAATTAGTTTACAAATGGAAACAACAGGACTTATAGACCCTGTTAGTAAAGCCCCCTTAACAGTTGTGCAGTCCATCGACAGAGGTCTTTTGGAGAGAGAGGAGGCCATTCGTTTGTTGTCTAAGCAGGTGTTAGATGGAGGTATCATTCACCCTATATCTGGGATGAGACTTTCTGTTGATAATGCCTTCAGACATGGCTTAATTGGTGAAGATTTAGCCAAGAATCTTAAAAAAGTTGAGAACTTAAAAATCCATCAGTTTTTTAATCCTGAAACAAAGGAAACTGTTTCCCTCCCTAAAGCCATAGAATTAGATCTTATTACTCCAGACTTGAAAAGTGAAATCCAGGAGGTTCAGGCTTTTACTGGAAACTTTGTGGATCTCATTTCTGGTCAGAGGCTGACCTTGGCAGAAGCTAAAAAAGAAGGACTGTTAGCTCATGAAGCAGTATTGTCTCCAGGAATGATGCATGGCATCGTAGATCCCGAGAACTGCAGAGTTGTCCCCTACTCAGAATTAGTCAAGAAATGTAAGATTGATATTGAATCTGGACAGAGATACCTCGAAATAATTCCCTTCTCAGACATTAAAGATGGGGTGAGCAACAAAGTACTTACACTGTCTGAAGCAATTCAACTTGGAAAAGTAGACTTTGCATCTACACTGAAGGTTCTGGAAGCCCAGGCAAATACTGGTGGAATCATAGATGCTGCTACCGGAAAAAGACTGACATTGGCATCAGCTTTGGAAGAGAAAGTGGTGGATGAAAACATGGTCAGAATTATTGCATCGCATCAGGTGTTAAATGGAGGAATTGTCGACATATTTAGTGATCAGAGAGTGACTTTAGAGGAAGCTATTGAGAAAAGATTCATCAGCTCTGAACTGGCAAATATGATACAGAAAGATACCTTAGAGTTCAGTGATCACAGGGCTCAGATTGAAAAGCAAGAGGGGATTGAAGTGTGTGCATTACAGAATGAATTCCTAAGAAAGGATCTGTTAATTGCTTGTAATCGGACTGCTGAAATGAGTTGTAATAAAGGAGAAGAGAGTGAGAGATTACTTCAAATTGAAAATCATTCTGCACAAGAAAAGGTTAAAGTGAGAGTTTCTGATGGGGAGCAGGCAAAAAAGAGCAGGGAAATTTCCTTACAGGAATTTGGGTGCAAACATCAACATAAGCCAAGAATGTCTCCAGATGTTAAAGAATTTATCAGTATCATAAATCCTTATAATCTTGAAGGAAAATCCTTGGGCCAAGTGTCACTGACACACCCTTACTCCGAAGTTGGTGATTTTAAACTCAAAGAAGTGTCTAGAAATAACATGGGAAAGGATACAAATGAAGAGCAGGAAAAAGCAGTGACACAAATAGAAATTATCTCTCATATGAAGCAGTCTACCTCATGCCTAGATTCTAAAGAAATAAGAGAAAATCAAGGGGAAGTGATTTTGGAAGTCGAAGAATCATATTGTGAAACATCAGGCAAATTGCTGAATGAGCAGGTTTTGCAGCAACCAGTGAATACCAGGGTGAAAAATAAGAGAGAGAAGAGGGAAGTGATTGTAGAAGAAAGTATCAAAATACACAAATCAGTAGTTCTTTCTGAAGAAAAGTTGTATAAGGAAACTGCCATTAGAGATGAGCATGACTCCCATATAAAGAGTCAACCTAGGGAAATGACCTCAAGTGAAAAACAGAAAGAAACTGATAGAGAAATGGGATTTTCTGTTGCTTTCAGCACTGAAGACTCTTCTTCGCAGGTGGCACCTAAAGGAATTTCTGGAAAACATCAAGATGCTGTAACACTCTTCAGCTCTAAACAGGCCAGTGAAGGGAAAATAAACAATTTAAGTGCCCGCTTGACTTTAAAACCAGAAGAAAACTTATCTGAAGAAATTGCTTGTGGGGCCCAGAGTGAACCATTCTCTTCTGTGACCCCAAGACTTGAAGGATTATACTACCAGGAATCAGATGGAAAAGCCCAAGTAACAGATGCATCCCAAATTTCCAAAACAGACAAGTCTTTCCAAGGAACTACCAGACAGGAGACCACCTATCATCAAGATTCCTGTGCTACATCTAAGACTAAGGAAACCAAACATCTAATTTCCCCATCTAATGAATGTAAAGAAAAGTCATACCAAGAAGTGTCTTTTGACTCAGTAAGAGGTCTTAAATTGGAAGAAATTACAGTTTCTAGACCAGATTCAAAAGAAGTCAGTTATCTTGAATTCTCAGACAGAAAAGGCCTTCATTATCAGGGCAGCAAAAGTAATGATAAACTTTGTGGAACTCTCAAATCTGAAACAGCAACACAGGAAGTAACTGCAGAGAAATTTCTAGAAAGGGCAAACCCTAAAGTTACAGGTCCAAAAGTAGGATCCGTTGAGGACATAGGGACTCAGAGAGGTTCCATAGTCTTGGGATCCTTTCTTCCAGAGAAACTATTCAAAGATGGGTCTCAAAAAGAGAATGCAGGGCAACAGAATGCCATCATTAGTCCTACTGTTCCAGAGACCAGTGAAGAAAAGGCAGTATCCCTAACAGTATGCTGTACAGTGAAGACAGAAAAGACACCACAGGAAAAGCTTAGAGAAAGCCCTGACAGTGAACAAACTCCCTTCATAACTGCACCTGGAGAAAAGGGAAATGGAGATGTAAACCCAGAGTCCTTCAGAGCAACTCAAGTAAGTGGTGTGCTTTTCTTATTATTATTTTTTTTTTAAGGTATAAGTAGTTTAATGCTAAAATTCTTAACTGGGTACAGAGTTTACATATATAAAATGGTATGCCCGTATACATTTTAAGGCACTAGATAATTCTCTAAGATATAACTTAATTTATCATAATCTATTTGTAACACAGTTGTTGGAAAATTAGGCTTTGGCTCTGAGTGTTTTTCTGAAATCTTCAAGGGTTTTAAAATAGAAATGAGCTAATAGAAATACTAGGATGGGCCGGGTGCGGTGGCTCAAGCCTGTAATCCCAGCACTTTGGGAGGCTGAGGCAGGTGGATCACAAGGTCAAGAGATCGAGACCATCCTAATCAACAAGGTGAAACCCTGTCTCTACTAAAAATACAAAAAAATTAGCTGGGCATGGTGGTGCGTGCCTGTAATCCCAGCTACTCAGGAGGCCAAGGCAGGAGAATTGCCTGAACCCAGGAGGCGGAGGTTGCGGTGAGCCGAGATCGCGCCATTGCACTCCAGCCTGGGTAACAAGAGCGAAACTCTGTCTCAAAAAAAAAAAAAAAAAAAAAAGAAATACTAGGATGATGCAACCTGAAATCAGAATAGCTTTTGGAAATTTTGGTAAGATGATGCTTGTAGATTGATAATTCTGGGCTTTTCTGCTCTCTGAGGAAATTAGTAAAATCACCTTTGTCTATTGATTTGAAATGACTTAAACAAAATGTTTTATTTTATCCCACTTTATGTGCAGTAAAAATTGCTTCTATTTGTCTAACAAAAACCCTGCCTGCTTCTAAAGCTGACTTACAGGAGAATGCCAGAACTGAGTCAGCTTTCTTTTTGGCTCCACAGAATGTATTTACCCGGCAACTCTGTTTAGAACATGATGAGAAGCTAGTATCCTATCTGTCTCTGTTACGGGACATTGAAATGAGGACGAAACAGATTCAACCTTTGGAGCTAAACCTGGCAGAACTACAGGATCTGCTATGTCAGGCCAAGGTAGGTTTCCAGAGACTTCCACTATAGACACCAGCTTTAAGGTAGCTGCCTCCATCTTCCTTGAAGATTTCAAGGTTTACTAGGACCTACTGATACTCTCTTCTAGAGTAAACAGTCTCAGACCCTTGTCAGATAATTGTGGGATGGGCTACATTTCGATAGACTGGATAAGATTTATAAAGGATAGACTTGAACAGACCTTAGATTTGGCTATGAATCTGTTATCTGCATGGTTTTGGATTGAATTAAGTAAGTTCAAAGGCAGTGTGATTGGTTAGGAAACTATTGCAGTAATTCAAGCAAGAAATGTTGAAGGCTTAAAATAGTAAGTTTTATATATATATGTAAGCTAATCTCTCTTACTTCCTAAAACTATGCTAAGACATCAGGAAAAAGTTGTTTTTTTTTTTTTTTTTTTTTTTTTTTTTTAATGCATAAATTCACAAAGGAAAGACAGCAAGAGAGAAGACAGCAGTAAATTTTAAAAGTTAGAAAGCAGATGGATGAGGAGGTAACTACCTTAGCAAGCCAGAGTAAACCAGATCCTCAACTTACAGTGGAGGAAGCTAGGGAACAACCTGATTTACACTACAGAACTCCCCAAAGCCTCAAAGATTGGGAGCACCAGAATGCAGAGATGGAAAGTGATATGCAAGTGGGATTATAAGTGGTTTAAAGTCTATTTAAGAAGCAATTAGACCTTTAGATTTTCAATTTACTTCACATAGTCTGGCAACTGCTTGTGCCATGCTCTAACGGAAGACTGAATGTTCATCCTCTGAGGAAAGTAATTCAGAGTGTCTCTTGATTAGGGACAGCAGCCATTTATTGAAGGTAAATATTCCAGACAGAAATCAGTAGGCTTAACTGGCAGTTCACATACTGAATCTTGAGTTGTATCCTTTATCCTGCTATGGTTTGACCAGCCCAAGGGGAAAGACCTAATAGTACTGATGTAAGTGGTTTCCCAACTGTATGGCCCAACTCCGTCACCCTTAGTGAAAACTACAGCGAGCAGAGCAGAGTTTATAGTCAGCTTTTTAGGGCATTACTTTCCACATGAGCATCCAGAAAGCTTTTGATACAGAAGGAGAGGCTAAAACAAAAGAAAAAGAAACTTGAACAAAATAGAGACTATTTAGGAAGAAAAACATCCTTAGGTCCAGTCACAGTGGCTCATGCCTGTAATCCCAGCACTTTGGTAGGCCAAGGCAAGAGGATTGGTTGAGCCCAGGAGTTTGAGACCATCCTGGGCAATAGTTAGAAATTAGCCAAGCCTGGTGGTGTATACCATAGTCCTAGCCACTCAGGAAGCTGAGGCAGGAGGATTGCCTGAGCCCAGGAGTTTGAGATTGCATTGCACTATGAATTCATCACTACATTCCAATCTGGGAGATGGAGTGAGACCCTGTCTTAAAAAAAAAAAAAAAGAAAGAAAGAAAATGTATTCAAAAGCACCACCCATTTAAAGGACAAAAAAAATACATTGAAAAAGTCTAACTGGAGATCTCTGAAGACCTGGAAACACTCATCTCAGAGAAACCAAATGAGGAAGAGTCGGCTCTAGTACCTGCTGCAGGGAGATCGAGTACAATGAGGACTAAAGGGGAGATTCCGCTCCTAAAAGTTATTGGTGACTTTGAACAGTTTCAGTGGAGTGGTGGGATATAAACTAACTTGAAGCTGGAATAAATGAGAGATTGGAAAGTGGAAACAAGGGGCAATGTAGATCATTCTTTCCAGAAGCCTTACTTTATGTAGAGGCAAGGAATGAGGTGAGACACTATCCGAAGGAGATGGACTGAAAGGAATGTTTTGAATGGATTTTGGACTGAGAATAAAGAGCCAATTAAAAAGGAGAACTTGAAGTTAGAAGAGGGAGGAAGTGGTAACTGTGATGGAACCAGTCCCTTAAAAACATAGAAAAGACAGCCTTGAGAGGGAGGAAGAGTGGCTGATTCACTGAAATTGGAGGTTAAGAGTTATCATAGGATTGGAGTCATAATGAAGACAAATTGTGGTGGTTTACTGATTCTCTTAATATCCAGTGTGTGACCTTGAGTAGGGTGGCTGAACGGGGGCTGAGGATGATGGCCCAAAGAACTATATCAAGTTCTTCCACAGCTTATTTCTGGCTTATCTGTTGAGGACCAGAATATTACAGACTAGATGAGTGGGAAGGCTGGTTGGGGATAGCCTTGTGTCCTTTGGTTCCATGCCCGTGGAATTTAGAGTGGAAGAGTCATCCTTTGGGTTGATTTATTTTGTAGCACATTAATTCTGCACAGCTGCTCCTTGGGGAAAGTCATAGTGACACTTTAGAGAGGCAGCAAGTTACAGTGGAGGGAGCATGCTGCACTGAGTCAGAAAACCTGAATTCAAGTCCTGGCTGTACTGCTTACCAGCTGGGTGACCTTGGACAAAAACTGTTCACATTTTTTTTTTTAAGCAATGAGGGATCTCTTCTGTAAATCCAGAACAATAACATCTACCTTGCCTCATGAATTAGTGATTGTGAGAACCAAGTAAACTAATGAACGTACATAAAAACACTTTCTAAGCTCTAAAGTGTGTGTAAACATGGGGTGAGAGAGAAATGTGTTCACAGCTGATTCCCAGATGGATTTCTAGTCTTGCTTTTATAGTTAACTCCACTTTATTCCCTCAGCTATTAGACAGAGAGTTAAAGGATCTGACCACCTTGGTCAATCAGGAATTGGAGTGTGTGAATCAGATTATTGTCAGCCGGCCTCAAGAAGTCCCTGCTCAACTGTTGAAGGCTCTAGAGAAAGATGCCAAGAATCTTCAAAAGTCTCTCAGCTCTGTGAGTGACACTTGGAATTCCAGGCTACTTCACTTCCAGAATGCTATGGAAGTAGAAAAGGTAGCATTTTGTTTTTATTCATAAAGGCTGACAAAGTCTCGGTGGGTGGGAGATTTTTATAATGTGATTTGTCATTTACTTCTTAGACTAAAGTGTTAAACCAGCACACACAGCTAGAAGACAGAATTCAAGATCTGAAAGCCTGGATTGGCAATACCAACCTTATTCTGAACAGCAAGAGATCCAGTGAAACAGATGTTGACAGCCTGAACCACTGTCTCCAACAGTATGAGGTAAACTTTCTACCCATTCTCAAGCATGTTTTCTTTGTCCTTTGAGTTGTATCAAATTTTATTTTCCTGCTAGGCAAACCATTATCCATATTTATCTTTTTTTTTGAGATAGAGTCTCGCTCTGTCACCCAGGCTGGAGTGCTGTGGCGCTATCCTGGCTCACTGCAACCTCTGCCTCCCAGATTTAAGAGATTCTCCTGCCTCAGCCTTCCGAATAGCTGGAAGTACAAGCACCCACCACCATGCTTAGCTCATTTTTGTATTTTTAGTAGAGATGGGCCACCATGTTGGCCAAACTGGTCTTGAACTCCTGACCTCAGGTGATCTGCCCGCCTTAGCATCCCAATGTGCTGGGATTATAGGCATGAGCCATCACACCCATCCATTTTTATCTTTCTTAGAAAGTCTGACTTTCTACTTTATAAATAAAGTCAGCTATGTTTAGGTTTTTAAATTATCATATCCCTGGCCAGGGGTGGTGGCTCACACCTGTAATACCAGCAGTTTTGGTAGGCTGTGGTAGGTGGATCACCTGAGGTTAGGAGTAAGAAACCAGCCTGGCCAACATGGTGAAACTCATTCTCTACTAAAAATACAAAAAAATTAGCCGGGTGGGGTGGTGGGTGCCTGTAATCCTTGAGAGGCTGAGGCAGGGGAATTACTCGAACCCCAGAAGCAGAGGTTTCAGTGAGCTGAGACCGTGTCATTGTATTCCAGCCTAGGCAACAAGAACAAAATTCTGTCTCAAAAAAAATTATCATATCCCTGGAGTTTCAGTGATTATAATTATTTCTCCTTTCAGGTATTCTCTGAGATATCATCTACAGAATGACCTATTATTATCAATCTCATCTTCTCTTTATAAATGAGCATGTAGAATCTGTCCTTTGTTTCTCTTTTGACCAAGATATAATCCTGCATGCATGCACACACATACCAGTTTCAGGAGATTTTTGTTGTTTCAGGGATACATGTGCAGGTTTGTCTTATAGGTAAACTGCATGTCATGGGGATTTGATGTACAGATAATTTTATCACCTGAGTAATAAGCATAGTACCCAATAGTTATTTTTTCTGATCCTGTCTCTCTTCCCATCCCCCACCCTCAGGTAGGCCCCATTTTCTGTTTTTCCCCTCCTAGTATCCATGTGTTCTTGCTTAGCTTCCATTTATAAGTGAGAACATGCCATATTTGGCTTGCTGTTCCTGTGTTAGTTTGCTTAGGATAATGGTCTCCAGCTCCATCTATGTTGCTTTCAAGGATATGATCTCATTCTTATGGCTGGATGTATTCCATAAAATGTAGTGTCCCCATTTTCTTTACCCAGTCAATCACTGATGGGCAATTAGGTTGATTCCATGTCTTTGCTATTGTGAATAGCGCTGTACTGAACATACACATACATGTCTTTTTTTTTTTTTTTTTTTTTTTTTTGAGACGGCGTTTCACTCTTGTTACCCAGGCTGGAGTGCAATGGCGCAATCTCGGCTCACCGCAACCTCCGCCTCCTGGGTTCAGGCAATTCTCCTGCCTCAGCCTCCTCAGTAGCTAGGATTACAGGCACGAGCCACCATGCCCAGCTAATTTTTTGTATTTTTAGTAGAGACGGGGTTTCACCATGTTGACCAGGATGGTCTCGATCTCTCGACCTCGTGATCCACCCGCCTCGGCCTCCCAAAGTGCTGGGATTACAGGCTTGAGCCACCGCGCCCGGCCATACATGTCTTTATGACAGTGATTTCTGTTCCTTTGGGCATATACCCAATAATGGGATTGCTAGGTCAAATGGTAATTTTAAGTTCTTGTGGAATCGCTGCAGTGCTTTCCACCATGGCTAAAGTCAGGAGAATTTTTGCTGGGTTATTTAGAGCATGAGTTGGCAAACTTTTTTTTGTTGTTGAGATGGAGTCTTGCTTTGTTGCCCAGGCTGGAATGGTACAGTGGCACGATCTCAGCTCACTGCAACCTCCACCTCCCTGGTTCAAGCAATTCCCCTGCCTCAGCCTCCTGAGTAGCCGGGATTACAGGTGAATGCTACCACACCCAGCTAATTTTTTTGTGTTTTTAGTACAGATGGAATTTCATCATGTTGGCCAGACTAGTCTCCGACTCCTGACCTCAGGCATTCTCTGAGCCTCCCAAAGTGCTGGGATTATAGGTGTGAGCCACTGCACCCAGCTGACAAACTTTTTAAATAAAGGCCCAGATAATAAATATTACAGGCTTTATGAACCATATGCAAAAGACCCATTTCTGTTGCAATCACTGAAAATTAAAGCAGTCATAGATAATACATAAACAAATGGCTATGGCTGTGTTCCAGTAAAACTTTATTCACAAAAACATGTGACAGGCCAGATTTTGCTTGGGGGCCATAGTTTGCTGACCCCCCTGCTCTAGAAAGATGCTTTTCTTCTTAAGCTCTAAATTAATTGATTCTTTTTATTAGTCAATGAGAGAAAAGTTAGGACAATGAGATACGTGTGAGCCAGAGAGTTTCCCCCCCAATACTGTTCTTTTTTGTTCTATTCAAGATTATATCAGGTATTACAGTGTTTTATCAGCCGTCTGCTATAGAGAGATAGCCCTCTCCTTCAACATTTTATAATGTCAGAAGAGAACTAGAAATGTCCACTCCTATTCTATCTTCTCCCTTTTCCCCAATCTTAAGAGAAGCAGACATAAAAGTTTGTTTATGGTCAGCCTATTCACGATCTTATCCCTCTTTATCACGGAAGAGTTGACCTGCCTCCTCTTCTTATACCTTTTATGTAAAGATACCACTGAGGGAAAGCAATTCAGGCTTTTTCCAGTCTTCATCTGTGTGCTAAGATATTACAAAGAAGCAAGCATGAAAAAAATTTCCATGACATCAGATATAAAAACGTAGAGACATAGAGCATCTCATGCATTGGTGCCCTCCCCTAGATATAATATATGAATCCTCTTGTAGGCAGAGAAGAACAGTCTAAGCCTTGTTTTCCTAGTGATAGTTTCCTAAATTATTATGTTCACAAAGGAGGGAAGCTTTGTCTTATTGTTAGCAGTGGCAAATCCATATGGGTCTGCAGTAGCTTGTTTCTTGCCTCCTCAGGTGAAAGAATTTGACCAAGGGGCATAAGGCAGAGGTAGAGACTGAGACAAGTTATACAGCAGGAGTAAAAGTTTATTTAAAAGTTTTAGGGCCAGGCGTGGTGGCAGGCGCCTATAATCCCCGTTACTTAAGAGACTGAGGCAGAGGCCGGGCGCGGTGGCTCAAGCCTGTAATCCCAGCACTTTGGGAGGCCGAGGCGGGTGGATCACGAGGTCAAGAGATCGAGACCATCCTGGTCAACATGGTGAAACCCCATCTCTACTAAAAATACAAAAAATTAGCTGGGCATGGTGGCGTGTGCCTGTAATCCCAGCTACTCAGGAGGCTGAGGCAGGAGAATTGCCTGAACCCAGGAGGCGGAGGTTGCGGTGAGCCGAGATCGTGCCATTGCACTCCAGCCTGGGTAACAAGAGCGAAACTCCGTCTCCAAAAAAAAAAAAAAAAAAAAAAAAGAGACTGAGGCAGGATACTTGATTGAACCTGGGAGGCAGAGGTTGCAGAGAGCCAAGTTCATGCTACTGCACTCCAGCCTGGGTGATAGTGTGACTCTGTCTCAAAAAAAAAAAAAGTTCTAAAGCAAGAATGAAAGGAAGTAAAGTACGCTTGGAAGAGAGCCAAACGGCCAACTTGAGAGATCCAAGTGTGCTGTTTGTCCTTTGACTTGGGGTTTTACATGTTGGCATGCTTCAAGGGGTTGTTTCTCCTCCCCTGATTCTTCCTTTGGGGTAGGCTGTCTGCATGTGCAGTGGTCTGGCAGCACTTGGGAGGGGCCACATGTGCAGTGTGTTTACTGAAGTTGTACACATGCTCACTTGAGGCATTTTCCCCTTACCAGTCAAGTGTTCCTAGAGGAAGTTCATATACTGGTTAAACTCGGCCACTTTGCCTCTTGTGTGCATGCCTGAGCCCACTCACCCAGCTCCTGAAATCTTATTGGGAGGCTGCTAAATACTAGCTTCAGGTGTTTTACTATCTATTGAGAGCCTGCCTTTCCCTGGTGCCAGCTGCAACCAATCATTATTTTAGTGATACGGTTGAACAACCACCTGACCGTCACCTGATGGTCGCCTGACATTCTTGGAGGCGACCATCAGGTGATGTGGAGGTGGGCAGGGCCTCTCATGCCATGCTCATGCCTGCATAACTACCTACTGTAACATTATGATAAATATTGAAGAAGCACTCCCTGCCCTGTCTGCAAGATTGACTACTCTCAATTGATCTACTCTCAGTTTCAAAGTGATGGAGATCCTGTATAATTATATGCTTTTAATAGTATGAAAACAGATGATTTTAGTGTTAGGACAGTTTTTATTACTTTAAGGGAACAATATATAATATGAGAAAGTCTGAGTGTAATCTTTCACAGTTTAAAAAATAGTATAAACAGCACTATTTGCTCAAAAAATCAAATTTTAGGCTGAGTGTGGTGGCTCATGCCTGTAATCCCAGCACTTTGGGAGGCTGAGTGGAAGGATCACTTTAGCCCAGTAGTTTGAGACCAGTCTGAACAATGTAGTGAGACTCCATGACTACAAATAATTTTAAAAAATAGCCGGGCATGGTGGTATGCACCTGTGGTCCCAGCTACTTGGAAAGCTGACATGAGAGGATTGCTTGAGCTCAGGAGGTCAAGGCTGCAGTAAGCTTTGTATGCACCACTGCACTCCAGCCTGGGTGACACAACAGGATCCTATCTCAAAAAACAAAAATTTTGGCCAATCACAAACAAATTATATATTTTCTCAGTACTGGCCTGTGAGTAACTCATTGCTGGACAGATACAAATAGATATTTGAACCTAAGAAAGTACAATTAGGTACATCTCAGATCAGAAATTCATGTTATACTTTCCAAAACTTTTTCTAAAAATTCATAGCTGGGCACAGTGGCTCATGCCTGTAATCTCAGCACTTTGGGAGGCCAAAGAGGGCAGATCCCTTGAGGCCAGGAGTGTGAGACAAGCCTGGACAATGTGGCAAAACCCTGTCTCTACTAAAAATACAAAAAATTAGCCAGGCATGGTGGTGCACGCCTGTAGTCCCAGCTACTAAACAGGCTGAGGCACAAGAGTTGCTTGAACCAGTGAGGCAGAGGTTGCAGTGAGCCAAGATCAAACCACTGCACACCAGCCTGGGCAGCAGAGCAAGAAAGACTCTCTTTTTTCTTTTTTTGAGATGGAGTTTCACTTTTTCACCCAAGCTGGAATGCAGTGGCGTGATCTTGGCTCACTGCAACCTTCACCCCCCGGTTCAAGGGATTCTCCTGCCTCAGCCTCCTGAGTAGCTGGGATTATAGGTGCCTGCCCAGCTAATTTTTGTATTTTTAGTAAAGACAGGGTTTTGCTATGTTAGCCAGACTAGTCTTGAACTCCTGACCTCAGGTGATCTGCCCACTTCGGATTCCCAAAGTGCTGGGATTACAGGCGTGAGCCACCATGTCCAGCCCCAAGACTGTTTCAAAAAAAAAAAAAAAATCAGATCCTTTTGTAGTTCATGAGCTGATGATTGGGTGTTCACATGCTTGTGTGAGATGTGCTACCCTTGAACCTTGTTACGATGTCGGCACATTACCCATCTGACCAGGAAAAAAAAAATGATTCACAGATATTCTGGATTAACAATAGTATAATTATGCTAGCATAAATAATTAAAAGCTTATGCATTTGGAAATCAAGGTAGGTCCAGTAAAGGAACCTTTTTTTTTTTTAATTTTTTTTCTTTTTGTTAAGGAAACTTAATTCTAATTTATGAGGAGTTTGAAGAGACCAAAAGTGAGAGAGACTTTAATTCTGGTTTGTCCCTACAATCATGAGTGCCAGTTATGAAAATACAGGAAATTAGCCTCTCTGGTACTGTTGGTTTTCTTCCTGGACTGAGAAATGGAAGTTTCATGGTTTTGTTTTGTTTTGCTTTGTTTTTGGTTTCCTTTTTCTGTTTACCTTAGGATTTGAAACAGCCCATGGCTGAAAGGAAATCTCAGCTCGATGCTCTTGCTTTTGATGTTCAGTTCTTTATCTCGGAACGTGCCCAGGACTTGTCTCTTCAGCAGAATCGACAGATGCTGAGGCTTCTGAATGAACTGCAGAGGTCCTTCCAGGACATTTTGGAACAGACTGCAGCTCAGGCGGATGCCTTGCAGGGCCATCTTCAACAAATGGAGCAGGAAGCCCTGGTGAAGGTCAGACTGAACCAGCAGCTGGGCTCAGTTTGTTATTTGGGATGTCCACTGTCATTGGGTTTTCTGGCCAGACTCTGTGTATCATGATTGCAGGAGTCTGGGTTTACCAGTTTTGAAATTTCATGTCATGCAGGCCAGTATGGTTTTAGTCCAGGAGGCAGCTATTCTGGCTGTTTTTCTTGCCATGTCTTTGGTTTTACGTGTGTGTGAGAGAATGTATGTGTTTACATGTGTATACATATGCAAGTGTTTTCTTTTAGTGAGACTTTTCCTTCGCTGTATCTCATTGTCTCTGACTCTCAAATGAAAATCGTGTATCTAGTTATTTCCCTACTTTTTCTTTCAGCATTCTTTTGAGGGCTCCTAAGAACATCTAGATACTCTGAACTCTTGAGAAGAAATGTTCTGAAGTCAGTTTCATTCTATTTAATTTATTTCAAATGATTTATAATCAGGTTCCTTGACAATCTTTAAATGACTGACAAGGAAATTTTTATTAGAATCATTAATTTTTGGCTCTTTAAAAATTAATATTATTTTCTTGCACCTTTCCTCACACTGTAGTGCCCAGTGCTTATTCAATCATGGAAAACAGTATGTAGAAGCAGGGATAATACTTAAAAACAAAGAAACAAAAAAACTAACCATCCTACCATCTTCCATCATGACTCCCTTCTTGCAAAGCTCATTTCAATGTAATTACATTAATAATAACATCAAAACCTTGGAATACCGAATGATGTTTATGCCATTTCTGCTGTTTGAAATAGTAAGTTGGCATACAGCAAGATGACATTAGAATTATCATTATCACCAGAAAATTGTCTCAAGGGCTCCTTTATTAAATATTGTGCAAAAAATTGAGATTTTGAGTCAGATTTTAAGGGAATTAGGGTAACCAGTGCCATATGTCCCCTATTACTGTCTCAGTTTTTCAACTGTATTGAAATTGCAGTATACCAATGGAAAGCTTTAGGTTACTTTCCAAAACTGAGCATCTGCAATACTCTAATTCAGGAGCTTATATAGCGTAATATAACCTTTGGATAATTAATGAAGTAACATTGGTCTGAGCCACCTTAAGACCAGACCCAGCCCAGATTCAGGGTAAGCTGCTGAGCTGGAACAGGTGATAGAACTGCATGTGAACATCCTCCCTGAGCATGTAATTAATTCCACAATGCTTATTAACCTTGTTATTGTCAGAAATGCTCTGCTTCTCTCAATATTTGCCCTGAATGTGTGTGTATGTCTCTGTGTTAACTTGTTTGCTTTGCTTTTTTCAGATTCAGTCTGCACCCATCCTAACCCATGAAGATCCTGTTTTACAGCTGAAGAGCTCTTAGGAATTCTCTTCCAGAGCCCTTCTATTTGTCCTAAAGAGGGGGAGAGAGGGCCATTTTGGGCACCTGTTTGTAAGTGCAGGTGACTAAAGCGCCATCAGAAGGTAGAAACTGGTGGAAAATGGTTTTAGAAGGATGGTCAGGAGAACACATCATGCTCAATTGCTCAGTCAGGTGCTTTAATGTCATACAACTGAGATAAAATCTAGAGAAAGGATCAGGTACAGAAACATATTCCCTGTCTCTCTCCTTGGGCCTGGCCTGTTCCTTTGATACTAGTGTAGATAACTAAAGGACTTGGCCAGTTGGTTATTCTTGGGCACTTTTCTTCCCAAAATAGTAAAATCTAGCCCCTCATGCCTGGGGTGTAATCATTTTATTTAACGAGTCTGCATTGATGAGACATTTGATTTATAAAGTCAGCTCAGTTATTAAGAAGCTTAATTAGCTTATGAATTATCCAGGTCTTTGATTTTTCTTTCCACTCCAATTCTTCTACTTTTCCATATTATGTAGCAAATCTTTGGTTCTAGTGGAGGGATTGATCAGAACCACTAAATTATTATCATCATTATCATGTGTGGATTTCAAGCATCTGGGCTCTTTGTTCTCTATTTCCAAAGATAATAATAGAAGTCTGGTGAAGGAGCTCTCAAACCAAAACCTGAAGTAGAAGCATTCTGTCTCATAATTATCCTGATTATTATCTAGTCCATAGACCCAGATCAGTGGACTGTCCAAATGAGGGGAGCTTTCCGAATATGAGTTCTGTGCCTTTTCCTGTTCTAGTCTCCCACCAACTTTCCATCCTTCAGATATAACCTTCCTGTTTTACATTTCAGGGTTTCTTGTATTTGTAAAATATGAATTAATAAATGTCTCTTGACCCCTTTGCATTTTAATTAGACCCTGCAGAAACAACAAAATACCTGTCACCAGAAACTGGAGGATCTTTGCAGTTGGGTAGGACAGGCAGAAAGAGCACTGGCAGGCCACCAAGGGAGAACCACTCAGCAGGATCTCTCTGCTTTGCAGAAGAACCAAAGTGCCTTGAAGGTTAGTGAGAATCTTGTCAGTTTTTTCTTTTTCTTTTTCTTTTTTTTTTGAGGCAAAGTCTCTCTCTGCTACTCAGGCTGGAGTTCAATAGTGTGATCTTGGCTCACTGCAGCTTCGACCTCCTGGGCTCAGGCAATCCTCCCACCTCATCAGCCTCCCTCAGGAACTGGGACAAAGGCACAAGCTTTTAATTTTTAATTTTTTTTGTGGAGATGGGTATCAATCACTATATTACCAAAGCTGACCTCGAACTCCTGGGCTCAAGCAATCCTCCTGCCTTGGCCTTGGCCTTCACCTCTCAGAGTGTTAGGGTAACAGGTGTGAGCCACCACGCCCGACAATTTTTTCATTCCTTCGACAGATATTTAGTGCTTAAGGGTTGACAACAATGGTAAACAGACATCATTCCTGGCCTTGTGAAGCACACAGTGTAGCAAGGCAGGCAGAAATTATACAGGTTATTACAAAAATGAGCATAAAATTATTAACTGTTATATCTATAAAGGAAAACTCATATGAGAACATATACCAGAGAGACCCAATCTAGTTTAGGGTTTCAGAAAAGATTATCTTGAAGAAGTGTCACCTAAACTTGAGAAATGAAAGATACGTTGGGGCTAATGCATGAAGAGGTAGGAGGAGGAAGAGAATATACCAGGCAGAGGCTTATGTATTGGTCTTGAGACAGGAATGGGATTGAGCACAACATATTCAAGAACTGAAAGAAAGCTAGTTCAATTGGACTGCAAAGAACAAGAGTAAAATTAGGGAAAGATGAAGTTAGAGAGGTAGATGGGACCTATATCACTCTGAACTCCATAGGCCACATTAAAGATAAGGAGTGACTCTCAAGAGAGTATAACGGCCCATCAGGCCTCCACTCTGCTAAAATTGTGTTGTCAACTGCTCTTTTTTGAAAGAATGATCTCTTTGAGGATAACGCATTACAAAATGAAAACACTTCTCATACTAAAGTTTATGGACAGTCTTCTTTTTTGGCTTCACTAAATATTTGCTTAGAAAATAAAATAAAATTTGTTTGCATTGATTTAAGCCTAAACCTGAAGCAAATTGTTGTCAGGGACTATATACAGGACTATCTGTCATCCTAGCCATTCCATCTTTATACCATTAGAGGACTTAGAAGCACTAAAGTTGAAGGCTCTACCATTCCTATTTTCTTGTGTTAAGGATTTACAGGATGACATTCAGAATCATGTCACCTCATTTGCCACTGTTGTCAAGGACATTGAGGGGTTCATGGAAGAGAACCAGACCAAGCTGAGCCCACGTGAGTTGACAGCTCTTCGGGAAAAGCTTTGTCAGGCTAAGGAGCAATATGAGGCTCTCCAGGAACAGACACGGGTGGCCCAGAAGGAGCTGGAGGAAGCAGTGACCTCAGCCTTACAGCAGGAGACTGAAAAGGTAATAGACTGCTATGACACTTGATATTTTTCAAAAAAGAAAATTTTGGTACCGACACAAATAAAAGACAATGAGGGAAAATGGTCTTATAGAACACACAGAATCATGAGGAAGAGCTACTTCAGGAGCTAGTCTGTTTTTTGTTTTTTGAGACGGAATCTCTGTCACCTAGGCTGGAGTGCAGTGACATGATCTCAGCTTAATGCAACCTCCACCTACCAGGTTCAAGTGATTGTCCCGCCCCAGCCTCTCAGTTACAGGTAGCTGCGATTACAGGTGCCCATCACTACGACTAGCTCATTTTTGTATTTTTAGTAGAGATGGGGTTTCACCAAGTTGGCCAGGCTGGCTAGTCTGTATTTTTACAAGAATCTTTTATTTTTACAAGAAACATCCAGGAGGAGAGGACAGTTGGTTAAAAGTACATATTGCTCCCCCAATCCCCAAACATCTTGCTATCTGTATACTCATTCCTCTGACTAATTGAAAAAATAGCAGAACTTAGGGAGGAAGGGTAATATTCTGAGGAGGAAAAAAGCAAATTATATATATATATATATATATATATTTTTTTTTTTTTTTTTTTTTGATACATAGTTTTGCTCTGTTGCTGAGGCTGGAGTACAGTAGTGCAATCTCAGCTCACTGCAACCTCTGCCTCCTGGGCCCAAGTGATTCTCGTGCCTCAGCCTCCTAAGTGACTGGACTACAGGTGCATACCACCATACCTGGCTAATTTTTGTATTTTTAGTAGGAATTGGCTTTCACCATGTAGGTCAGGCAGATCTCAAACTCCTGACCTCAAGTAGTCCTCCTGCCTCAGCCTCTCAAAAGTGCTGGGATTTACAGTGTGAGCTACCATGCCCAGCCAAATGATGTATTTTAAGATGAGTCTAGACTGGTGATCTAAGATTACTAGGGAAAAATATCTATGAATTCTTAGCCAAAAGCTGTCCCCAAGCTGCCTTTATAGTTATGATGGGAATCGTGGCACTGGGATAAACCAAAGAGAAGCTAAAATCTCAAAGTCTTCTGCACCCCACTCAGCACTGGTGGATTGAATTTGAATCCTGTGTTTAGCCTTGGTTGCTGACACTAATGAGGAAGGTAGAGGACATGGAAAAGAAAAATAAATTACCTGAAGCTGAATTTTGAAATAGATGAATATATAACTTGGCATAACCTTTTTCATTAATTAAAATACTTGTAGAGCCAGTAAATAGAATTTCAGAAGCAAGTTGAAGGATTAAATGTTTCCCTATAGTCTCAGGTAAAAGAAAAAATTTAAAAAGAGCTAAATGTTCTATTTAGTTGAGGAAAGGATGAAAGAAGTTTTTCTTTCCTTTAGGAAAGAGCAGCCAGGTAATTGAATGTGACTATGCTGTTTCTTACCCTACCAAGCCAGTGCAGCACTTCTGTGTACCCTGAAAGATTCTGTGAAGCTTTGCTGGGGTGGCAGGACTAAATGATCTCTTAATAAAATCTTTCTAAATCTTGGGATTTGTTTTGTTTTGTTTTTTTGACACAGTGTTGTTACCCAAGCTGGAGTGCAGTGGCATGATCTCAGCTTACTGCAACCTCCACCTCCAAGTTCAAACGATTCTTGTTCCTCAGCCTTCTGAGTAGCTAGACCACAGGCATGCACCACTACACCCAGATAATTTTTTTGTATTTTTAGTAGAGATGGGGATTTCACCGTGTTGATCAGGCTGGTCTCAAACTCCTGACCCTTAAGTGATCCACCAGCCTCAGCCTCCCAAAGTGCTGGGATTACAGGTGTGAACCACTGTGCCCTGCCATTTTTTTTTTTTAAGCAGTAAGATACAATGGAATGTAGAAATATTTTTTAATAATTTTTTAAAATATTTTAAAAGATAATAGTTATCTTTTGTATATGCAAAAACTGTTTATACCCAGTCTTAGAATTAGCGTAAAATTCGCTCTTACTTAACCTGTGGTTGTATCATTGAGTATATAAAGCCTTCTTACTAGACTTCCTCTGTGGCTTTCAGAGTAAAGCAGCAAAGGAACTGGCAGAGAACAAGAAGAAGATAGATGCTCTCCTGGAATGGGTAACTTCAGTAGGATCATCTGATGGACAGCTACTGACCAACCTTACAGGAATGGAACAGCTCTCGGGAGCTAGCTTGGAGAAAGGAGCCTTGGATACCACTGATGGTTACATGGGGGTGAATCAAGCCCCAGAGAAACTGGACAAGCAATGTGAGAAGATGAAGGTGAGGGTGTTAGCTTATCCTCACAATGCTAGAGAAATTTCTCCTGCCCTGAGCAAGTAACCACAATCACGTCGCCCCTAAATCCAGAGAGCACATCTCAGTTTGTATCTCTTTGATGTCTCAGCAGCCTTGACACTGTTGTCTACTCTTCTTGAAATACTTTCTCTTGGTTTCCATAATACTACTCTGTCCTCACCATCTTTCTTACTTTCCTCTGGCCAAGTTTTTCAAATACTGATGTTTCCAGGTATATCCTAGGCCCTCTTTTTATCTTTCAGAATATACTTTCCTTGGGCAGTCTCATCTACTCACAACACTATAATTGCCATTTGCATTAATGAATTCTGTGTATACATTTCCCTCCAGCCCTGATACCTGTCCTGAGCCTCAAACCAGTATATAAATCCATCTGCCTATTTGCAGCTTGGGCCCACAAGCACATTAGCATGAAAATGGAACTCCTATTTCTTATGATACTCCTCCCACAATCAAATGTTCTCTTTCCTGTATTCCTACTTCATTGTCTGAACTGGACTTCATCCTAGATTCCATTCTCTCACTCTTCCACATCAAATCAGTCATCAAATCTCATGCTAATAATATTTCTTTCATAGTCAGCTACACTTCTTCATCTTTATTGAGATATTGTAGTTTAGACCACTATCTGCTTTCACTGGTATTATTATAGTAGCTTCTACTGGTCTTCTGTCCTCTTGGATTTTACCTTCCATCCATTCTCTTTACTACCAAGGAGTTTTTCTAAAATGCCATATCCTTGCCTAGCCCTTTTTATGGTTCCCTGTTGCCCTCAAGATTACATAGTTAACTCTCCTCTCAGCTCCCACCCACTGGGATCTAGTCTACTTATTTGGCCTTATCTGTCACCTTCCTTTATACTTGAGCATTTGCTTATATTGGTCCCTTTCAGTTTGTTAGCTAAACTGTGCTCTCACTTTCCTCTGACCCTTTGCATGCTCTTGGAACTTCCTTGCTTTTTCAGTGTATAAAGTAAGGGAGAACCCCAGCTATTGGTTAATTTTTACTCATTCTTCAGATCTCAACTTAGAGTTCTTCCTCTAAGAGGCCCTGATTCACCACCGCTCACCAAATTTAGGGTATATACTCCCTCATATGCTCTTTTTTTTTTTTTTGAGACAGAGTCTCACTCTGTCATCTAGGCTGGAGTGCAGTGGCGTGATCTTGGCTCACTGCAACCTCTATCTCCTGGGGTCAAGTGATTCTCATTCCTCAGCCTCCCAACTAACTATGTTGGCCAGGCTGGTCTCAAACTCCTGACCTCAGATGATCTGCTCACCTCCCAAAGTGCTGGGATTACAGGTGCCCACCCTATATGCTCCTCTTATACCCTTTCCTACGTTGTATCATTTCTCATTCTATATTGTTTTCTTTTCTGCATTTCCCTCTAGATGTTAGGCTTGAAAGCACACACTGTTTCTTAAGGCTCCCTATTCTGTAACAAAACAAAACAAAACAAAAAAGCAGAAGTCACTCTTACTGTTTATTTCTACTCATTCATTTCTTCATTTAGCGATACTGAATACCTGCCATATGCCAGGAATTAGAAATAGGCCAGTGAGCCAACCCGTTAAACCATCTTCAAGGGCATCAACTGGCATATACAGGCACATTCTCTTGAGTGATTGAAAGATTACATGTTTAGGATGCTTACAACACATGGATTATATATTTTAGTAGTAGCACCTTTGTAGCAAGAACATTGGCTTACCTGGAATACTTGTGTTCAGTGGCCTGTGTGGACCATTGTCATATTTTGTATTAATAGGATTTCTGCCTCTTACATTATGCTTTTTGAAGGTCCATTATAATGTGTCCCCCAAAGCCCTGGTAGTCTTATGGAGGACAGAGCAAAAATGATTCTGCTGTCATAGGATGTCTTCTGACACCTTTTGCCTTCTGACACTGGCAGCAGTCAGCCTAACCAAGTGACATCTCCATTCCAGGAAGGAAATTGCCTTACTTATAGGTGTATGGATTAGAAGGTGAAAATGGAGGACACCTGAGTGATTGTAGTATTGTCCCCCCTTCACTGTCTAAGTGAGCAAGATACATTTGTCATTCCGGCTTTCTTTTTTCCTTCCTTTTTTTTGAGACAGAGTCTTATTCGTCACCAGGCGCCAGGCTGGAGTGCAGTGGCGTGACCTTGGCTCACTGCAACCTCCACCTCCCGGGTTCAAGCAGTTCTCCTGCCTCAGCCTCCTGAGTAGCTGGGACTACAGGCGCACGCCACTATGCCCAGCTAATTTTTTTGTATTTTTAGTAGAGACGGGGTTTCACCATGTTGGCCAGGATGGTCTTGATCTCTTGACCTCGTGATCCACCCACCTTGGCCTCCCAAAGTGCTGGGATTATAGACGTAAGCCACCGTGCCTGGCCTTTTTCTTCTTTTTTAAAGAGATGAGGCCTCACTTTGCCACCCAGGCTGAAGTGCAATGGGACAATCATAGCTCACTGTAACTTTCCAAGTCCTGGGCTCCAGTAATCCTCTCCAGTAGCTAGGACTACAGGTGTACACCCACCATAACCGGTTAATTTTTTTTTTTAATAGACAGGATCTTGCTGTGTTACTCAGGCTGGTCTCAAAACACCTAGCTTCAGTGATACTCCTGTATCAGCCTTCTAGCCACTCCAGTTTTCTTGAAATAATGTGGGAGGCTGAGGCTATCAGGTTGCTGTTGATACAGGCTAAAACTAGACAATATTCTGTAGTCCTTCTCTAGGTAATTGCATAAACAGTATAGGTAGTCACGAATACTGACAACTCCCACTGTCTTCTAGACTCAGGAAGAACATCTTACGTTTCAAAACAAAAACTTAAAACTCTCCTCAAAGAAGTCATATTCCATTGGAATAAAAAACAGTCTATGTATAGACAAAGTACATACAAATGCAAAGTACAAATTATTTATGTTACCCAGAAATACAGTTTACTCTCTATTTATTGAATTAATTAATTTTCCAAGTCTTTCCTAGTAGGGACAGTCTTCATGGACACATGAGTGACATATTTCACAGCTAAGAACTTTGTTTTTATATTGCCATTATATGATGTATTCAGCCACCCTTCCACTAATGTAGATGATTATTAGTTGTCCATTTGTACAGTTTAGTGAAGAAAGTCAGGTTTTTTGTTTTTTTATTGAGACGGAGTTTTGCTCTTGTTACACAGGCTGGAGTGCAGTGGCACGATCTCAGTTCATTGCAACCTCCACCTCCTGGGTTCAAGCAATTCTCTTGCCTCAGCCTCCTGAGTAGCTGGGATTACAGACATGTGCCACCATGCCTGGCTAATTTTATATTTTTACTAGAGACAGAGTTTCTCCATGTTGGTCAGGCTGGTCTCAAACTCCCGACCTCAGGTCATCCACCCACCTTGGCCTCCCAAAGTGCTGAGATTATAGGCATGAGCCACTGCTCCTGGTTAGAGAGTCAGATTTGAGTCACAATTCTATTCCTTAACAAACTGCATGACCTTAGTCAAGACATATAACGTCTTTTTCGTATTCACTTTTTTTAATATGGTATCATATTGTCTACCTACATTATAGGTTGTGCCACAAAGCAAATGAGATAATACATGTAAAATCTCTTTGAAAACCATAAAGTCCTATACATGTCAGTTCAAAGGGGATTAGCATATGGAATACTGTTTAGAGAGTAGATGATATTGGTGATTTCTGAGCAGCTGGAAAAGTGATCTCTTGAATAGAGATAGAGACCTCTCCCTACTTCTAGCTTATAGGTAGAAGGATCCTTAAAGATTCTAAGTACAGTTTAAGAATCAGCATCTAAATTAAAGGGCTATGCCTAAAACAAGGGGCTGAACCAAATAAAATGAAGTTAACAGGGAAAAATGTCAGATGGAACAAAACAGAGAGGTATATGACTTGACAGCAATGTGGGTGGAAAGATCAAGGCTTAATGAGAGCAGACCTCACACGGAGTATGAAGTCCAGTCTTGTATACCCCAAAGTTTTGTGGATTCCCTACTGATTGTCCTTTGTTTGAGGGCTTTTTTTTTTTTTTTTTACCAGGCCCGTCACCAAGAATTGCTGTCCCAGCAGCAAAATTTCATTCTGGCCACCCAGTCAGCTCAAGCCTTTCTGGACCAGCATGGCCACAATCTCACACCTGAGGAACAACAGATGCTGCAAGAGAAGCTGGGAGAGCTAAAGGAGCAATACTCTACTTCCCTGACCCAATCAGAGGCAGAACTAAAGTGGATGCAGACACTTCAGGATGAGTTGCAGAAGTTTCTGCAGGATCATAGGGAGTTTGAAAGCTGGTTGGAACGATCTGAGAAAGAGCTAGAGAACATGCATAAGGGAGGCAGCAGCCCTGAGGCCCTTCCCTCCCTGCTAAAACGGCAAGGAAGCTTCTCAGAGGATGTCATTTCCCACAAAGGAGACTTGAGATTTGTGACTATCTCAGGACAGAAAGTCTTGGACACGGAAAACAGTTTCAAGGAAGGCAAAGAACCATCAGAAGTTGGAAAATTAGTAAGGGACAAGTTGCAGGATGCAACAGAAAGATACACTGCTCTCCACTCAAAGGTAAGGGGCAGTTCTTGGCATCCATGGTGAAACAATCATGGCAGCCTTCACATGATGTGGGTGGTTTCTGGGGCTCAGAATAAGAACCCCAGGCCAGTGGGAGAGCTGATTTATACATGGACCACAGGCAGAGGGTGTTCACAAACAATGCAAAAAATGTAGCATACATAGGCCTTTGGCATAATACCTGATAGCTAGCTAATACCTAATACCTAGCACTAGTATATTTCACACTGATGGTGAAGGTGGAAGTGTTTACCTTCCTGTATCCTGACCAGCAGACTTGGGCTCCCAAGAGACATAGCACGTAGAAGAAAGTTAAACCAATTGCACAGTCTTTATTTCTGGACAGAGCGCCTAGGATAATCTTATCTTTCTTCCTATCTAAAGAATTCCCTCTTTCTTCTAAAGTTTAGAATCCAGTCAGTTCCTTTTACCTGTCTTATGCCTTCTTGCCAACACTTCTAATCCCCACAAAAGAACAGTTTTTGCACCTCTTAACCCCTACCTTTGTTTGTAACCTGATGTTCATTTCTTTGGTGGCTTGTCATACATCTCATTAAATTTTCTGAATATATAAGAAGGTTGAGGTGAATAGTATGGAACAAACAATGGGGACCCACACTTATAGATTATTGCCACCCATCTATTCATAAGTTCTGGAACTACCCTTATCTGAAGTTACGGTATATTTTCTATAACAAAGTCAGGCCTCTTCTTTGGCCAGCTACTGTCTTTGGCCTGACCTTGCTTAAGTTGGCTTAACTTTGCTTCTCTGATACAGTGTACACGATTAGGATCTCACCTGAATATGCTGTTGGGCCAGTATCATCAGTTCCAAAACATTGCTGACAACCTGCAGGCCTGGATGCAGACCTGCGAGGCCAATGTGGAGAAGCTCCTCTCAGATACTGTTGCCTCTGACCCTGGAGTTCTGCAACAGCAGCTTGCAACAACAAAGGTAAATCAGGACACAGGCTGTGTTGCGGTGTCAAAACCTTGCATTGCATGGCCTAAAGTATCCCAAAGTAAAGCAAATGCTTACACAAAATAAAGGCAGTGGTTGAGATGCCTTGGATGAGATCTGAGTCCTAAACACTTGCTTCTAATATCTATGGCTATCGGTAAACTTAGAATTATTTTGTAAAGCTACTTAGTAGCTCTAGATTCCTAGAATCAGCTTTGATTACTCATTCAGATGTTTTTCTTTCTTTCTTTCTTTCTTTTTATGGACAAGCAGCAGTTACAGGAGGAATTAGCTGAGCACCAAGTACCTGTAGAAAAACTCCAAAAAGTAGCCCATGACATAATGGAAATTGAAGGGGAGCCAGCCCCAGACCACAAGCATGTTCAAGAAACTACAGGTATAGAGCAGCAACAGTAATAGTACTCCCTTAATTCCTAGTATGTACCTCTGTTCTGCAATATGTCACATTGTGTTGTACAAATATCTGTGATCCAAGGCTAGAGGCTGAGAATATAAACATGAATACACATATACTGTCATCAAAGAGCTTATCCTTTAATGAACTTTATTCTTGTATCACTGAAGGACCTTCACAGTCTGGCTTCAGTCCCTTTTCCCCAGGCATCTATCTTCTGGCCACACCTACTTCTTTTCTTTCCCAAGTAAACCACTTACTTCTGCATTGTATTACCCCTGAAGTTTTTCCTATTGCTCAGTTGCTAAAATTTAATGAATGCTTACCAAGCATGGTGAAATCTTGCTCATGCTTCAAGATGTAGCCAAGAGTATATCATGGTGAATATAGTTATGAACAATAAATCATATACTTGAGAATTGCTGAGAGAGAGAGAGAGAGAAAGAGATTGCTGTGTGTGAGAGAGAGAGAGAGAGAGTGAGAGTGAGAGTATAATTATTATTTTTTTTTAAATGGAGTTTTGCTCTTCTTGCTCAGGCTGGAGTGCAATGGCGTGATCTTGGCTCACTGCAACCTCTACCTCCTGGTTCAAGTGATTCTCCTGACTCAGCCTCCCAAGTAGCCAGGATTACAGGCATGCACCACCATGCCTGGCTAATTTTGTATTTTTAGTAGAGATGGTGTTTTACCATGTTGGTCAGGCTTGTCTCGAAATCCTGACTTCAGGTGATCCACCTGTCTCAGCCTCTCAGAGTGCTGGGATTACAGGCGTGAGCCACTGCACCCAGCCGCAAGAGTATATTTTAAGTGGTTTTACCACAAAAAAAAGTGATATGTAAGATAATGCATATGTTAAATAGCTTGACTTAGCCATTCCACTCCTCAAAAGAAACAAAAAATAATTATTCTTCCTTCTGTGCTTCTTAAGGACAGTAGTACAGTACTCCTAGTATTAATATAGCACTTAAGATTTATTTTTATTTTTTGAGATGGAGTCTCATTCTATCAACCAGGCTGGAGAACAGTGGCGCAATCTCAGCTCACTGCCACCGCCACCTCCTGGATTCAAGTAATTCTCCTGCCTCAGCCTCCCAAGTAGCTGAGAATACAGGCTCCTACCATGCTCAGCTAATTTTTTGTATTTTTAGTAGAGATGGGGTTTTGCTATGTTGAGCAGGCTGTTCTCAAACTCCTGACCTCTTGATTTGCCTGCCTCGGCCTCCCAAAGTGCTGGTATTGCAGGTGTGAGCCACTGCGCCTCGCCAAGATTTTATTTTTACCATTAATTGTGACGCATCTTCCTCTGCCTATGCTCTGCTTTAGAGTCTTAAGTTGTAGATATCAGATAAGATACTTAACTGTGTTTAGTCCTCAGCATCTAGTACAATTTCTAGTTCTTTGTATGTGGCAAATAACTAATGCTTATTGAATTTGGCTCTAATACTAATGCATTTCAAGCTTATTCCTTCTATTGGCCTTAATGTCAATTATTATTACAGTTACTGTGTCCACTGTAGGACTGGGCATGGTGACTCATACCTGTAATCCAGGCACTTTGGGAGGATGAGGTAGGAAAATTTCTTGAGGCCAGGAGTTCAAGGTCAGCCTGGGCAACATGGTGAGACCACATCTCCATAATAATAATAATAAATAAAAAAGATTTCAAATGTGCAATTTAAATACAGTCTTTAAAAGCATAATGCAAAAATTGTCTTCGCTCCTTCTTTTCATGGCCTGTTTTTTCAGATTCCATATTCAGCCACTTCCAAAGCCTCTCTTATAGCCTGGCTGAGCGATCTGCTCTGCTGCAGAAAGCAATTGCCCAATCTCAGAGTGTCCAGGAAAGCTTGGAGACCCTATTACAGTCTATTGGGAAAGTTGAACAAAACCTGGAAGGGAACCAGGTGTCATCACTCTCATCAGGAGTCATCCAGGAAGCCCTAGCCACAAATATGGTAAGACCTATGTCCCAAGAGCTAGCAGAGAGGGTATGTTTGCCATGTGCCATCATTACATGATGTTGAAAAAGTAACAAAGGAGAATTTAACACCTGTGAATTTTCTGATAAGGTTCAGAAATTATTACTAATCCATGTCGGATATTTCTACCCAGCTAAACTGAAATGAAAGTGGTGATAGCAAAATTATATGGTAGAAGGGGTAGAGAACTAAGGGAATGAGATGTGTGGTGTTCTGAAGGTTCAGTTGCAGCCCCTTTCCCCCCCCGCCGCTGCAAGATAGCATATAGTTAATAGTTTGTGGCTCAGATGTCCTGGAATAAGTAAACCAGGAGCTGACAGGCATGTTCTTCATGACAGAAATTGAAGCAGGACATTGCTCGGCAGAAGAGCAGCTTGGAGGCTACCCGTGAGATGGTGACCCGCTTCATGGAGACAGCAGACAGTACCACAGCAGCAGTGCTGCAGGGCAAACTGGCAGAAGTGAGCCAACGGTTTGAGCAACTCTGTCTACAGCAGCAAGAAAAGGAGAGCTCCCTAAAGAAGCTTCTGCCCCAGGCAGAGATGTTTGAACATCTCTCTGATAAGCTGCAACGGTTCATGGAAGACAAAAATCGGATGCTGGCCTCTGGAAATCAGCCAGATCAAGATATTGCACATTTCTTTCAACAGATCCAGGTGAGGATATATCTGCCATGTTAGCAGAATAAAGAGGAGAGAAGGGCAGGGAGAGAGCTAGCATTTACTGAGCACATAGTATGTCAGTCAGTATACTAGAAACTTTACCTTCATTATCCTAGAGAATTATTATAGCGGTCCTGTAAACTAGATATCATTTGTCCAGTTTCTAACCAAGACAGTCAAGATTTATTTTTCACTCTTACTGCATGTTCAACCTAAATCAGCAGGGCCTCTCAGCTCATCATAGTCACTCAGGGATGCAGATTGATAGAGATTTCATCCTAATGTAAGCTTTCATCATTACTGCCTCAGTGGGAAAAGGGCATATTATATCTGTTCACATTTCATTAGTCAAAGCACTTTCCACAAAACCACCTATGCCTTTCAAGGGAGTGAGGAAGTGTAATCTCACCACATACGTAGAAAGTGCAAAGCTAGAAATATTTGGTTAAAAGTATTAACAACTACTACAGATGTATACCCTGGAGTAGAATTGCCCGGTCATAGTATATGCATATATTAATTTAATTTGACTCAGTAGTGGCCAGTTTGAGCTCCAGAATGGCTGTACCAGCTCACATTCCTAGCTGTAGTACCTCAGCATTCCTATGTCTCTGCATTGCTGCCTTCTTTTTATCCAACTTTCTAACTTTTTCCATATTAAAGTGGAATCTCATTGTTTGGTTTGCTCTCCTATTTGCTTTTAATTATTTCAAACTTATAGAAAAGTAGAAAGAGGCCAGGCGCGGTGGCTCAAGCCTGTAATCCCAGCACTTTGGGAGGCCGAGGCGGGTGGATCACGAGGTCAAGAGATCGAGACCGTCCTGGTCAATATGGTGAAACCCCGTCTCTACTAAAAATACAAAAAAAAGTAGCTGGGCATGGTGGCACATGCCTGTAATCCCAGCTACTCAGGAGGCTGAGGCAGGAGAATTACCTGAACCCAGGAGGCGGAGGTTGCGGTGAGCCGAGATCGCGCCATTGCACTCCAGCCTGGGTAACAAGAGCGAAACTCCGTCTAAAAAAAACAAAAAACAAAAAACCAAAAAACAAAAAAAGAAAAGTAGAAAGAATGGTCCAGTAAACACAAACATACAATTCACCTAGATTTACCAGTTTCTAATTGTTTTCCCTCTCTTTATGAAAATATGAAAGAGAGACGGTATCATTATGGGCTTCTCTATTATTACCATTATTCTTTATGGTACTTAACATTTTCCCAAATGTGGTCAATGGGAGCCCCTTCAAGCTGTCTCCTGTGGCTTTTTGATAAGTCTTCTTCAGCATAAGAGTACTTTTGGCACTTAAGGTATTTGTGGCACAATAAGATATTTCCTTGTCCCTGATCTGAAATCAACTATTTCTCTGAGAAGTCCTACTTTTAGTGGGGAATGATATTTAGAAACTAAATCTGGATACTCGATGAGCTACTGGAATGTCACTACTTTAAATTCTTTTTAATAGTGTTAGGAGGCCGGGCGCGGTGGCTCAAGCTTGTAATCCCAGCACTTTGGGAGGCCGAGGCGGGTGGATCACGAGGTCGAGAGATCGAGACCATCCTGGTCAACATGGTGAAACCCCGTCTCTACTAAAAATACAAAAAATTAGCTGGGCATGGTGGCACGTGCCTGTAATCCCAGCTACTCAGGAGGCTGAGGCAGGAGAATTGCCTGAACCCGGGAGGCGGAGGTTGCGGTGAGCCGAGATCGCGCCATTGCACTCCAGCCTGGGTAACAAGAGCGAAACTCCGTCTCAAAAAAAAAAAAAAATAGTGTTAGGAAATACATGTGTATGTTTTTTATATCATGAAATCATACTGATAGTCTAGTTTCAACTCAACACCATAGAATTCTTCCTCCTTTCCACATTTGTATCTTCCTTTGTTTTAGGGTGAACCCTAGTTCCCACCAACTTTAATATATTTACTTATTGGTTTTATTCTACAATAAATATAAGACAGTTTTAGAGTTACACTAGTATTTTTACCAACAACAAACCTGCTAAATAAAACTGAAGATTTTTTTGGATTTGTTTTTGTCCTTAGCCTATGACTCACTGTGTACTGTGTTCAAAAATTACCTGAATTACATTTTCTGTAATTTCACATATAATTCGATTTGTTTCTATTTGTATTCAGCTTTAGGACTTTATTTTTTCTAACTTTGTTGATTAAACTTATTTTTAAATATGTAAAGCATTAACATAGCTCAAAAGTTTAAACCATCCAAAAAGTTATACTCAAGGTATAGGAAGTGAATAAGAATATATTCTCATTGTCTTTTCTGTCTCTTTCATCTCATTTTCACCCATTCCCATAGTAACAAATTTCAGGGTTTTTTTTTTTTTTTTTTTTAGAATGCTTATATATTAGATTTCTTTTCTTTTCTTTTTTTTGAGATGGGGTTTCATTCTTGTTGCCCACACTGGAGTACAATGGTGTGATCTTGGCTCACCACAACTTGTTTTAATTTTTTTGCCTTTGAATCTTTTAACAAGTTAAGCTTATTCTGAAATATGAATCATGTTTATTTTTTTCTATCATGTCTGTCTAGTTGTTCATAATACAAGTTGAGTGTCCCTAATCCAAAATCTGAAACTTTTTGAGAGCTGACATGACAGTGAGAGATCATGCTCAAAGAAAACACTCATTGGAGCACTTCAGATTTCAGAGCTTCAGATTAGGGATGCTCAACTGCTAAGTATAATACAAATATTCCAAAATCTGGAAGAGTCTGGAAATCAATACGCTTCTGGTCCCAAGCATTTCAGGTAATGTCCAACCTGTATACTGAATCATTTATTTGGAAAGTTGCATCTTTTCTCCAGATTTAAGAAGCAGTCTTCATCATGTACACAATTTTCATTATGTCTTTGAGTCTATTTCTGGATTTTTTTTTTTTTTTTTTTTTTTTTTAAGATGGGGTCTTGTTCTGTCACCCAGGCCGGGATGCAGTGGTGTGATCTTGGCTCACTGCAACCTCCGCCTCCCAGGTTCAAGCGACTCTCCTGCCTCAGCCTCCCAAGTAGCTGGGATTACAGAGGCCTGCCACCACACCTGGATGATTTTTGTATTTATAGTAGAGATGGGGTGTTTCACTAAGTTGTCAGGCTGGCCACTCTGTATTTTCACAAGAAACATCCAGGAGGAGAGGACAGTTGCTCTCCCATCCCCAAACATCTTGCTATCTGTATACTCATTCCTCTGACAAATTGAAAAAATAACAGAAAGAACTTAGTGAGGAAGGGTAATAGTCTGAGGAGGAAAAAAGCAAATGGGATTTTTTTTTGAGACATAGTTTTGCTCTGTCGCTGAGGCTGGAGTGCAGTGATGTGATCACAGCTCACTGCAACTCTTCGTCCTGGGCCCCAGTGACTCTCTTGCCTCAGCCTCCTGAGTAACTGGGGCTGCAGGTGCATACCACCACACCTGGCTAATTTTTGTATTTTTAGTAGAGACTGGGTTTCACCACATTCATCAGGCTGATCGTAAACTCCTAACCTCAAGTGATCCTCCTGCCTTGGCCTCCCAAAGTACTAGGATTGCAGGAATAAGCCACCATGCCTGGCTTTTTTTTTTTTTTTTTTTAAGATGGAGTCTCATTCTGTCACCCAGCCTGGAGTGCAGTGGTGCAATCTCAGCTCACTGCAACCTCCTCCTCCTGAGTTCAAGCTATTCTTCTGCCTCAGCCTCCCGAGTAGCTGGGACTACAGGTGTGTGCCACCAATTCTGGCTAATTTTTGTATTTTTAGTAGAGACGGGGTTTCACCATGTTGGCCAGGCTGATCATGAACTCCTAACCACTAGTGATCTGCCTGCCTTGGCCTTCCAAAATGCTGGGATTGCAGGCGTGAGCCACTTTGCACAGCCTTACAAATATACTTTCATGTAATCTACAAATATAATTTTATCTTTTCTTTTTCAATTCTTATTCCACAGACTTTTCTCTTATTGCATTGCCTTTTTTTTTTTTTTTAATTAAATTACATTTTTGTTTTAAATAGAGATGGAGTTTCACCATGTTGCCTATGCTGGCCTTGAACTTCTGGGCTTAAGTGATCCACCCACCTTGGCCTCCAAAAGTGCTGGGATTATAGGCATGAGCCACTGTGCCTGGCTGATATCTTAAGTACAATATTAAATAATAGTGGAGTTGGTGTGTTTATCCCCATTTTACAGAAGAGACCATGGGAGCTTAGAGTAGTTTAGTAGCTTAATAGCACAAGTTAGTTAAGTGGTAAACTGTGGTTGAATTTCAGGTCTATTTGACTCCTGAAACTTTCTTTCTTTGCATCCTATCATGGTACCTCCCAAGTCTTTGAACATTTGTTTAAAGGAGACAAGACTATGTTGTAATTCCTAGCCACTCTTCAGTGGATTGAAGATGTCCTACATATTTATCAGATTTATTTTAATAGGACTTTTTAATTTAAAAAAAACATTAGCTGAGCATGGCATGGTGGCAGGAGCCTGTTTAATCCCAGCTGCTTGAGATGCTGAGGCAGAATAGCTTGGAGCCGGGAGGCGGGGGCTGCAGTGAGCCGAGATGGAGCCATTGCTCTCCAGCCTGGGTGACAAGACCAAAACTCTTAGTGGTCTTTTCCTTTTTCCTTTCCTTTCCTTTCCTTTCCTTTCCCTTTCCCTTTCCCTTTCCCTTTTCCTTTCTTTCCTTTTTCCTTTCCTTTCCCCTTTCCTTTCCTTTCCTTTCCTGTCCTGTCCTGTCCTGTCCTGTCCTGTCCTGTCCTGTCCTGTCCTTTCCTTTTTCTTTTCCTGTCCTGTCCTTTCCCTTCCTTTCCAAGATGGAGTCTCACTCTGTTGCCCAGGCTGCAGTGCAGTGTCACTATCTTGGCAGTGGCATCCTCTGTCTCTTGGGTTCCAGCAATTCTACCCTCAGCCTCCTCTGAGTAGCTGGGAATTACAGGTGCCTGCCACCATGCCCTGCTAATTTTTGCATAAACTTTTCCCTGACTTGAAGCTTACATATTTATTGTTTTGATCTAGTATTTGACCTAGCAAACATACCTCTTTTCTTATTCCTTCTTTTTAGATTATATTTATAAGGATTAGAGGATTTAATACATTTTCTTGTTTGCTTGACAGGAGCTCAATTTGGAAATGGAAGACCAACAGGAGAACCTAGATGCTCTTGAGCACCTGGTCACTGAACTGAGCTCTTGTGGCTTTGCACTGGACCTGTCCCAGCATCAGGAGAGGGTACAGAACCTCAGAAAAGACTTCACAGAGCTACAGAAGACAGTTAAAGAAAGGTGAGTTATCACATATATTGGTCGGCATTGGGGAATGATTTTTTCTTGCTATGGAGTGAAATGATCTTTTCTCCTTTCTTCCTTTACCAAAAAGATAGCATCTAAAACTCTGCTACTGAGTCATAGGAGGGTGAAAATGCCTTTTTTTTAGGCAGAGCTACCTAATCTAATTGATGCTTAGTGGGTTTTCTTTCTTTCTTTCTTTCTTTTTTTTTTTTTGAGACAGAGTCTCGCTCTGTTGCCCAGGCTGGAGTGCAGTGGCGCCATATCAGCTTACTGCCACCTCTGTCTCTGGGGTTCGAGCAATTATTTTACCTCTGCCTCCTTAGTAGCTGGGATTACAGGCGCCTGATACCATGTCCAGCTAATTTTTGTATTTTCAGTAGAGACCACGTTGGCCAGACTGGTCTTTAATGCCTGACCTCAGGTGATCCACCCACCTCATCCTCCCAAGGTGCTGGGATTACAGGTGTGAGCCACTGCACCCAGCCATTTAGTGGTTTTTCTAATACTAATTAATGGAAAATAGGGATGTGTTTGCTCTCTTTATGTTCAGAAGCATAGGCCTCTTGGACCAATGGAACAAATTTGAGGTAGCAAATTAGATTATGGAAGAATTTGGAAAGAAGAGAAAAATTAGGAGAGACTTCCTAGACATAATTAAGGGTGATTTTGGCACTGCCCCTGGCTTTTTTTTTTTTTTTTTTGAGACGGAGTTTCATTCTTGTTACTCAGGCTCACTGCAACCTCCGCCTCCTGGGTTCAGGCAATTCTTCTGCCTCAACCTCCTGAGTAGCTGGAATTACAGGCATGCGCCACCATGCCCAGCTAATGTTTTGTATTTTTAGTAGAGACGGGGTTTCACCGTGTTGACCAGGATGGTCTCAATCTCTTGACCTCGTGATCCACCCGCCTCGGCCTTCCAAAGTGCTGGGATTACAGGCTTGAGCCACCGCGCCTGGCTTTTTTTTTTTTTAGATACAGGGTCTTGCTATGTTGTCCAGGCTAGTCTTGAACGCCTGGCCTCATCAATCCTATTGCCTTGGCCTCCGAAAGTGCTAGAATTACAGGTGTGAACCACCCACCATGCCTAGTCCCCCTGCTTGTTTTGACCACATTTAAGTTGCTATTTTGGAGGAGTATCTGGATCTTTATTCAAGGCAAACAAGGGAATATATGACAAAGGCTGGCTGATTTTTGGTCCCCGTTGAAAAGCCATGATTCCCCATTGGACAGCCTCACATGGATTTAAGAGCGTGAACAAGACTTATCTCAGTTTAGCCATAAATAAGATCTTGCTTTAGCAGATGACTGCCTTGGTGACTAGAGGAAAAGAGTTGCTCAAACCAACCATTATTAGGAGCAGGTTATTTAATGGAGAGGATGGGGACAAAGGTCAAGAAAACTTTGTTTTTCTTCCCCTATGTTGAGGGTCTTTTTACTGTATGAGGAATCAGAATTTCTGGATTGACATCTGTCTGAAAGACATGGCCATTTCCAAAACTTGCCTTTTGATTTATTTATTGGCATGATTAATCTAGAACTAATCACCTAACTTCTGTGAGCCTCAGTTTTGGCACCTTCCTTGCTAAAGCAGTCAGCACTTGAATTGGTCCTTGAAAGAGTCAAATACCTAAAATGTAGCAGGGCTGAACTTGAGATCCAAAGCCTGCATTCTTTCCATTGTATCACAGTACCTAAATAGCAGCCTCTCTTTAGTTTCTCACTTTCACTTTAGCGTAGAGTAAGATTGAAGACCTCTTTCCTAAGAAATGTCCAAACAAGGGCAATAGATTTCTGAGTTTGCTACTCTCCAACATTATATGTGGTTGTTCAGCCAAACCTGCTGTGGAAAAGATTATGAGAAAGAAAGGCCATGTTAGGAAACTGATGTCTAGAGTCCCAGATTGAAATAGTCTTAGCTCAAGTTGACTTTATAAAACTTAGTCTGGCAAGTAACAAAACTGCTTCACTGACAGAGAGAAAGATGCATCATCTTGCCAGGAACAGTTGGATGAATTCCGGAAGCTGGTCAGGACCTTCCAGAAATGGCTGAAAGAAGCTGAAGGGAGTATTCCACCTACAGAGACTTCCATGAGTGCTAAGGAGTTAAAAAAGCAGATTGAACACCTGAAGGTAGGTGAACGAAGGGACTCCAAGAATTGGGCTAGACACTGGTTTGAATACCTGTATTAACTGGTCTCCAGCTGTAGTGGGGTAAATGTATGAGAAATCCAAGTTGTCAGTCTGTATCAGAACAGAAATTCCTCCATTTTCTTCACGTGATAGCAGTCTACCCATACTGTCCTTAAGAAGCTTACACTCTCTTTGTATGTTTGAGAATGAGATAAATATATTTAAGTAAGTAACCAGATAATATGTTCAGGAAATAGAGGATAGAAGAACTAGTACTACTTCAGCTAATGAAGGAAAAGCTAGAATCAGAAAGGTACCTTCAAGGATAGGACCAACCTTCCTCTTATTCCCTGCAGAATCCCTTCTGTACCATCTTTGCTCCATAATCATCCAGTCTCTGCTTACACCTTTAATCTATATCTTCTTTTTGTTGAAATAAGCCAAATATGCTTCTAACTAGCTATCATGCACTTATTTTTATTTTCTTAGTAAAGCACACTTTATCTTGAGCAGATGAAAGAGAAGAGTTTGATTGCTTTCACAGAGCAAGTGCCAGGAGCATTTACTGTTGGGAATTCCCTAGGACAGAGCTTTCCCAACATGTTTGTTTCACAGTACCCATAGTGTTTTAAGAAATTTGTCATGGCACCTCAAGTCCAAAAAAAAAAAAACCAAACCAAAAACCATCCCTAATACTTCCACTTGCTAAGACATTAGGTCCAAACAACTTAGTAGTTGTTCATGTGGTGTCCAACAGATGTCACTGTGTTTTCCTCAGAAATGTAAAATACTCTGTGAGTCAAGCAACTGTTTGGGGACTGTGGCTCTTTGGAATCAAGAGTGATTAATTAAAGAACTGACAAGCACTGACCAAGGGTCAGTTTGAAGTTAGGCAGTATGAGCTTGCTACATGTTAAGGGCTTGTGCCTTTCTCTGCTGCTACTCTGCAGCTTAAAGTCAAAAGCAAACTAAGTAGACTGTCAGGGATATTCAGTATGAAGGAGGGCACTGAAGGTGCTAGAATGGTGTCCTTGTTCTAAAAGGAGTAAAATCGTACCGATATGGCGGGAAATCACATCTTGGGGACTTAGCATGATGTGGTACTTTTGTCTCAGAACAGATGCCATTGTTTCATAATGGATTTCTATGGTAGTTGGATCTTTGATTTCAAACACTCATGAAGTTTCCTTAATAAATGCAAAATATAGCCTATGATTCTATATATTTTTCTGTATCTCAGTATTTTGGCTCCTCATTTATCCTTCTTTTTTAATCTTTATATGCATGTTGTTCCCTCTTGTCCATCTGGCAAACTCGTACCTTTCTTTTTTTTCTTTTTTTGTTTTTTTTTTTTTTTGAGACAGAGTCTCGCTCTGTCTCCCAGGCTGGAGTGCAGCAGCATGATCTTGGCTCACCGTAACCTCCGCGCCCCCCAGGTTCAAGCAGTTCCCTGTGTCAGCCTTCTGAGTAGCTGGGATTACAGGCACGTGCCACCGGTGATGCCCAGCTATTTTAGTAGAGATGGGGTTTCACCACCTTGGCCAGGCTGGCCTTGAACTCCTGACCTTGTGATCCACCCGCCTCAGCCTCCCAAAGTGCTGGGATTACAGGTGTGCACCACCGTGACCAGCTTTTTTTTTTTTTTTTTTTTTTTTTATTAGATGGAGTCTCACTCTATTCCCCAGCCTGGAGTGCAGTGGCGCAATCTCAGCTTACTGCAACCTCTGCCTCCCAGGTTCTAGCAACTTTCCCACCTCAGCCTCCTGAGTTACTGGGATTACAGGTGCCTGCCACCATGCCCAGCTAATATTTTTTTTTTTTTTTTTTTTTTTTTTTTTTAATAGAGACAGGGTTTCCCCATGCTGGCCAGTCTGGTCTCATACTCCTGACCTCAAGTGATCTACTCACCTCAGCCTCCCAAAGTGCTGGGATTACAGGCGTGAGCCACCGTGCCTGGCCATTATCTTAACTCAAAGCTTTCCTTCCTCTAGGCAGAATTAGCTAGAACTCCTCTTGTGCTCTTGGAATTCACAGACTGTCCATAATACTGTAATAGCATTTATAATGCAATTGGTAATCTGAGCTCCTGGTTTTAGGAATTGTGTCATAATTCTATTTTATATCCCCAGCATTTGGCATGGTGCCTGGCCTATAGTAAATATTCATTAGCTATTTGGTAAATGAATAAATAAATCAGAAGGATGGTCTCTTAATGCTTGTCAAGGAAGTATATGTAGAACAGGTGTCCCTATTTATGAGAAAAAAGGCCCCAGATATTACATTCAGCCATTTTCTTCTTTAAACAGAGTCTACTAGATGACTGGGCAAGTAAGGGAACTCTGGTGGAAGAAATCAATTGCAAAGGTACTTCTTTAGAAAATCTCATCATGGAAATCACAGCACCTGATTCCCAAGGCAAGACAGGTGAGTACAGGCTTTTCAAAGTATAGTGAACAAAAATTGCTCTTTGCATTTGGCCTTTGGAGAAGTCTCTTTATATAATTAAAGTGAAAATCAAGGTTGAGTATGAAAACAAAGGGCATCCCTAAAGCAGTCTTCCCCCACAACCTGACCTGTCACCCCTTTTGCTATATAACATTGCCCCGTTTTGCAAAATTCCTTCCCATGATGGGAAAAGATAATGAACTGGTTGGCCCATTTAAAACTATCAAATGAACATAGTATAATTAAAATAGGATTTTCATCTTGAAAATTTTGCTTTTTTGAACATGCAAAGGGGATGAGTATGCGTCATCTTTAGACTTGGGCACTGGCTGAGTGCAGGGGCTCCTGTAATTCCAGCACTTTGGGAGGCCAAAGCGGGTGGATCACAAGGTCAGGAGATCGAGACTAGCCTGCCCAACATGGTGAAACCCCATCTCTACTAAAAACACAAAAATTAGCAAGACGTGGTGGTGTGCACCTATAGTCCCAGCTACTTGGGAGGCCGAGGCGGGAGAATAGCTTGAACCCAGTACGTGGAGGTTTCAGTGAGCCAAGACCGTGCCTGCACTCCAGCCTGGGTGACAGAGCGAGACTCCATCTAAAAAAAAAAAAAAAAGACATTTGGACAGGCCTGGATGGGTATGAAGGGATATCCAGGAAGAAACAAGGTATTTAGAAGTCAGTATTGAACCAGGTGCGGTGGCTCACACCTGTAATCCCAGCACTTTGGGAAGCTTAGGTGGGCTGATCACTTGAGGTCGGAAGTTTGAGACCAGCCTGGTCAACATGGTGAAACCTTGTCTCTTCTAAAAATATAAAAATTAGCCAGTCCTGGTGGCTCACACCTGTAATTCTGGCTATTTGGGAGGCTGAGGCAGGAGAATCCCTTGAACCTGGGAGGCAGAGGTTGCAGTGAGCCGAGATCGCGTCAGTGCATTCCAGCCTGGGCAACAGAGCTTCTCATCTGGGGGAAAAAAAAAAAAAAAATAGAAGTTAGTATCAGTTCACCAGAGAACTGTCACACTTCTTCAGAGGGGATACGAAGATTGTGCCCAGGTGTATATTTAATCTTTGACTGGAAATTAAGTCTTTCTTTTTTTTTTGAGACGGAGTTTCGCTCTTATTACCCAGGCTGGAGTGCAATGGCACAATCTCGGCTCACCACAACCTCCGCCTCCTGGGTTCAGGCAATTCTCCTGCCTCAGCCTCCTGAGTAGCTGGGATTACAGGCATGTGCCACCATGCGCAGCTAAATTTTTTGTAGAGGCGGGGTTTCACCATGTTGACCAGGATGGTCTCGATCTCTTGACCTCGTGATCCACCCACCTTGGCCTCCCAAAGTGCTGGGATTACAGACTTGAGCCACCGCGCCCGGCCAAAATTAAGTCTTTCAAGCAAAATCTAATATGAAGGCCGAGTACAGTGACTCACGCCTGTAATCCCAGCTTTTTAGGAAGCCAGGGTGGGTGGATTATTGGAGGCCAGGAGTTTGAGACTAGCCTGGCCAACAGGGTGAAACCCTGTCTCTACTAAAAATACAAAAATTAGCCAGGCATGGTGGCACATGTGCCTGTAGTCCTAGCTCCTTGGGAGGCTAAGGCAAGAGAATTGCTTGAACCCATGAGGCTGAGGTGGGAGAATTACTTGAATCCAGTAGGCGGAGGTTGCATTGAGCAAAGATTGTGCCACTGCTCTCCAGCCTGTGCAACAGAGCAAGACTCAGTCTCAAAAAAAAAAAAAATCTCATATGAGTTCCCAGTCACTTGCTGATTGTTAATTGAGATCTCTCACTTAAAAAGTAAAGGAAAAATTTATTTTCTTTCTGAAAATGTGTACTTTTCTATAGTATTCTAAAGTTAAAAGATATTTTGGAACTATCCATGAGTGATAACATTTCAGGGAATTAGTGATACATTAACCTCTACATTCAGTGACTAATTTCTATGTAACTAGATCAGAGTCAGCAAACTGCAAACTTTTTCTATAAAGGGCCAGATAGTAAGTATTTTAGGCTTGCAGGCTATATGGTCTCTGTCACAGTCTACATCTGCCATTGTGGTACAAAAACAGCCAAAGACAATTCATTAATAGAAATGAGTGGTTGTGCCTATATTACAATAAAACTTTATTGAAACAGATGAAGGGCCAGATTTGGCTGATGATCTATAGTTTACTGACTCCTAGACTAGATCATTTTTTAAAAAAATATAAATCGCATGTAGAACCCTGCTATATAAAACAAATATTTTGTTGGCATAAATTTCCCTTATATGTTGTTTTATAGCATTTATCTGTTCTGAAATCCACCAGTAAGAATATTGAGACTATATTAATGAATATAAAAATTTGAAAAGGAAGATTATTGGATGACAGCTTCATTATCCAATTTATTCCTAAATTTTGTTTGGTTTGTGTCCAGAAAATATGGTTCACACAGATTAAGAAATGATGACAAATGTTTTTAAAAGTTTACTTTATAATCTCAGAACATGTTTTGATTAAATTGAGCTAGAAACCTGAAATGATGTAGTAAGAAATTCTTTTTTCTTTTCTTTCCTTTTTTTTTTTTTTAGACAGAATCTCACCTTGTCACCCAGGTTGGAATGCAGTGGCGCAATCTTGGCTCACTGTAACCTCCACCTCCCGTGTTCAAGCGATTCTCCTGCCTCAGCCTCCCAAGTGGCTGGGACTACAGACATGTGTCACCATGCCCAGCTAATTTTTTTGTATTTTTAGTAGAGATGAGGTTTCACCATGTTGGCCAGGCTGGTCTTGAACTCCTGACCTCAGGTGATCCACCTGCCTCAGCCTCCCAAAGTGCTGGGATTACAGGTGTGAGCCACCGCACCCAGCCAAGAAATTCTTGTTTCAAAGTTAAATCACTAAGAATATTTGATAAGGGCTCCTACACATAGAAAACACTTAAAATTGGCATTGAGTACAAAAGCCTTGCATAAACTGATATCATGACCCAAAGTGTTAAAAATTCTATTATTACACAGTTCTGCCCCAATGAGAACTGTGTAGATGTACAGAGAGCAAGTCATGTTAGTTTTTTGGTCATGTTATTTAATGTATTACACATGTGCTATAGATGTTTTTCTTTTTTTTTTTTTTTTTTTTTTTTTTTTTTGAGGCGGAGTTTCGCTCTTGTTACCCAGGCTGGAGTGCAATGGCGCGATCTCGGCTCACCGCAACCTCCGCCTCCTGGGTTCAGGCAATTCTCCTGCCTCAGCCTCCTGAGTAGCTGGGATTACAGGCACGTGCCACCATGCCCAGCTAATTTTTTGTATTTTTAGTAGAGACGGGGTTTCACCATGTTGACCAGGATGGTCTCGATCTCTCGACCTCGTGATCCACCCGCCTCGGCCTCCCAAAGTGCTGGGATTACAGGCTTGAGCCACCGCGCCCGGCTTAGATGTTTTTCTTTGTAGAGTATACATGAGTAGACATGGACAGGTTTGAATATTAAATTGCTGGTGAAGAGTCACCACCTTTCCAATCAGGGACACTCAAAAATAAGTTAAAATAGATGCTTAGATGTGTCAGGAGGTACTTTATTTTCCCTGGAAAAGTGGCATAATTGTATCTGGTGGGTTAAGTTGTAGGATTCAGCATAATTGAACATGCATGTTTTATGATCATTTCTAAGTAATTAGAAATTTATGTGAATATTACATTTAAACCAAACGTTAAACACAATCTCTAAAACACCTTTTTAGGGTGCTTTGAAAATCAGTTTGAAAATTACTATCCTGAGTGCTCTCAAAGTTCTCCTCCAAAAAACCATGTATAAAAAAAGTTCTCCTCTGAAAAAACCATGTATATTTCAGTTCCTTACATTTTTGTAGCTCTGCTTCATAAAGTACTTTGACATACATTGCCTCATGATCTCTCCCCAGTTACCCCATGAGAGTTAACAGGATAGGTTATATTATCTTTAAATCCTGTAGAAGAAACTGTGTTCGTAGATTAAGGCTCACATACTGAGTTAGTGACAACCTTGGTTAATACCTTCCTCTCCTATAGTCCAGTTTCTTTTTTTCCATCACCATACTGTAAGACAATGTGATTTTTCTAGTTGGTATTTTTTTATTGAAAATATAGCAACAGCCGGGCGCGGTGGCTCAAGCCTGTAATCCCAGCACTTTGGGAGGCCGAGGCGGGTGGATCACGAGGTCAAGAGATCGAGACCATCCTGGTCAACATGGTGAAACCCCGTCTCTACTAAAAAATACAAAAAAAAATTAGCTGGGCATGGTGGCACATGCCTGTAATCCCAGCTACTCAGGAGGCTGAGGCAGGAGAATTGCCTGAACCCAGGAGGCGGAGGTTGCGGTGAGCCGAGATCGCGCCATTGCACTCCAGCCTGGGTAACAAGAGCGAAACTCTGTCTCAAAAAAAAAAAAAAAAAAAAAAGAAAATATAGCAACATTAACATTTTAAAGTTTTCTCATTCACCATCCTAAGTCAGCTTTTTTTTTTTCCTTCTTTTTAGAGACAGGGTCTCACTCTGTCACCCAGGCTGGTGTACAGTGGTGTGATTATGGCTCACTATGGCTTTGACCTCCTGGGCCCATGCAGCTGTCCCACCTCAAGCTTCTGAGTAGCTAGGACCACAGATGTGCATTGTCATGCCTAATTTTTTTTTTTTTTTTAAGCTTTTTTTTTTGTAGAGACAGGGTCTCACTGCATTGCTTAGGCTAGTCTTAAACTTACAACCTCCCAAAGTGCTGGGATTATAGGCATGAGCCACCAAACCTGGCCCACAACTATTTTGTTTTTGTTTTGAGACGGAGTTTTGCTCTGTCACCCAGGCTGAAGTGCAGTGGCGTGATCTCGGCTCACTGCAACCTCTGCCTCCCAGTTTCAAGCGATTCTCCTGCCTCAGCCTCCCCAGTAGCTGGGACTACAGGTGCCTGTCACCACATCCAGCTAATTTTTTGTATTTTAATAGAGATGGGGTTTCACTGTGTTGCCCAGGCTGGCTTCAAACTCCTGAGCTCACCAATCTACCCACTTCAGTTCCCAAAGTGCTAAGATTACAGGCGTGAGCCACCGTGCCCAGCCAACTATTTTGTAATATAACTTTGCACATGATTTTTTTATACATTGAAATCAGTGCATACAAAAATTTTCTGTCCTTTTAAAGTGTCATTTTATTATGAATATTTTTCAGATTTCTATATAATATTTATCATTATAGCACCTGGTTTTTGCCTATCTTAGGAAATTTCTCTGAAATATAAGGAGTCAGCTTGGGGAGAATGTATGTGAAATTCTGGTAATTAGAAACAGAACCAAAGGCCCAAAGCACAATTTATGGAAATGTTGTTGAGCCATATATATATTGGCACTTAGGATTTCTGTTTTTTCTTGGGAAAAAGGGAGCAAGAAGAGGTTATGAAAGAAAAGGTAAAGAATCTTCATTTAGAAACAATATAAGAAGGGCTCATTTTAATGTCTTTATTAAAAGAAGGCTGCTTTTTAGGCCAGGCACAGTGACTCATGCCTGTAATCCTAGTGCTATGAGAGGCTGAGGAAGCCAGGTCACCTGAGGTTGGGAGTTCAAGACCGGCACAGCCAACGTGGTGAAACCCTGTCTCTACTAAAAATACATAAATTAGCTGGGCCTAGTGGCAGCTACTTGGGAGGCCGAGATGGGAGAATTGGCTTGAACCTGGGAGGTGGAAGTTGCAGTGAGCCAAGATCATGCCACTGCACTCCAGCCTGGGTAACAGAGTGATACGCTGTCTCAAAAAAAAAAGAAGCCTGCTTTTTATGTCCTTAATGGTACTTATTTACATTTTTATTGTATTAAAAGACATTGATATAAAAGGTGAAACTTTTTGACTTTATTATAAAAGCTCATTCCAAAATATGACAGGTACCATTCTAGACTTAATAATTTTACCAGTACTTGCTTCACAACACTAGGGCAGTGTCCAAAGAATTCAAGCTGGAGATTAATAAAAAGACAATATGAATTAAGAATCATTCCTGCTATATGCCAATTAGGTATTCTGGGGAAATTTTTTAAAAAAAGAATCATTCCTGCTAAGAAACCTGAGTGACACTTTGTTGCCTGGCTGCTAAAATAATTTGTCTCTTTCCATGAGTATGTTGTCTTGTTCTGTGTTAACTTCCTGATACTCAAGCTTAAAGTGAGGGCCAATGGACAAATTCAGTGCCTGTATGTATTCCTAACACGTTGGTCTTGCCCTGTTTGTCTCCCTGTCCTTCTGCTCAGGTTCCATACTGCCCTCTGTAGGAAGCTCTGTAGGCAGTGTAAACGGATACCACACCTGCAAAGGTGAGAATGCCATTTCAACAGTGCTGCTTTGTTGGATGTGTTAGGACAGTGTCAATGTTTACATTTGTGTATGTTGCAATGTGTGTGGAAGAACTGCTGCCAGAATGGGTGTAAGGATAAAAATCTGGGGAGAAGCATGGTTTGCTGGCTATAGACCAGGCGTCCCCAAACTACTGCCCTCGGGCTGCATGCGGCCATTTATCCACCCCCTCCCCCACCGCCGCACTTCAGAAAGGGGCACCTCTTTCATTGGTGGTCAGTGAGAGGAGCACAGTATGTGGCGGCCCTCCAACAGTCTGAGGGACAGTGAACTGGCCCCCTGTGTAAAAAGTTTGGGGACGCCTGCTATAGACCATAAACAGGTTGGTAGCCCCTGAAGTTAAAAGTGTTGCGGAAATAGACTGGATCACTAGATAAGGCAAATAAGGAAGAAACTCGACAAAAAAAAAAGGTTAGTCTTTGAATTATAAAGAAGTTATGCTAGAGATAATCTAGTCTAGCTCTCAGCCTCCCAGCTGGCTGAATTCTCTAGTTTGGAGAAGAAGGAATGGAAGAAGGCTCCAAGTCCATTAATTCCAGTAGTACACTAAGTTTAATTTCTTTCTTTGCTCCCCTCATTTTTTTTATTCTCATGTTTAGCATTTTAAGGTCTACATCTGAGTATATAATGCCAAAAGCAGATTAATGAGAACCTTTTGTTTTGTGTATATAAACAGGAATTTCCATATGATTTAGCAGGAAGATAATCTCTAGTCCACTAGAAGGAGTAAGAGAGATGCTTAATCCTTTCAAGTAATTTAGGTGCAAGGAGCCAAGGAAAATACTTGAAGAGCTATTCCCAATCTGATTTCTGTTTCTGTGATACTAGATCTGACGGAGATCCAGTGTGACATGTCAGATGTAAACTTGAAGTATGAGAAACTGGGGGGAGTACTTCATGAACGCCAGGAAAGCCTTCAGGCTGTTCTCAACAAAATGGAGGAGGTTCAGAAGGAGGCAAACTCAGTGCTGCAGTGGCTGGAATCAAAAGAGGAAGTCCTGAAATCCATGGATGCCATGTCATCTCCAACCAAGACAGAAACAGTGAAAGCCCAAGCTGAATCTAATAAGGTACTGTGTTTACATTAGTTGCATCCCAACACCAAGAGGAAGAAACAGCTATACCAGTGTTCCTGCCCCAAGCCCAAGCACCTGAGAGAGAGACATGGGCAACAGTCCAGGCTGTGATGGGCAGTATGTTTGACTTCTAAATGATTAATACGCCTTAACTCTCCTAGAGAATTTTCTTACTTATGAAATTAGAAGTTGTTATAGGTTGGATTCAGAAACAAAAGCAGATATGTTTGCAGAAAAAGAATAGCCCTCCACAGAATTACTAGCTCATTGAAAATGGGATCTCATTTTCTACATGATCCTGTAAGCAAGACAAACCATACTTATCAAAGTGCCATTCCAGTTCTTGGAGGAATCTAAGTAACAGTGATTATAGTTCATTCTTTTTTTATTTTTTATTTTTTTTATTTTTATTTTTATTTTTTCTGAGACAGAGTTTCACTCTTGTTACCCAGGCTGGAGTGCAATGGCGCGATCTCAGCTCACTGCAACCTCCGCCTCCTGGGTTCAGGCAATTCTCCTGCCTCAACTTCCTGAGTAGCTGGGATTACAGGCACGCACCACCATGCCCAGCTAATGTTTCGTATTTTTAGTAAAGATGAGGTTTCACCATGTTGACCAGGATGGTCTCGATCTCTTGACCTTGTGATCCACCCGCCTCGGCCTCCCAAAGTGCTGGGATTACAGGCTTGAGCCACCGCGCCCGGCTTGCATTTCATTCTTAAGATTGACATGTGAGACTAGGAAAAATGTCAGAAGGTACAAGACCATAGAAAATCCTGTAGGAAATTTTCACCAAAACTTGTAATATTCCCATTGATCATAGCGTCTCATCTCCTTCAACTACAAAAATATTGTTTTCATCATAACTTGGTATTTTTAGTTTATTGGGATTAATAATTCCTTCTTACTGAGTTCTACTGATATGTTATACATAAAAGAAACTCAGATCCTGCCATTTAGATTTTCATTGTAAAACAAAAATTGAAGTAGAAAGGTTAAGTATCTTAACATCACTAAACAGGTCATTGATAGGATTCTAGTAGAGCCTGCAGTTTTCCAGTCATTTCTACCATACACACAGCTTTGTTTCCTGTCCAAAACCTCATGGCATGCATGGTATTCTTTTTCGTAGGTCTTCCTGGCTGAATTGGAACAGAATTCTCCCAAAATTCAAAAAGTAAAAGAAGCCCTGGCTGGATTACTGGTCACATATCCCAACTCACAGGAAGCAGAAAATTGGAAGAAAATTCAAGAAGAACTCAGTAAGTTTTCAGAGGAGTGTTACAAATTTGCTAAGTTACTTGTCTTCAAAGCAAGTAGAGAATTTCAGCACATCCTATAAAACAGGAATTATTTTTAGCTAATTTTTATAAATAAGCAATTAGGGCCCAGATAGGGCCAGAGCATGAGCCTGAATTGGGAAAAAAATTAGAGATTCCACTCAAAGAGTCAGATATTTGGCTTTCTTGGGCAAGTCAAATTGATAATCTATTGTGATCAAGAACCAGAGAGGCCAGACACAGTGACTCACACCTGTAATCTCAGCATTTTGGGAATCTGAGACAGGAGGATTGCTTGAAGCTAGGTGTTCAAACCAGCCTGGGCAGCATAGCAAGATCTTGTCTCTACAAAAAGTAAGGAAAAACAAATTAGCCAGGTGTGGTGGCATGAGCCTAGAGTCCTAGTTGCTGGGGAGGCTGAGGTGAGACGATTGCTTGAACTCAGGAGTTCAAGGCTGCAGTGAGCCTGATTATGCCACTGAACTCCAACCTGGGCAACAGAGGGGGACCCTTTCTCAAAAAAACTTAACAAAAGAACTAAAGAGAGTATTGATGATAAAAATGAAAGCTGGAAATAATAAAAATATTCAATAAATCGATTTAGATAAATTGTGTGCTCATAATATTGAACTGTAAACAATGTAGATGAATTTTTTTGTTTTTTTATTTTACTTTATTTTTTATTTTTTTGAGATGGCGTTTCACTCTTGTTGCCTAGGCTGGAGTGCAATGGTGCAATCTTGGCTCCCCACAACCTCCACCTCCTGGGTTCAAGCAATTCTCCTGCCTCACCCTCCTGAGTAGCTGGGATTATAAGCATGCGCCACCATGCCTGGCTAATTTTGTGTTTTTAGTAGAGACAGTGTTTCTCTATGTTGGTCAGGTTGCAAACTCCTAACCTCAGATGATCCACCTGCCTCGGCCTCTTAAAGTGGTGGGATGATAGGCATGAGCCACCATTCCTGGCATTTTTTTTTTTTTTTTTTTTTTTTTGAGGCAGGGTCTTGCTCTGTCACCCAGGCTGGAGTCCAGTGGTGTGATCATGGCTCACTACAGCCTTAACTTCCATGGCTCAAGTAGTCTTCCTGCTTCAGCCTCTTGTGTGGCTGGGACCACAGGCATATGCTACCACAACCAGCCAATTTCAAAAATTTTTTTGTAGAGATAAGGTCTTGCTTTGTTGTCTAAGCTGGCCTTGAACTCTTGGGCTCAAGTGATCTTCCCACTTGAGGAGTTCAAGACCAGCCTGGGCAACATAGGGAGATCCTGTCTCTACAAAAAATAAAAAACTAACTGTGCATGGTGGCACACACCTATAGTCCCAGCCACTTGGGAGGCTGAGGTGGGAGGATCACCACTTGGGCCCAGGAGGTTGAGGCTTTGGTGAGCCATAATTGCGCCACTGCTCTATCTTGGGTGATAGAGTGAGATACTGTCTCAAGTAAGTAAGTAAGTAAATAAATAAAGCTTCTGGAGTCATTTCCTGCAGTATATTAACAACATAACTTAGGGACCAGGCCAGTTATTGAAAAGAGTAAAGGAATACATTGCCTCATTTCCTCTCCACAGATTACCGATGGGAAAGGGCCACTGAGGTGACTGTGGCTCGGCAAAGGCAGCTAGAGCAATCTGCAAGTCATCTGGCCTGCTTCCAGGCTGCAGAATCCCAGCTCCGGCCATGGCTGATGGAGAAAGAACTAATGATGGGAGTACTGGGACCCCTGTCTATTGACCCCAACATGTTGAATGCACAAAAGCAACAGGTCCAGGTAAGCAATATAGCAACAAAGAAATTGGAATCACATGAAACTGAGTTCAGAAGTTGCTCCCAGTAAGTAGATTTCATATGATCCTGGACAAGTCATTTAATCTCTTAAAAGCCTCAGTTTAAATGAGATATTTATAAGGTGTTTATCATGATGTCTGTAGAATAGTAAACAGTCAAAAACTCTATTATTATTATTATTAACAGAGACAGTAAGATGAGTAGATGAGAGAATGGAGAACTTTTCTGACTAAATTATGGAATTATATTTTGCTTGTAATCCCCAGTGATAGTGATCCACATTACTTAATATCTTATATCTGCTGGATTGACATAGGATTTTCTGTGGTCAAACCTCAAAAAAAAAGATTGATTTAAGTGCCTATGAACATCATAGAAATTTAGGTTGGTCAGGCTGGGGGCAGTGGCTCATGCCTGTAATCCCAGCACTTTGGGAGGCCGAGGCGGGTGGATCACAAGGTTAGGGAGATGGAGACCATCCTGGCTAACACAGTGAAACCCTGACTCTACTAAAAATACAAAATTTAGCCAGGCGTGGTGGCATATACCTGTAGTCCCAGCTACTTGGGAGGTTGAGGCAGGAGAATTGCATAACCTGGAAGCTGGAGGTTGTAGTGAGCCGAGATTGTGCCACGGCACTCCACCCTGGGTAACGAGAGTGAGACACAGTCACAAAAAAAGAAAGAAAGAAAGAGTACTTTTTGAAAGAACTGTTTCTTTCAGCTCCTGCATCCAGATAAATTTAGAGTCCTATTTAGTCTACTTGTAAATTTTTCTAATCCGATGGTTTTCAAACTTTTTGGTTTCAAACCCCTTTTATACTCTAAAAAATTACTGAACATATCCAGGAGCTTGTGTTTATCTATTAACATCTATTGTATTAAAATGATGAGGAATTTTTTTTTTTTTTTTTTGAGATGGAGTTTCGCTCTTGTTACCCAGGCTGGAGTGCAATGGCGCGATCTCGGCTCACCGCAACCTCCGCCTCCTGGGTTCAGGCAATTCTCCTGCCTCAGCCTCCTGAGTAGCTGGGATTACAGGCACGTGCAACCATGCCCAGCTAATTTTTTATATTTTTAGTAGAGATGGGGTTTCACCATGTTGACCAAGATGGTCTCGATCTCTTGACCTCGTGATCCACCCGCCTCGGCCTCCCAAAGTGCTGGGATTACAGGCTTGAGCCACCGTGCCCGGCATGATGAGGAATTTTTAAAGTATTTAGCTTTTTAAAATAGCAATGATAAAACCATCACATTAACCTAAGAAACATATTTTACTAAAAAATAACATTTTCCATCTTTGCAAATCTTAATTTTTGGCTTAATAGGCTATTCTTATATCTGCTTCTGCATATCTGTTGCAATATCAAACACCATGTAGCCTCTGGAAACATCACTGAACATTTGTGACAGAACAGAAATTCTTAAAGACAAATAACATCTTAGTGTTATTATGAAAATCGTTTTGATCTCTGTACCTCCACTCATCCTAGGCCCTCCCCTGAAGTGCTCTTCACCAGCCTTAATCCCTGCTCTGCTTGGAGGACTACTCGTTCTTTATTGTCACATCTGAGGAGCCTTTCCTGATTTCTGTCTTCTGCCATTTGTCATCGCCAACAGAATTAATCACCCTACTCCATGCTTTCACAGTTCTGTGTTGCATGTTCACATCAGTGTTTAATCATTTTTACTTTTGTTATATTTTATTATAGTTCATTGTGTACACATTTGTCATTTCATGAGGCTATATCTTATGCATTTTTGTGCAGTGCAAATACTGAGTACTTTCTATGAATTACCTCATTTAATCCTTGTAACAACCAAAATAAGTACTTTACTATCCTCATTTTACAGATGAGGAAGCTGGGGTTTGAGAACTTATTAAATCTTGCCTAAGGTCATACAGCTAGGAGGTGATAGAATCAGGATTTGAACACAGGGGAGTCCAACTCCAGATCCTGTAATCTTAACTTTTTTGATGAGAGCAGCAAGGGAAAGAAGAGAAATAAAAAGGCATAGTCCTTGCTTTAAAGAAGCTCTTTGTCTAATTATGCTATATTATAATATGGCGATTGTATATGCTCTTCAGATTCTAAGAAAGAAACTAAGAAAAACAGACATTGAGAGCTGACATGACAAGCCCAGCTAGTAATACAGCTGGCTCTGGGATCCAGTGTTCTAAACTCCCAATTCAGAGGCTTGAGTATTGCCTGGCAAAGCTGATGAATGCCAGCGTTAATTTCTCAGCCATGTCTGACCTTACTAACTGACATTGAAACAGAATGGGACAAATAAGGAAAAGAAATAAAATAGGATCGGGCCGGGCGCGGTGGCTCAAGCCTGTAATCCCAGCACTTTGGGAGGCCGAGGCGGGTGGATCACGAGGTCGAGAGATCGAGACCATCCCGGTCAACATGGTGAAACCCCGTCTCTACTAAAAATACAAAAAAATTAGCTGGGCATGGTGGCGCGTGCTTGTAATCCCAGCTACTCTGGAGGCTGAGACAGGAGAATTGCCTGAACCCAGGAGGCGGAGGTTGCGGTGAGCCGAGATCGCGCCATTGCACTCCAGCCTGGGTAACAAGAGCGAAACTCCGTCTCAAAAAAAAAAAAGAAATAAAATAGGGTCAGTGATCTTTTTAAAATAAGTTTTTATTAAACAATTGTTAAGTGATACTGCCTCAGCCTAATAGCTCGATCCTTTAGTTTTCTGGTTTTTTTTTTTAAGTAGTTGACACTGTTTGGCACAATCCAACATCAGTTTTTGGTTTGACACTGCTTTTTTGGAGACAGGGTCTCTTTCTGTTGCCCAGGCTTGAATGTAGTGGTGCTATCTCAGCTCACTACAACCTTAGCCTCCTGGGTTCAGGCGATTCTTATGCATCAGCCTCCTGAATAGCTGGGACTACAGGTGCTCGCCACCACGCCCGGTTAATTTTTGTTATTTTTAGTAGAGATGGGGTTTTGTCACGTTGGCCAGGTTAGTCAAACTCCTGACCTCAAGTGATCCTTCTGCCTCAGCATCCCAAAGTGCTGGGATTACAGGCACAAGCTACTGCGCCTGGCCTGACACTGCTTTTAGATTTGTTTTTTCCTCTCTAAACATCTTGGTGTCATTTCTATTTCAGTTTATGCTGAAGGAGTTTGAAGCACGCAGGCAACAGCATGAGCAACTGAATGAAGCAGCTCAGGGCATCCTCACAGGCCCTGGAGATGTCTCTCTATCCACCAGCCAAGTACAGAAAGAACTCCAGAGCATCAATCAGAAATGGGTTGAGCTGACTGACAAACTCAACTCTCGTTCCAGCCAAATTGACCAAGCTATTGTTAAGAGCACCCAGTACCAGGAACTGTTGCAAGACTTATCAGAGAAAGTAAAGGCAGTTGGACAACGGCTGAGTGGCCAGTCAGCTATCAGCACCCAACCCGAGGCCGTAAAGCAGCAATTGGAGGAGACCAGTGAAATTCGATCTGACTTGGAGCAGTTAGACCAGGAGGTTAAGGAGGCTCAGACATTGTGTGATGAACTCTCAGTACTCATTGGTGAGCAGTACCTCAAGGATGAACTGAAGAAGCGTTTGGAGACAGTTGCCCTGCCTCTCCAAGGTTTAGAAGACCTTGCAGGTAAGTTGGGATGAAGAGCACACTTCTGCCGTAATAGAGGCAAGCAGAAAGAAGGAGTGGGTTAGGAAGTAGTCCTGAGAATCTAGGATTTCCTTACATTGTTTTTGGACTGCTTTTGGTGTAACTCAGAATGATGTTAAACCAATTCCTTCTCCTAGCTCCAAAGAGAACTGCTGTGGTTATTACACAATGAACACTCACAAAATGTGAAGGTAAACATAGCATAGTCCTAGAGATAAAAGCTCTAATATTAAATTTCAACTAGCAAGTAGAGATTCATTCCTGTAGATGTACTAATAAGTGGAGTTCCACATATACTCTCATTGATACCCACATATTTTTTGTTTTTATATTATGCACACCACACACACAGGGTCTCTCACTCTGTCACCCAGGCTGGAGTACAGTAGTTTGATCATGGCTCACTGCAGCCTCAGTCTCCTGGCCTCAAGTGATCCTCCCACCTCAGCCTCCCAAGAAGCTAGGACTATAGGTATGTGCCACCATGGCCGGCTGATTTTTTTTTTTTTTTTTTTTTTGAGATGGAGTCTCATTCTGTCACCGAGGCTGGAATGCAGTGGCACAATCTTGGCTCACTGCAACCTCCGCCTCCCAGGTTCAAGTGATCCTCCTGCCTCAGCCTCTCAAGTAGCTGGGACTACAAGTGCGTGCCACCGTGTCTGGCTAATTTTTGTATTTATAGTAGAGATGGGGTTTTACTGTGTTGGCCAGGCTGGTCTCGAACTTTTGATTGGCTGCCTCGGCCACCCAAAGTGCTGTGATTATAGGCATGAGCCACAGAACCCCGTCATTATTTTTATTTTTAGTAGAGATGAGGTTTTGCTTTCTTGCCCAAGCTATTCTTGAACTCCTGGGTTCAATTGATCCTCCCACTGCAGCCTCCCCAAGTGCTGGGGTTACATGCATGAGCCACCTTGTCCAGCCTCTTCTGGGCTTTTTTTTTTTTTTTTGAGATGGAGTCTCATTCTGTCACCAGGCTGGAATGCACTGGCACGATCTCAGCTTACTTCAACCTCCACCTCCTAGTTTCAAGCGATTCTCCTGCCTCAACCTCCTGAGTAGCTGGGACTACAGGCATGTGCTGCCACACCCAGCTAATTTTTGTATTTTTAGTAGAGGTGTTGGCCAGGATGGTCTCAATCTCTTGACCTCGTGATCAGCCCACCAGCCTCCCAAAGTGTTGGGATTACAGGCATGAGCCACCGCATCCAGCCTCTTCTGGCCTAGTTACAACTTTTTAAAAGAAAAAGTATGTGATTAACTTATTATTTATTTTTCCTGGAAATGTTTATGACTTTTACATTTACTAGCTAGAAGTCAAAGTTTACTTCTGTTGCTTAGATCCTCTTAGAAAGCTGATATGAGGATTAAACAAGATAGTGTAAACGAAGGATCCTAATTATGTGCCTCCTTTGGTAGGCCCTCAAGTAACATTACTTTCCTTCCCCTAAGATTAGACCATATACGCTCAGCAAACATTTTAAATGCCAGGGTTCAGGCTTGATTGATTTCAATTTTATTTTTCCCATTTCAGCCGATCGCATGAACAGACTCCAGGCAGCTCTTGCCAGCACCCAGCAGTTCCAACAAATGTTTGATGAGCTGAGGACCTGGTTGGATGATAAACAAAGCCAGCAAACAAAAAACTGCCCAATTTCTGCAAAATTGGAGCGGCTACAGTCTCAGCTACAGGAGAATGAAGAGTTTCAGAAAAGCCTTAATCAACACAGTGGCTCCTATGAGGTGATTGTTGCTGAAGGGGAATCTCTACTTCTTTCTGTGCCTCCTGGAGAAGAGAAAAGGACTCTACAAAACCAGTTGGTTGATCTCAAAAACCACTGGGAAGAGCTTAGTAAAAAAACTGCAGACAGACAATCCAGGCTCAAGGATTGTATGCAGAAAGCTCAGAAATATCAGTGGCATGTGGAAGACCTTGTGCCATGGATAGAAGATTGTAAAGCTAAGATGTCTGAGTTGCGAGTCACTCTGGATCCAGTGCAGCTAGAGTCCAGTCTCCTGAGATCAAAGGCTATGATGAGTGAGGTGGAGAAGCGCCGCTCCCTGCTGGAAATAGTAAATAGTGCTGCTGACATTCTGATCAATTCTTCAGAAGCAGATGAGGATGGAATCCGGGATGAGAAGGCTGGGATCAACCAGAACATGGATGCTATTACAGAAGAGCTGCAGGCCAGAACAGGGTCACTCGAAGAAATGACTCAGAGGCTCAAGGAGTTCCAGGAAAGCTTTAAGAATATTGAAAAGAAGGTTGAAGGAGCCAAACACCAACTTGAGATCTTTGATGCTCTGGGCTCCCAAGCCTGTAGCAACAAGAACCTGGAGAAACTAAGAGCTCAACAGGAAGTGCTGCAGGCTCTAGAGCCTCAGGTAGATTATCTGAGGAACTTTACTCAAGGGCTGGTAGAAGATGCCCCAGATGGATCTGATGCTTCCCAACTTCTCCATCAAGCTGAGGTCGCCCAGCAAGAGTTCCTCGAAGTTAAGCAAAGAGTGAACAGCAGTTGTGTGATGATGGAAAACAAGCTGGAGGGGATTGGCCAGTTTCACTGCCGGGTCCGAGAGATGTTTTCTCAATTGGCAGACCTGGATGATGAGCTAGATGGCATGGGTGCTATCGGCAGAGACACTGATAGCCTCCAGTCCCAAATCGAGGATGTGCAGGTATTCCTTAACAAAATTCAGGTCCTCAAATTAGACATAGAGGCCTCTGAAGTGGAGTGTCGACATATGCTAGAAGAAGAGGGGACTCTGGACTTGTTAGGTCTCAAAAGGGAGCTAGAAGCCCTGAACAAACAGTGTGGCAAACTGACAGAGAGGGGGAAAGCTCGTCAGGAACAGCTGGAACTGACACTAGGCCGTGTAGAGGACTTCTACAGGAAATTGAAAGGACTCAATGATGCGACCACAGCAGCAGAGGAGGCAGAGGCCCTCCAGTGGGTAGTGGGGACCGAAGTGGAAATCATCAACCAACAGTTAGCAGATTTTAAAGTAAGTCTTAACATCTTAACCTTGTTTTCTTTTTCTTTTACATGTATTTCTTTGCTTGAAATTTGGAAGCCAATCGAGTATACATTTTAACTTCTGTCTCTAGTTTTATTCTTGTCACTTCCATCATCATGAAAGCATACTGTCTGAAGACTAAATAGTCTCTTGGACTTCTGAGCAAACTGGTTTGAACATTTTTCTTTTTTTTTTTTTTTTTTTTTTTTTGGTGAGACAGGGTGTTACTCTGTCTCCCAGGCCAGAGTGCAGTGGTGGTGTATCTTGGCTCACTGCAGACTCAACCTCATAGGCTCAAGTGATTGTCCCACCTCAGCCTCCCAAGTAGCTGGGACCACAGGTGCCATCATGCCTGGCTAATATGTTGTAGAGACAAGGTTTTGCCATGTCACCCAGACTGGTCTCAAACTTCTGAGCTCCGGAAATCCATCCACCTTAGCCTCCTAAAGTGTTGGGATTATAGGCTTGAGCCATCATGCCCAGCTAAGGCATTTTTCTATTGTAGTTGATTTTAGTCCTTATAACCAATTAAGGATATAATCTTATCCAAGTCTTTTTTTTTTTTTTAAAGATTTAAATTATTATTATTTTTTTTTAATTGCATTTTAGGTTTCCAAGTCTTACATCTTACTCTAAGAATGTTTTCTTAGGATTTCTTGAGATTTCAAAATCAGATTTTATAATAGTAGTGAATATATCTTCAGGTCCCTGTTTTTCTTTTTTTTTTTTTTTTTTTTTTTTTTTGAGATAGAGTCTCTGTTGCCTGGGTTGGAGTGCAGTGGGGCAATCTGGGCTCACTGAAACCTCAGCCTCCCGGGTTCAAGTGATCCTCCTGCCTCAGCCTCCCAATAGCCAGAGTTACAGGCACATCACCACACCTGGCTAATTTTTGTATTTTTAGTAGAGATGGGATTTCACCACGTTGACCAGGCTGGTCTTGAACTCCTGACCTCAAGTGATCTACCCGCCTTGGCCTCCCAAAGTGCTGGGATTACAGGCATGAGTCACTGCACCCAGCCCCCTGTTTTTCAAATTGAGGTATGAAAAGCTGTAAATTAAACATAGTCTCATCTTCCTGAAGTGTTTATTTTACACAGATTTTAGGGGAAGTTATTGGTGTATATTTTTGATATATTATGGAATAAAACATAAAATTCTCATTAATTGTTAAGGTAAAACATGACACTTCAAATAAATCTCCCATGTATATAGTAAGCAGCTTAACAATACATCCCAGACTTCTCAAGAGTACAAGTTCTTTGCCTATAGGAGAGTTTGAAAAGTACTGCCTTAATTACAAAAATACTTTAATTCTTTGCCTGAGCCAAAATTTCCAGTCCTGAGATTGTGTGAGTATAAATCAAAATAACAGGAGATGATTACATGATCCAAAAGTGTGGATTTACTAGGTTAGGAGCACATCTGTTGGATCTTGGCTGTCACTATATCAACATTTTGCCCCTAGAGTTTTCTTTGTTGTAAATACCTAAAAGTCCCTCACTCTGCCACTGTACATGGAATAGATTTGGAAAGGATACTTCCAACACTTTGTTTCTATCACCAGAGTTAAATATTCTACTTACACAGTTAACACTCCTGCCTTTAAAGTAAAATTGTTATGTCAGAGCCCCTGCCTGTCAGCATTATTTATCTTAAAAACATGGATGGAGAGGTAGTGTTGACACCAGCTCAGAGCCACGTGGTCCTAGAGAGGTCACAGTTTTGTAGGCAGGATCCAAGTGCAAAAATGCGGCTGTTTCAGAAGGGCCTCTCTAGAAGCTTGGGGGATATTCAGCACTAAAGTGGGATATTGGCTGAAGGCCTTCTTACCTTGGAGATAGTACAATTTTGAGCAAGAGGAGTCATCGTATTTGGGTTTCTTGAGGCACCCAGGTAAGGAAAGGGTAAGTAGAGAAAACTTATGCCCATGAGGCAGTGCATTGCTCTTGGAAACTCTCTTTCTAGTGGAAGTGTGGTCTTCCCTGTTTTCGCTTTCACATTTTTCTTTCCTCTTTTGTTGTAACTGTCTGAAAAGCAGAGACTTTGTTCTACAGGTATGCTTCAGTTATCTAGTTTACTTGGATCCAGGCTATTTAGAATTAACCATCTATCCAAATAAATGAAGTTTTTAGAAAACTGAAACTTATCCCTTTAGGCTCCAAAATAATTTTATCTGACTAGGTTCTGGTTTGTATTGGAATTGTTTTAAACTCAATTTGCCTAATTTTCTAAATACTGTATTGTGCATAAGTTTTTTTTAAATGGGTGCAGGTTAACATTATTTAAATGATTGTGCTATTCTATACTATGGTGATATTCTCAATGATATAAGAGACATTTGGAGCTGCTTTGTATTAAGTATTCCCAAATTACTGTGCACTTTGATTTCTGTATTGAAGTTATTGTTCAGGTCCTCTATAGTATTGTACTGGTTGGATTGGTTGTGCATGTATGTGTGGAGATGAGGTAATTTTGGGATTTCTCCCCACCTCCATGATATCAGGTATTATTTCTTACTGCTATCACTTTTCACTGCTGTCATTGGGTCTGTGTGGTCTATTCTTCCCTTCTAATCTTCATTGAGCTAGAAAATGAGATAAATAGGCCTGTTAAAATTGCATTAGCTATGAGCTAAAATATACAAAAGAGTCTACATGCAGGCATAAATAGTGTGTGGATTTGAGGACAAGTCATCTTTTTCTTTTCATTTAACCCTTGGTTTCATAGAGACATTTTGACTTTTGATGTTGCTGGAAGATTTCAAAAAAGTACTGGGCATTACTTTATTTGTATCCTAGTATGTTGCCTGTTAGTGCTCAGCATTCAATAGCACTTAGTTGCTTGTCATAGCCAACTGGTTTCAGTGATTTCTAAAAATAAGCCTTCCACCTTAAATTAAATACTCTGGATGTGAAGGCTGGGACTGGACACTGATTGGCTGGGCACCTGCAGAGTGTGTTCATCTACAGTGTACTGGTGTTGATAAGACAAGCCTGGAAGAAAAGTGAGAAGGAAGAAGAGTGGTAGAATGTCCCATGTGTGGTCCATCATTAAGTCAACAGGTAGTTACTATAAAATGATCAGTATCCCTCCTCAAGTTGGGGATGCAAATCAAAAGGCCTATTCCACCTGTCTACCTTATAGGGCAGTCAAGAGCTTTGCAGAGTTTTTGCCTTCTCGCAGCAAAAGTCTTTGGTCAGGAGGGGAGGAGCATATTGTTGGCTGAACTCATGCTGAGCTCATCGGAAGTGAAAACAAGGAGAAGAAAAATCCTGTGTGTCAGTTCCATAGTCCCCCGGAGGCTGCATAAAGGGAAGGTCTTTTTGGACCCATTCTGAGGACTGAGTCATTTTCATGATTTGAGTGTTGAGTTCCTGGGTTAATGTGTTATAGTCCAGCCATAGATTAATCTTTCCTTACACCAGCAGCAGACCAGATTTATAAAGTATGACTCTGTTTTCAGATTCAAATTATTTTAATAAGGAAAAGATGAAGATAAATTTTTTTTTTTTTTTTTTTTTTTTTTGAGAGGGAGTTTCGCTCTTGTTACCCAGGCTGGAGTGCAATGGCGCGATCTCGGCTCACCACAACCTCCGCCTCCTGGGTTCAGGCAATTCTCCTGCCTCAGCCTCCAGAGTAGCTGGAATTACAGGCATGCACCACCATGCCCAGCTAATTTTTTGTATTTTTAGTAGAGACAGGGTTTCACCATGTTGACCAGGATGGTCTCGATATCTTGACCTCGTGATCCACCCGCCTCGGCCTCCCAAAGTGCTGGGATTACAGGCTTGAGCCACCACGCCCGGCCAAAGATAAATATTTTTTAAAACAGCATTAGCAGCCGGGGGTGGTGGCTCCTGCCTGTAATCCAAGCACTTTGGAGGTCAAGGCAGGTGGATCACGTGAGGTCGGGAGTTCAAGACCAGCCTGACCAACATGGTGAAACCCCATCTTAAAAAAAAAAAAAAAGAACCAGCATTAGCTATAAGTTTTCAGCTCTTTTTTTTTAATGGAATCATACTGTTAGCACAGAATCTGCGTAAGAGAAGAGGATATGAATCTGGGAGACGGAAATTCTGCTGTAACCTAGCTAACTCCATGGGAGATAGTCAGAACAGACAGATGAGTTAGGTCTGTGAAGGACTCCCAGTCTTACAGGGGGCTGTACAATAGTGCTGATAGATCCATGGATCGGCAGCCTGTGGGGAAAATTATTTCCTCCTTAAATGAATGTGGAAAACTAAAATACATTATTCCTAGGAAAGGCTTTCCCTCAGTTGCTTCTGAATAATTAGTAGGTCCTCACTGACTGACCAGATTCTATCACATGGGAGTGGAAGAGAATTCTTTTCCACTCAAACCAGGCAGAGACCTCAGGCTTCCTGAGTTAGAATCTTTACCAGGTTCAGCTCTCTGTTGGAAATAGAAAGGAAGAAGCCATTCTGGAAATAACTAATGAGAGAATTGAGCTTGTTTTCAGAAAGCTGAAAAGAAAAGACTTTGGCTAATCTCTTCAGGAAATTCCATTTTCCTGAATAAGAAAGTCTCTGATTATTGAGGAAAAGGAATTGTATGTGTCTAATAGGAGGCTAACAAGAAAAGAAGGACCTTTTTATCACTGAAACTTGAGCCAAAGAATTCCCCTAGAGTGACCTTCCTGGGAAGGGTAAAAAAAAAATCTGTTAAGTCTGATGATAACAAGAGACTTTTCCTGATTTTGAAATGCCCTATGTAGGTTTTACTTGTCAAGAATTGAGATCATTCTGAGTCTTAAACCAGCCCCTCCTTTGCCCCCTGTTCCCCCCAAGAACCATGTGACTTCTCACTCAGAAAGTATTTGATGGTTTGAGCATCACACTGGTGAGCATCATCAAGAAACCTGGATGTGACTTCATTGACTTGTTTTTCATATGTATTTATATTGCTGTGTATTTTGGGTCGTTCTTACCTCTTCAGGATCTGTAAGTTTCTTATAGTGGTTTACTTCA